TTTGGATTGGAAACTCGGCGTGTACTCTATTTTATTTCTCTGCAAAATCCAATGACTTATCAAAAAGTAAAGAGAGGGTAAGCTCGTAATTTGCGCAAGCCTTCTTCTCCTGGTATCTCTACTAAATACATGGTGTGGAGAAAAAAAGTTGCCATTCATGACTGCCTGACTTTCTCCCCGTCTTATCGCCAACACCCAAACTTTGCCAAATTTCCAGGTAGAGTTCAAAGAATGTGCTGCTCCTAAATTTCCACAAAGTTGATGAAAAACTTGTATCGAATTGATTTTCCGTTGTTCACACGACGTTTGCAGAGCTCTCTCTCTCTCGGTGAGTGAGTAAACAGGGTGTGCTAATGTTTAATGGTCAAAGTCAGTTCTATTTGTACTGTGGTAGAGCGATTCCTCGTGCGGCTTGCGTCATTCCGATCTAAAAACACCTCTACTTTTAAGAGAGAAATGTTTTGTGGCCAGCTCTTTTTTTACCAAGTGTTTCATCTAATCCCACCTAATGGCCATCTTTTTTATGATCATTGCACTCCGCTACCTGCTCGCTCCAAACAAGTCATCGTGGTGGCATGGCCGGAGGACGCGGTGGCGGTGCTCAACTATCTTCTTGGCTGATTTAAAAGGGCTTAGCTTCCGTTCCGAAGGAGGAACAAAGGGTGCAGATAATAATAATAAGAGCAATATTTTGAACTCCTCTCCTCCGGAACAATGGGAAGTTTTGGTAAATTTTTTAAAGGGGAGCAGTTTGCCCCCAAAGGAGACCGTTTCGCGAGGAAGTAAGGTGCACGGTCTGAAGAGGAGAATGGGAAATTTGCTTAGTTTATGTGACACATTTAATAAATATCCCAATTCCCAGCCCAAGATTAGCTTGGTAAGCAAACACACTCGCATTCATTGTTCTCTCGCTCTCGCTTTCTCTCTTTGACAAAATGACTCTGAGCGTGTGTGCATGTGGCTGGGTTTTAGATGTCACTTTTTCTCTGCTAAAGATAAGTGCAAGTTTTGGATGGTAAGCAAAAGAGATAAAGTTGAAGCGTTATTGGGTCCTAAAAACCATGTGTTGGATGTCATTCACGCGAACAAACAACCCATTCGCTTCCCCGCGGTGACACAATTTTACAAATTTCAGGCAATTTAGTTGGTCTGCTCAGACCTCATTTTCAATTTGGAGCTAAACAAAACTGTTGAATCGCCAATTGTTCAAATTTACTCCCAACCGCTGCTGTCACACACCGCACCAGCCACCTCCTCGTTTATGCGAAAAGAATGAAGAGGGAATTTGAGGTCCAACTTATATATTTGTGCAGATTGTTCCCTAATGGTGATTGTGGCAATTTAATGAACAATGTGCCATGTGGAGACGAGTGGAGACTAGTGGAGAGAGAGTCTGGGAAGAAGACTGGGAAGAAGTGGGGAGAAGGATGAGTCGGATGAAAAATGGAACTCATTTGTTCTTTGATGAGGTGAAAATTGTGGAGAAAAAGCCGACTTGGTCTTCTCTGACGCCCATCCGAAAAAAGGCTCTTGGTCACACTTGCTCCTCTCATAATCATGACTTACAGCGGGTGTTTTGCATTAATGTGGCTCGATCATCTTGGGAGAAGCGTCGTGAAGGGCCGTCTGTCGGGCTGGGTGTGGGACGAGCGGAGAGTGTGCCCAGTGGGAGGCCGCAGTCTCTTCAAGTGGGTGACAAAAGGAGAAAAGTCTTTGCTTTGTAGATAATTCGTGCGATAATAAAAATTGAAAAGAGGGCGTTGTGGATGGTGCTGCCCTTATCTCAGACTTCCGCCTCCAACCAACTCCAATTCCATCACCAAACTTTTTGAGATACGGCTCGAGTTGATGGTGCGAGATCGAGATTTTGATTTCCGTTTTCTGATTTTTATTCTTACAAATGTTCCACTTAAAGTCAGACTTGTGCTTCGTGATGAGGCCTCGCTCCCAAAAACGGGCAACATTACGCGGTGACGGAAGCTGAGAGAAAGTTTCAACTTTTTTAAGTGCAAAGCGACTCACTCGATGAGAGGAGGAAGGAGAAAGTCTGAGTTTTATTTTACACCAACTTCTCCCACACACCGTCAGAGTCAATAGTCAGCAGTAGCAGCAGAGTCGAGATAAGCACAAGTAGCAGCATCGCTAATGAGAATTACTACTGCAAAAATGTTCTTCCCAAACTCGTCCTGCGAATCATTGCACCTTCCCCATTAAGGCGGATATAGCACTGTCTGAGGATGATGATGGTGATATCATGATGAGAAGGCAGCCGACGTACGTGCATGTATATAGCTTGCATACATTTTTGGGGATTCCTCATCCAGAGGAGGAGGAGGAGAGGGAGAGTCTGGGCGGAGAAGGTGCTATTGTTTCGAAGAAAGGACTCCTTTCACGACGAGGCTAAGAATAAATTAATGAAAAGACTTGCGGACAATGTATTTTTAAATTAAAGTTGCTGATTTTTAAGGCGAAAATAGAAACTGAGAGGGAATAAAAGTGGCGACGAGGGTACTTTCTTTCACGTTTCCTTCTCATCCAACCTGAGAGATAGGAGAGAGAGAAAGCGAGAGAAAGAGTTCATCATCAGCATGGTCGTCATCATCAGAGAAAGATTGTGGTGGTGCTTCTCGTCTGCTGCACCTACGTACATGCTGCTGCCGGTTGCAATGGTTGGTCATGTGCCAAAGACAGAGTGATGTGAAAAATGAGGGGGATCTACTTTCCCTACCTTCACAGTTTAGACAGGTCTTCCAAGCAGAAAAAGCAGTGTGCTCAAGATAGAGCGTACATATTCCTATTCAAATCTGCACCCATTGTCTGTTGCAAAAGTATCTACACTCATTCTTCTGGAGCACAGGGAGCGAGAGGCAGGATGGAATTTGCCTTCCTTTCTCACCTTCTTGGCAAAAAATGTGGTGGAAATACGCACAAACACATTCCGCAGGAGTGGCGAAAGGAAGGAGAGTGGGTCCAGGAGAGGACGTCGTCTCGGGTAAATATGAGTGACGGGATTATGCAATGAGTTACCTGGCTGGCCTCTGGTTGAGTAATAATACAGATGCTAAAAATAGGAGCCATGGGATGACAGGAGACTTGGGGTTGAGAGACTGGTCGTGATGAACTACTCAACGGCATGCACAATGCATTTATGTGAGAGCCTCCGACTGAGATTGAAGCATGACCTGGCATCAAATATCCATGATCAAAACGAAGCATTGGTTGAATGAAAGGAGTCGATCATCATCATCAGAGAGAAGCATGCGGGGCACAAAAAGAGAGCGGAGGAAGCACCATTATTGCATATTATTCCTTGGGAGGAGAGGCCGAGGTTTGGCTTGGAGAGAGGCGTGCCGTCGACAGTTGATAGACTTTCACTCGGCACAAGATGATGGTAATGATGATGACGAGATGAATGGGAATGAGGAGCACAAGTGATGTCAAAAGAAAATCCTAAACCCATATTCATTTAGACCTCCGCCCGCCGCTCCTCCTGACAAGAGGAATTAAATTATCAGCTTTACGCCGTATTTACTTGCGTGTGGCCAAGATAATAATAACGAGGCTTGCATGTGTTCCTCCAGAGAAAAGAATTAAATGCTCCCATTACAAAGATGCATCCCCGAGGTTGGCATTCTGCAGCTTGTATCAATTAGAAGAGCATTAATTAATCCATGCTGGGAGCTGCACAATGTTGTGTCGAGAAGGAGACGAAGAGATCCACATTACGGCGAAGGGGGGACAATGACTTACTGCCAGGATGTGTCGGAGGCAGCGATTAGCAAGGGCTGCATATGCTGCGAGGAGGTGTCCTGTGGAGAGAGAAAGTTCAAGTTGGCTGCTGCTGGGGAGTGGCCCTGCCTGCTTGCTTGCTTGCTTGCTTGGTGGTGGGTACACATTGATAGAGACGAGGACGCGACGTCTGTGCCACCAGCCGAGGCAGGACCAGAAACATCCATCAATCTTGAAGACGGCGGAGAGTTTGCTTGGAGGAAAATCATCGCTAACCAGCCAAGCAACATTTTGATAAAGTCAATCTCCGCCGTTTGAAAAATCTCTTTTCACTGCCGGCCAGAATAATGACGGATCCTCCTCCTCTGGATAATGGGCAGTTTCAGTGGCAGCGTCAGTGGTGGTTAGTAGCTTCGTTGCTTGGATGGATGGATGGCTGGCTGTTGGTGGGTCTGGATGGGAGGGCGAGAAAGAGAGTGAAAGTGAAAGAGGTGCAGCAGCAGCTTATGCACGAGCAATGTAATCATCAACATGATCTCTCCGCTGACATCTTTATGCTTCCCCTCCGTCGAGATGGTCGTCTTCTCGTATTAACACGAGGCATGCATAATATTAGTGTTGAGGCATTTTGCAAATTCCACCCCAACGATTATTACCACACTCCCCCCATCACCATCGATCCGACCACAACCAGTGCAACCCAATTCTTGTCACTTTGCGAGACAAGGGTTGACATCAGCCTTCACCACGTGCAACATAAATACATAAGTTCATACATATGTAAGTTCCATCGTGGGAACAACATTGCCAGCAAAGTTGGCCATGTGGTTTTTATCTATATTATCATGTACTTGATGGTTATCGTTGGCGGAGATTCTCGCCCTTTGTACATCTTCAGATTCTCATGCGTCAACAGCCGAGTTGGCATCTTTAGCAGGAAACAAGCAGAAGGGGGAACGAGCGTCTTGATCACTGGCGACCCAGCAGCAGCAGCAGCAGAGAGTATATAATCCTTCTAATCCAATTATGCTGCCATTGAATTATGGCATTGAGAGAAGCCACCAACAAACCAGAATGCAATTTTGCCCACATTTTGTAGCCCCTTTTCTGGCAAACAAAAGGAAATGATTTCCTCGGAAATCTGCGGTATTTGGTGTTTTGATGAGAAGTTAAGCCCAAATTGATACGAGGGAGGCGGGGAGGATTACTCATAATTATTGACAATGAGCATAGTAAAATCTAATGTCACACCACATTTTTGTGAATTGCAGGAACACCCGACGTCAAATCCAAAGGTTGTGCAAGGACCCTCAGTTTGCGGTGGAATGTAACTTTCTGAACGCGACTGGGGCATTTGGCTCGGACTACAACAGCACGTACCCATTAGCACCACCCGACGACACGGGCACTTTGTTTAGCAATGCAACCGACCCAACAACCCCAGTTCTTCCACCCTTTGAAACATGGCAGTCCGTAACGATCGCATTTTTCATGATCATCTGCATCTTGGCCACAATTTTTGGCAACATTTTGGTCCTCCTCGCCTTCATTGTGGATCGAGGGATTCGCCAGCCCTCCAACTACCCCATCGCCTCTCTCGCCGCCACGGACCTCCTCATCGGAAGCGTCTCCATGCCCTTCTACTTGGTACACAGTTAAATACTCACTTATGCATGGTTGCTTTCCCAGCTAAACCCCAGCCACAGAACTGGCGAGAAACCTGTAGTTATTTATTTGAAATGCGTAACTGACTAATTGCGTTGTTTCAGGTGTATGTGCTTCAAGGGAAGTGGATTCTGGGGCCGATGATTTGCGACTTGTGGCTCTCGATTGACTACACGGTTTGTCTCGTCTCGCAGTACACCGTGCTCCTCATCACCATCGACCGCTTCTGCTCTGTCAAAATCGCCGCAAAGTACAGGTCATGGCGCACCAAGAACCGTGTAATCTTTATGGTCGTGATAACCTGGGTGATTCCGGCCCTCCTCTTTTTCACCTCAATCTTTGGGTGGGAACATTGGAAGGGATTTCGCGACTTGGAGGATGGCGAGTGTGCAGTGCAGTTCTTAAAGTATGCTCATTTTTTGGCAAAGAGAATTTTATGAGTGAATATTCTAGTCGCTAATTACCCGAGACATTTACATGTTATGTATATTACATGCCATCTAATCACATTTACGAGTACATTTACAAGTGCATAATGTTTGACTTTGAATATGGGTGTTGTAAGAATAATTTTTCTTGGGTTTGAAGGGACCCCTGGTTCAACACGCTGCTGATCATCGGGTACTACTGGACGACGCTGGTGGTGCTGTTCGTGCTGTACGCGGGGATTTACAAGACGGCGTGGCAGATGCAGCAAAAGTCAGAGGACAAGCGAAAGAGGATGCAGGACATGGTAAAAATGACAGCCGGAGGGTTGGCAGGTGTGGCTGGGAAGACGGCTGGGATCCAACCCGTCCCGGTCATCGCTGCTGGAGGGACGAACAACAACAGCATCCGGGCCACAGGGAACAATACGCTCCACGTGACGGGTGACAGTGGCAACAACTCGGTAAGTTCCTCGTCTGGGTGTGTCAATGTCAGCATTAAAGTCAAGTTGCAATTGCATTAAAAGTTTGGCTTGTTCGGGTGAATCGACAACCCATCCCATCCCACAGTCGAGGGGATTATCTTATCTCCATCCGTTCCCTCTCCCAACACGGACGCAACATTCGTCTTTCTCCACTCAAGCAAGTCGGCTTAACCCAAATTCTTCTCCTCCGATGCACGCACTGCTTTCTCCCTCCGACAACTTTCTTCTCCTCCCAAACTTTCTCTCAAATGAGGGACTCCCCACCAGATCGATTTCTCCCCCGTTTGTATATTCCACGAATCTTTTAATTGCATTTTATTGAATTGCTTCCCAAACTTTTTTCCTTCCTAAACTCGTTCCAAAATTGCATCAATACGACAAATGACTGGCAGACAAACAACGTAAACAGCGTGTTCTACATGCATTCATTATAACGAATCGAGGATCAGTTCTGCTGGCTCATTTGACAATTTCGAACTCGAAGCTGCCTGACGATCCCTCTTTGTTCGACTACAACGCTAAACCATTGACTAATGCATATGTCCCGATATAAATTTGGTGGAGAGGTATTAGCAATTTAAGAGAAGGATGGCTTTCTGAGAAGTTAAGCCTAGTTTTGGTTCAATTGTAGATCTAGTCGTCTCATGAATCGAGACAAATTAGGCGGAGCGGTGATGCAATTAAGAACAGGTTTCTCCCAACCTAATCCCAAAGTTCAGTTTGGAATGGTAATAATAATGATCTTGATGACAATTGGGTTGGAAAAGGCTGAGTAGTTTTGATAATATATGCACAACGAGCCATGTCCTCCCCTCCTGATTTGTGGAATTGAAAAGGAAAGTTGTTAAAACGGGAGCTCTCTCTCTCTCTCCATGCTTTGTCCTCGACGTAACAAGTTGGTCCGGATTTCGAGACGAGACGAGAACATTGCATTTCATTCGCATATTCGAAGAAGACGGAACAACATTGTTGTAAAATGTATACGGTTATGCCTGGCAGTTTTCTAAATTGCGGGCAAGAATCAAAATTTGTATTCTGCTCAAACCTCGCCAATGACCATACTTTGCGAAAACTACTCCTCGGCTCAGCCACATGCAGTTTTCCTTATTTGAATAAATATGATGTACGAGGAGGAGGCAGATATATTCAGGAGTGACACTGACACGGAGTTGGTTGGGTAGGACTACATACTTGACATCTGACATTACCCGTGTTGCGAAAGGGTAAGAAGACTTTCCATCCAAACTACGAATCCCAACCAACGAGCAGCAGAAGCAGCAGCAGCAGGGAACCCAAAACTACATACTTGGGAGCAAATTTATTAATAGGAATGAAGAAGGAGTTGTTGGTCAAAGACGAAATCCGACACTTCAATCTAGTCGGAGGCAGGGAAATCTTAAATTATGTTGTTGGCTCGACTCCTATTATTGTGGAGATAAAGAGCTCGAGAAATGTAGTTCAGCCCGCACGCCAGCCGCACCTGTTTCCTCATCATGATGAAACGGTGTTATTGCTGAATTATGTAAAGCTGAACGTTTGGAAATCCAACCGCGGCATGAAACATTGATACATTTCCTGTCGGTGAGGATAATCTACGACTTTTGATCTTCTTGCGGGGCTGCCAGCTTCCTCGGCACAACTGCCGAGGCTGCTGGGTGGTCACCTGCACCTGCGAAGAAGAATATGTGTGCCATACATATTTCCCCCACTGCTCCTCCAACCAATGCCTAAGAGAAAGCCTGCATACGTATTATGCAGCTTTCACTGACGGCTGCTGCTCATCCATCAATGCTGGGACAGCATCGGGGTCAAGTGGGACGTGACAAGGCAGGCGAATAATAATATCGACTCAATTCTTTCACCAACTATTACCCACCAACTCTGTCAATAAGTCTGTCATGTTCTCGTCCGCATATTTTAGCTCCTCACCAGGATCAGGCGAGCGAGTCGTGGCAGAGGTGTCGTGTAGACTGAAGGACGACCCCTACCTCTATGTGACACCAAGACCATATTCGTTATCTACTGAACGAAGACAAATTTGCATCACTTTGAATGCATTGGATAAGTTGGCTGCCTGCAACGCCACTCTGCCATCCACCACCACCACCTCCTCACATATGCAGTGTTTGTTCTAGGAAAAGGTTCCATGGTGAATCCTCAGTCTTGTATCAATATTATTGCTTTCACTACTCCGAATTTAGTGCGAGTAACGGGAAATAACTGCACAGCTCGATTGTCCAAGGGAGGAGGTGGTTGGCCTATGCTTTGTCCTTTGACGATGCGTACACCAATTTGACAATGCCTTCTTCGAGATAACTTGTGCCCTGTGCCGATTATTCCGTAGCTTGTTTCATTTCAATACGCGACACAAGAATGCTTATGAAGTTTGCGTGAGAAATCGTTGTCCATTTCATGAAAACCTAGTTGACCATGCTACGATGGATCTGGTGCTGGTTGGTGAGGAGGAGAAGTGGTTTGAAGCAGTGGTAGTAAAAACAAGAGCCTTGGAAAGATTTGATGCCCAGGAGAATATTGCGACGATTGGAGAAGAGGAGGATCTTCTCGGATGCAGTCTTCGATTGAGACGCGAGAACAAAGTGGGTGATTAAAAGTTGTGAAATGAATTGAAACTTTTCAATTAGAAGGAAACTACTGTGGAGCAGTAATTGGAGGGAAATTGGGCACACACTACTCCGACGGTATTGTTGTGTGGTGCATATTATGGTGCCACAAAAGGGAAGGAAATTAGCTGGAGATGCATTCATTCGAACAGAATGGTTTCATGCGGAGAGACAAACAAATATTTAGTATTTCGAGATTCCGTGTGCAAATGGGAGCCACTGCTTTGAGATGACAAGAGCCATCCTGGCTTTGTGAGCAGGCAGGAGGGATGGTGGCAGAGGAGCCAGATGAGACAGTGACAGAAGGAGGAGAAGCGATGAAGCAGACGGAGGTTGAGATGAGACGGATGCAAATAAGACCTGGTCCCAGTTGGGAGGAGGAGAGAGGTGCAAATAAAAAATTGAGGTAGTCATCCACGAGAGGAGGAGGCAGGTGAGGTGAGCAAGTGAATGCAATTTTTATCAGGACAAAGTGCCTCCAGTCGCCTTTTTTAATGCTCCAGTCGGTTTGGGCAGAATGGAGGAATTTGAGTCCGACAGCCGAGGAGGGGAATAAGTAGTTGGCGTCTCTGGAGACTTTCACTCTCAAGGGCAGCACCAGCACCAGCCAGCTCGCCGCATTGTTTAAACTACACTTTTTATTCACTTTTACGCAGATTGAAATTATTTTATTCTCATTTCCGTACACTTTTGTCAAGCGTGTCGTGTGACGACCTTCTGGAGGAGGAAATGTCAGGGGAGGATGGAGGATGTGGCTGTCATGTTCACAAATCTGAGAAAAAGATCACACCGAAAGGTGAAAGTGGGTGAAAATAAATATTCCCATTTTATTCCGCATGGAACTTATTCCATTTGCCAAAATAATTGCAAATCTTTTTTTCTAAGCGTCGGCACAGGACAGCAAATCACGGCTTTTGAAAAGATTGAAAAGGAAATTGAGTTGTCTGCTCATCATGAAAGAGCACATGCACATGACGAACTATTAAGTTTCCTGGAACTAAGTAGGACCTGTTATTTGCAGGCATTCGTAGTTTTGGACTTTTATAGAAAGCCACTTGCTTAGTTGGGCAAATTGTCCCCACTTGAAGGTCATCTTTCTCTCTGAGTTGGATTATTAGAGGAACGAGGAGGTGAATTGTGAATTTGATACGAGAAAAATGGGACGAATATTTAGTGCTGATGCGAAAATAAATTGGAGAAAGCAGGAGAAAGTTGAACAATATTTATTCACTGTGTATTTATGAGTGGAGTGGTGGTGGCGGTGGGAATGACACTGAGGAATATATGGCGCATGTATGCCGTCTCCTGAAATCTAACACCCGTTTTCGGTTGAACAGAGCTCAAAACGGATGACTGGTTGGGTTACTTAACTTGATTTGTAGTCAGTGTGAACATATGAAATTATTGAATTTGTCTCAAGAAGTGCTCACCAGGAAAGTAGTCGGAAATTTATTGAATCCCAAATCCGAGGAAGAGAGAGAAAGAGAGAGAGAAACCCATTAATAACGTAATCCGTTCCACGTGTACTATACGCACCATTGTCACGTTATTAGCAGGGCCATTATACATGCAGACCAACCAACTCCTGACGCCATTATACATGCAGACATACACTGCACATATGTACCAACCAACTCCTGACTGGCTGCATGACTAACTTTAGAGCACTTGTAATGAGGATGAAGGCCAACCAGCCAGACAGCAATGATTCCGCATCATCATAACTTTAACTCTCTCCGAGTCCTGACATTGGAGCTCATGATTTATCCTCTAATTTCCAGACCAGGCCAGACTCGTCCGACTCCAACGAGAAGAAAGGGGACAATGAGCGCTCCTCCAGCCCAGCTTTCGACTCGGACGAAGACTCCACTTCCGTCGTGACCAAAAAGTCTAAACCCAAGTCCAACTCGCACCACCACGGGAAGGCCAAGCGAAGTGGGGGTCGTTCAGAGGCTGGTAGCAAGGTGCCCCCCGTCCCCCCTCCACGAGCCTCCTCCAACCCACCCAACTACAACAATAATGCTCCCGCCACCGTCAGAAATCAACATCAGTCCTCCTCCTCCATGGTCAAGCAACCATTTACGACGACGACGACGGTGGTGCAGCAGCGGGCAGGGTCGATTAGCCCATGTGAGGATTTCCCACCTCCACCCCCAGAACTGCTGGGCACTGAGCAGCAAAAGACGACGCCCTCCAAGAGCAGGGTCCACCAACCCCCGCAGTCACTCCCCATCTCCAGCAGAGACCGGCGTCCGAGCAGTGCAGCCTCACGACACAGTGGGACAAATAACAACGGCGGCGGCGGTGGTGGTGGTGGGACGAACGGACCGCTGGAGGAGACAATAATACTGAGCAGTAGGAAAGGGTCCACGTCTGGAGCAACAGGGTCAGGTCGGAGTGGGAAAGTGGTGGTGGTGGAGAGAGGCAGTACAATGATGACGTCAAAAGAATGCAGAGTGACGACAGCGGATTTAGTGATTGAGGAGAAAGTGGACTCTAAAGATTCGGGGATTACAAACGAGTCCTATGAGCGAACCCCTGGACAAGGAAACTCGTACGAATCCGTTGTTCTAGTGAGCCCACAAGTCCATCATCAACAGACGTTGGTCGCCTCTGGGGGAAGCAATGCCACGTCGTCGTCCTCAATGTCGTCCGTGCTTCAACCTTCGACGCGAGACATTCACGCCAGCATCCAGCAGCAATGCTCCAACCTGAGACTGGCTTCCTTGGCCAACTGCAGTGGGGGTGGTGGTGGTGTGGAGGCTATCACACCCGAGAGCACGAGCACACTCCACGAAACCGTCTTCCTGGGCAATTCCGCCACCACCACGACCGCAGCAGCCGCATCTTTGGCTGAGTTCAACAAGGCCAAGTTTTGGAATTCGTCCCTTCACTCCTCCACAACCACGTTGCGAGGGGATGGTGGGGACGTGGGCAGTGGGGGAGTGCCCCTCATGGACGTCGTGGCTTCCATTCTGGACAGCACCAACAATCCAAACCTCTCGGTCGAGGACAAGCGCCACTCGGTCCTGTCTTCCTTAAGCTTCCTCGACGGGGCTGACTTTCGCTACATGGACGAAAGCTCCATCACCGTTGAGACCCCGACACCACCCTCGTCCGGCATCTACGAACCAGCCGCCGCACCCCTCGAGCCAAACTGCTGGTAAGCACTTCTTTAATTTATATGTGCACACACAATTTTAACTAAATACATACATATTTTTAGCGACTTTTCAAGTCGTCATGCTCATGCACCTCTTCAACTGTTTCGATTTATTTACATACTCGACATATTTAAATATGCCACGTTGCACACTTGTTGCAGGCATAAATACGGTAAAAAATGAAAACCACTGAATTAACTTTGCAGGACACTCCAACTGCAACACTTGGTCCGCCAACTGCTCATCGCCCAGCAGCAGAACCTGTCCCCACAAACCACGGTTCCCCTCATTCAACAGCTGCAGCAACAACTGATCATCCAACAGCAACAAATCCTCTTGCAACAAGCCATGCTCACCCAGCTGCAAATCCCGCCCGCCCCCGTCGTCCCCACCTCTTCGACGACTCACTCAATCCTTGACAATCAACTTGCTGGTCACGGCGGCGGCGGTGGTGGTGCTCAGCCCAAATGTCTCTGCAGCATGTCCAAAAGCGGATCTGCTCAAAGCTTCAAAGTGGGTTCCCATTCTCACCAGCAGCACAGCTATTACGCACAGTTGGCGTCGAACGCGGCTTGTGCCACGAAGCAACTGGTGGGCAATGCTCCTCACGCCAGAGCAGAGGAGTCCAGTCTCTGCAGCGGCTTCCAGCAGTGTTCAAGATGTTCCACCCCTGCTTTCCAGGAGGAAATCCCTCTCGATGACCTTAGGTCTTTGCGCCACTCACACAATCCTCCCGTTGGAGATGACAATAAAATTGGTGCTAATGCCACGTCCTCCCTCTCCTCGCAAATTCCCCACAAAACTACAACGTCCCGTAGAGAAAGCCAAGTCCAAACTTCTCCCATGGACTCCTCCTCACAAATACCACGAATACCTCCTCCACCCCCGCGAAACCAAACCCCCACGACCCCACAACAACACCAGATGCCCACTGATCCCTTATCCCAGCCCGCAGGCAAGCCCACTCCTCTCAAAGCCAGCGGCAGGCCCAAGGGAACCACGCCACACTCCGCAGACGAGGAGAAGATTTCGGATGCGGGTGGCGTTTACTGCGGTGGGGCTGACTCGTCTTCCAGCGGTGGCGGTGACAAGCAGGTAGGAGGAGCACCACCACCACATGCTGTCGTTGCTTCTGCCGCGCCTCCTTCTAGGACAATAGCTCGACTGGAGTTGGAGGCCATTGAGACGGTCTCGGTTGGTGGGGCGGTTGCCACGACGAGCACTGGAGGGCGGAGGAGTGGGGGTGGCAGTGGGTGCATGGACGAGGAGGACAGTGAGCGTGTCGAGCCCACGAAATCTCGAAGTCTGGTGAAATCTTTGGGTAAACGGATCAAGCGGAAGCGTCAGAAGGAGGGGAGGCAAAAGTCCAAGTCTGAGAACAGGGCGCGGAAAGCGTTGCGGACAATATCTTTTATTCTGGGGGCGTTTGTGATGTGCTGGACCCCATATCATATCCTGGCCATGGTGGAAGGCTTCTGTGGATGCATCAACAGTCACGTCTACATGTTTGCCTACTTTCTCTGCTACGCCAACAGTCCAATCAACCCCGTGATGTATGCCCTCTCTGCGCCCATCTTCAAAAAGACTTTCACTCGCATCCTCAAGGGTGATCTGCATATGACCTAGTCAACAAACAAATTAGTCGATAACCTGTACGCCCATCATAACTGCATACCTGCTGCCAGATAGATACTTGTCCGTCGTCTCGTACGTTTCGACAACAACCTCCCCCATTTGATTTCCCACCTATTTACATAGCTACATATTTACTCAGATACTTATTACTTTTCCCAACTCTGGTGACAAGATGACGTTCTCTGAGTGGCAAAAGGTCCCTGGTCATCGTCGCCTCTTCCCTCCTTCTCCTTCGGGTAACAGAAAACATGATCGTGTGGTGGTAGATTCCAGAGCTGTGCTACTGCAATTACTCTTACTAAACGTATCTTACTCCACGTAAGTAAATATGTAGGTGATATTGCGTACTGAGTGACATAGTTGTCAACTAAATATTTACTACCGTACTCATCAAGAAATGTTTAATAGGCTAAGAATAAACACAGTCTATCTACATATATATTAAATTATACAGTCAGTTAATATGTACATGGTCATAAACATACTCCGTAATAATGTGAGCATAATTTATCTACAAAAATAGCCTGTACTTACATGATTTCCATGTCGAGTAGGAGATTTAGCGTGGGATGAAGTAGAGAAAGTGATGCACGTGAACGAGAAAGAGAAAAGACACGAGCCCGTCTTTTCTCATTCTGGGTCAAAGGTGTACAAATTATTTAATAACGTTAATAAATATCAGAATATATACATACATTCCACACCTCGTACATACATGTGTAAGTACCACAAGAGTCGGGTGCTGAGCAGACAGAGTAATCCATAACAAATTAAGCGAGTATTAAGGATAAACGTATTTAACGACGAGTGGACTGACACGGAGAGGAAAGTCCCTGCTTTTTTTATGGGTCTGCAAAATAATCTCAGCGTGTCTGTATTTGTTAGCGAATAGGATTTATGTACCTCTTTCTTGTCGTAATTCTGGGGTGATTTGATAACCTGGGTAAGTAGTGGAAACTTATTTTTTATGTTGAAGGTGAGCTAGAAAGAAGGAAACTTATTGTAAATTATGGTCGATCTCCTATCAATGTTCCATCCATAGCTAGAGTAGCCGAAGCCAAGGAGGAAGCACATATTTATTACGGAATATGCCGTGGTGGAGAAAGTAGAGAAATCCCAGTACTTACTTAATTCATTGTTACATGCATATTTCTATGAACCACTTGTGTAACCCTGTCCGAGTCCTGACGTGCATTGTACAGGCAAATATTTAAGTTCGTCTAGTTCCGTGTAACACATATTTAGGCTCAGGTTTGATCATATTCAGCAACGTTCCCCATTTTCAAAACATGTGGCGAATCAACGAGTGTTTAGCTTTTAATTCGTCTCATCCTCCAGACCACAACCAATCGTCAATGAAGACGGTTTTATGGTTTTATATACTCATCCTCATATTGTCACGTCACTTTACTTGATTCCTCCCATTCTGACGTTCTCATCAGTTTGTTAAGCACCTATTTGTCCATGGATCCCCGGTGGAGGACATTGTGTGTGTGCCCAGAGGAGGAGAGCAGAAGCTGAACCTGTTCACGAGGAACGTGTGTAATCTCATTTTATTATTTGTGACTCAGATGAAAGATTAGCGTGTAGAGTTTGTGGATGTTCTTGTTTGACCAGCTTAGCCGTACTAACATTGTGTAGTTGTTAAATTTTATCTAAATAGTAAACCTGCTTTTACTCTTTTGTGGGTTAAGCCTTTATAACTTTGGTGGTGGTGACGACTGAGCGTGACGTAAATACGTGTAGTCTTTGTAGTTATCTGTTGATGAGTAGACGTGAATATATTAAAAAACAAATGCGTGTTATTGAAGTTCTGTGTCGTGTAACAAATCCAAAGACAATAAAAAAATATTATATGTCTACTTTTCTCCATTTTTTGTCTGCATTGCCCTTGAAAAAATTTGCATGCAATCCTGCTGTGGATGGGATTCCGACAATTCCGAGACTGCTTGGTTGGAAGTCTTCTTCTTCTGGACGTGATTTTGTGGACCACGTTGAGTAAGTAAAGTGCATGCATATGTAATATGCACATGTGCTGCTGCACCGACTTCGATATTATCATTATTATTATCATGGCATCAACAAACATTCCATGGTTCGCATGTGAGGTATTTGAAATTGCGGACGTGAGCATCTGGATGGATGGTCATCGATTAGATGGGGTTAGACTGGTTTCCACAATAATGGTTTGTTGTCCTTCAATGAAATGATGAGGTTGTGAAATTGCAGGGAAAACGCCCACAAAGATTTCCAACTACATAATTGAATTAAAATCAATAGCGACGAAGGACCCGAAATGGACATAAAAAGATGGGTACATATTATCCCTGAAACCTGTATGAACAGGAATTCGGATGCTTCGTACAAGTTCCAACTTTAAATTTCGACTTACGTCATATGTACACATGACCAAGTAAAAGCAAGTCGTCCTCTCCAGACCAGACTCTCCATTTCAGCAAGACAAACATACTCGAGATTATTTTTAATCGAAAAAACATTTTCAAATCAAGTTATAAAGTTGTATATTTTCGTAGTCTCATTTAGTTTGAAATGTATTTGCACACAAAGTGTGTCGTACGAGAGATTTTTAAGCTCCTGTTCTAAGGATAAGTATGCTTCCAATGTGATGCAAGGCACAAATTATTCTATTGAGAACGTATGTACACATGTACATATTCCGTGCATGTTATCGCGATTTGTGATAAAAGTAGGAATGTTTGGTTAAGGTAAATAAGGAATAAAAGCACACGCCACATGGATACGACGTTTGACGTTTGACTTGACCTTATCATGCTCACCAAGTTGGAACATTAATATTTCCCATTTCTCACAACTCGCCGTCATCCTTCTCATCTGTGATGGAATTGCAAATGATGTCGTAAATCGGAGCAAAGGACTCTGATACCTGTGATATCTCAAATCTCTTGGAATTTCCATCGGGAAATCTCACTTGGGATCAGCACTGGAGTCTAAAATAATGAACCCACCTCAAAGAAAACTCGTCGTATGATGATCTTATCCATTTATTGAGGCCTTATTATTTTTCCCCGTGCATATTGATGAAGGTGGTACGAGGAGCACAAAGTCGTCACTTTCACTCCTACATTACTGCGCTCGTGGTGGGTGATCATTCCGCTCTGTCTGCTTCGTCAAGCTGCAATCCGAGTTTCGAAATATGTACATGCACACGGAATTTGCTACACACGAGATTGAGTTTGAACGTGAGTTTGAGAAATAATTTTATGGAGCTTATTCCACCAGTTGAGTTTCTGGCCCAATTTCCAGAATTGCTCAGCTGAACAGAACAACGATAAGGGTTCTCCTCAGAGTGTCAAAAGTGGCATCACATTTACGCAAGAAATACGGTTGCCAGTCACTCACAGGTGAGGCGGTGGTGAGATTTATGTGACACGGGACTACGTAAGTGCGGAGAGGATCCTCTAAACTCTGCTCGCTCAAAGGTGTGCAGAAAGAAACTAGCGAGAACACATATCGGCAGAAGAAGAAGAAGGGGACACAGGTTTGGAGTCTTCTGGAGAAAGAAGGCCAATGTTGCGGAAGAATCCCTGATCCATCCTCGTAGTCGTCATAAGTACACCCTTACGACGTCGACGAAGACTGCATCAAAGTCAAAATGATTACAGAGAAAATCCAGGAAAATGTCACAAATTTGAAAAGTTGACTGACTCCAGTTCCAATATCCAACTGGCAGTGTCGACCACTTCATACCAGGTATGTCCCATGTCCTTGGCTCAAGTAAGTAAGGTGGTTGCGATGGTTTATCCATCTTATGGCACTATAAATATATAGTTGACTGATGCAACACTGATGTCATTTCGCCAAGCAATCTGCACGAGTTTGTCCACGGTGAATATAAATATCAAACGAAAACGAAAGCGTGTGCTGAAGGTTGAGTTTAATATCGTCTCACTTTGAGGAAACTTATTTCTGACCATGAGATTGAAGAGTTAGGTCGGTGGGGGTCTCGTCGAGTAATCAACGAAATGTCGATAATCCGAGGCATGTTAAAGCGCCTGCATCACCAGTTTCTAGCTCTTCATTCGACGTCATCCGATGTCATGCGACGCCACCGTGATTGCACGCACACCAGACGACGCAAGGAATATGTACGCCATGCCATGCGACCTTAACGTCAAGTGCGAATGAACTCCAAAGTTATTACACACGAGTGATGTTGATGCTTCACCCATAATTTAAGGATGAGGACAGAGTAGCTCACAGAGTTTTGCTACATAATTCTGGATCAATGAGCTGTATTTAGCTCACCTTTTGCCGAGTTTCTTGTCCGCTCACAACTCCACTAAAATAAATCCTAATTAAGGTACAGGTACATATTGGGAGAAGGGCAATTGGCAGTGTGGCATCATCAAGGCTCTTGTTCTCACATGGTTCTCACTAACTCATTTAATGCTAGGTCCATCCACCCTTCTCTGGTCGAAACTCGCCTAATCGAGTTAAAAATAAAATTTAGCCTTCTAAAATGAACTTACTTAGCTTGTAATTGTATCCAGCAGTTCTCGCTCGACCAACAGGGAAGTAGTCCATTTTTAGCATCCCGCAATTTCACCATACACATCATGATCGTATGTGATCAGATTCAAAGTATGCATGTACGTCGGTCTGTATGGTATATTATTACTGTATCATGCAGTGCGTATAGTGAAGAGCTGTACAGACAGGGCACAAATTGACCACCTCGCTTCGAGGTGGTCAATGTAAGCTAATTATTTTCGTGTGGCGTCTCCAATTGATGCGGATTGTCCTGCCTGCATATCCACGAGCCTCGTGCTAACATGCTCTTCGCTGCTACTGAGGTAGCGAAGAGGAATTAATTTTAAGCGAAACGGCAACTCGTATGTATATATTCATCTCCAGATCTTCAGCATATTTCACCCGATTCTTTCCATCACTCTGTCCGAAAGAACTGAGGCATGGAGTCACGTCGCGGCGTGGTCAGTACAAGCCTGTCAACTTCTTCACCTAGAACATCAGAGCATTGGAGATGATCCTTCTCAATCACGCAGTGCAGCCTGGGTGTTATCTGCAGCGCCCAAGATTGCTTTCCATTACGCCATACGTTACATCACTTCCTCGCACACTCTGAATAAACAGAGAGGAAAACGTACGAGTTTTATTTCGATGTAAGTAATTCCCATTCCCAGAGACGCCACCACCACGACCACCACCGCCACGCTCAGGCAGTGGGTGAGTTATTTGTAAAGGAGTTATTTGGCTGCGGTGCTTTCTCCCTTCCGTGTTCGCCAAGGTTGGGTTTGTCGAAACCTGGGGAGAAAGCTATTGAGCTGTTCCTTGAAAGTGTGCAAGTTGAAGAGCAAAGTCAAATCCTCTCTCACTTTCTCCTCGTCCAAGGTATGCATGATTCTGCGGGGTATAAGCAAGCATAGCGCTCAAGCTGGTGTGGTAGGCACGTAGAGGACGTGGTCGTGATGTTGGTGGAGCAGGTAAGGCGAACTATTAAGGCTCCTTTATGTGGCAGGTAGTCCTTGAAACTGAGGAAAAAGAGTGTGGTAATGGCTGAATGTCTTTGAAATGAACTCTGAAATGGGATTAAGGGGATTGAGGAAGAAGTGAGAAATTCGCATCATTTTGCTCCTCCACGCGGATCTATGTAGCACAATTTATTTGGTGGAAATGAAAACTCGAGCAGTAGCAGCCGAGGCCACCCCGTTGCACTTTCCCTTTCTTATTTTATTGCCCATCTTTATCCACTCTGTTTAATGTTGAAATTGATTGATGACTCCGAAATGAAGATAAATTGAAATTGGTTGGCATATGTGGAAGTAGGACCGACCTAGCAGCCTTTGTCGCTTTTTAAAGTCGAGACAATAATCGTGTATAAAAAAACTCACTCGTTGGGAAAACGACCAACAAAAGTCAAGTATTTAGAGCAAAGCAGAGTGTGCAATTTCCGTCAATGTAGTTGAACAAGAAATTAATGAGATTACAGACAAAGTAGATTTCTGGAATTTGGTTTTCTCAAGACTTATTAAGGGCAGACGGACGACGTTTTCATAAAAATGTTCCCTTCCGCTGAATGAATAATCAAATACTTTGACTCGTTCATTGCAGGACGAATTGGGAGATGGAATTACTTGGTAATATCATAACTACTCATTATTAGTGCTTTACAACATGGACTTTCTGCTTGCCAAAGCACAATTGGAGAATTCAATTTTGTTGAACAGCAAATTTGTGGTCTCTCGGGTTCCAATTTTCAATCCTCCTCCACCACCACGTGAAATTCGCGTCGTGAACAAAGTCAAAAGAAGAGATGGGCAATAATAAATCGGCAAATTGAGTCCTTTCTCTCCTTCGCGACAATGGGGAAAGTTGGCGGTGCTGGAATTATTATTATTATTTGTGTGCCATCATCGTACCAGATTCCCATTCAACTTGGGCTCAAAGGAAGTCTGCACAGGCTCAAAATCAGAGCAAATTAATTCCACGTTTAATAATAAGGAGAAATACATTCAATTTGTGTATGTGTGTGGATGCATGGGTGCCCCGAGGTTCCTCATGGATTACGTGTGATGTGCTTAATTTCCCTAGTGGAAATTATGAAAATGTAGTTCAATTTCAGTATTGAATTCATGTTAATAACAACCCAAAAATAACAACTGACACACATTAAATAGTTTCATAAATAGATAATTGTTTTCACTGAAGCATAGCATTCATACTTGCCCATAAAAAATCTGTACTACGTGCATGCGTGCACATAACTCTGACATTTCCCAACCTTTTCTTCCTTGTCGTCTTCCCAGTTCGGTGGTGTGTGAAAATACCCGAAATTATTATAACGCCAACATGCCTTTGAATTGAAGAGAAGTTTGGGAAATGGGAAATCGCCAATTTCTTATCAAAAATCAGTGGTGCGAGGAAGGCCGATGCCGATTTATGAATCGTGCTTATTTACTAGAAATATGGCACAGATATGGGTCGTGTAATCGAATTAGGTGGAAGGTGAAAGGGGCTGCTGATTACTTCCAAGGATTTCAAGTCCCCAGACTCCAATCTCATTGTAATTTTCTTCCCAACGTACATACATGTTTATGCCCTTCAATCAAGGCAATGTAAGTGCACTTTGGCAGCATAATTTCAGTATCCTCAAGTGCAGCAGCAAGAAAAAATCGAGAATTGGAATTAGGACAGTAAATAAATTTGTGCTAAGAAATATTTAATACAATCGTAGCGCATAATCAATTTAAAAATGGTCGAGCCGAATTTATTCCGAGGCAAGAAACCAGCACCCCTCCATGAAAATGTTACGCTCAAATTGAGCCAATTTAATATCAATTGTGTACTCGTACATATCTGAATCTTTGCTCCGGATGGAAAATCCGACTGGATAGAAGTATACCTACGAGCAGTATTAAATGCACAGTATTCCTTGCATTGGAATTCTCACGTTGGAAATAAACCAATGTGTACAAAGACGGAAAGATTTTCAATATTTCAAAGAAGCAGCAGCAGCATAATCGTATTGACTAGACGACGACTCTTGTGTATCAGGTGTGAAGCGGAACGTGCAAATTTCCTCGAGGCAAAATAATTTAATAATGCTGTGCACTTGAGCGATGCAAATTTTCGTGTTTGTATGTCTCTGCCCACCTCAGGTTCTACGGATGAAGTAAATTGACGAGTTGTGTCAACACTTTTCAATTGAGATTTATTTTTAAAACAAAAATTTCATACATTTAATTACAGTGAACATAACAATTCCTTGCGTCGTAATAACTTTCCTCGTTAATGAGCAGCAGCGCAAGTGGCTTGAGGTGAGATATCTAAACGACGTAGCACCATGATGAAGAGGAGTTAAAGTAGAAACTTACTATCGGATATAATGGTAAGATTTAGGCATAAGTTTGGTATTGGCAGTTGAAGCGTTCGCAGACGTGTTCGCCGCCGAGTGCTTTTTTCATGGTGACAAAGTACTGGTTGGTGTGGACTGAGGTTGGGAGCAGGGTGTCGACGAGGCTGAAGGCGAGCCTGCCTTTGGGGGACGCTCCGATCTGGGTGCCAAGCTGGCAGATGGTTTTCTGAAGGCACTCTCCACTGGCAATGGCGTTGAGGACGATGGAAGCAAGACGAGTCAGATCAGCGTCACTCTGTTCAGAAATAATGAGAAAAGTTTTCCATCAATATCTGCGTAGCCTCAGCCTCAGCGGATGGGTGATGGGTGGGAGAAGACTCATCGAATCCGATTTTCATATAAAATATAATTAAATCAGGGAGGATCCTAAGTAAGCTCTCCCTCCAAATTCTCCCGTCTTTAGTTTCACTAACTAACTACCTTAACCAATGTAATTCCCCGTCATAATTTTCTGTCTCATTTATAACCTCTTCGTCCTCCTCTTCCAGACCAGATTCAATTTGAGCTTTAATAATAGACTCATTTCCCCAGCCCATCATGCGACACACATCACGAGCCCCTTCATAAATCATGGTGCTTGCCCATTTTTCAGAAATTAAACCCCCTCTGCTCCTGCTCCATATGCTCACGACGACGATATGCTCCAAATGACGACGACGTGACATGGAGAGGAGGAGACGAGGATGTGATGGGCAAACGCAACTTTACGAGGAGGACAACATCAATCTTTGGACGACAAAACTCTTGGAATTAGTAATAAATTGAGAAATATGCAAATTCTACAACATCCTGGAAATAAACTATAATAATAAAGCTTCACTTTGAAAAGTTTTGCTTGCCAAGTCGACGCGAGCGGGAGTCGGGTAAGACGTAAATCCTTTCAAAACCAAAGATAAAATGGAAAATCATCACGAGTGGATGAGTCTTGCGAACAAAATGGAACTCTCGGAAACTAAATTACTACTTATTACTCGTCATAATGGAAATAATACACCCTGGCCAAATTTAATATTCCTTCTTCTCCAACGCCTCCCCTACTCCTCACTAAATACCGCCGACGTGGCGAGGATAAAATAAATGACACAAAGGCAAATCTTCACATCCACCTACCTAGTCTTCAACTTATTGTGTTGTACAGGTGAGGGGAGGGGCAATTTGAGAATAAGTTTTCACTTTTGTCCCAGTTGTATGCATATGAACATGACCCTCATTCTACTCTTGTATGTATGCAAGTCTTGAAGTATCTACATATTCAGCCTCATATGCACATAGTCTGATGGAATGTGGGGCAGAGATCCTGTTTAAATCTCAACTCTAATTATAAATTACAATGGACCAAGTTTTTGATTCACGTAATCTGGGTGACCAGGCAGGCGTGTGAGAGAGGTTATTACCACAATGAGAGCTAAATTGGAGGGGAATTTATTAGTGGGCTCCCTCTCATACCTGGGCGACTACGGCTCCCTGACTCTTGGGGAGAGACCTCCTCCTTCGAGATGACTTCCCAGGGACGACGGACTCCTTGGTGGTGACTTTGTCGCTCGGGGTGACTTGGCCTCCCTTCTCCTCGCTGTCCTCCTCGGTGGCAGTGGTGTTGGTCTTGGAGGGCGAAGGTTTGCTACCTTTGGATGCGGACGGCTTTTTGGCTGGCGTGGTGGACGCACGTCCGCTGAAGAAGGGGCTGAACGTGTACCAAAGGGAGCTGAAGGCCAGAGCGGCCGCGATGGTGTAAAGGGACCCAGTCGCAATATCCACCGCAGGTCCTGACCAAAGTTCGTTCGACTGAAAGTAAAAAAAAAAAGTAGGAAAATATGACGTGTGTATGAAACTGACGTTGTTGGCGACGCGCTTATCCATCACGAATCACATCGAATCAATCACAATCAAGCAAATCTGTCAAAACTGTGTTTGGCCATTGCCACAGATTCACAGCCAGCCAGGAGCGATAGAGGCAAGAGGCAGGCAGGCAGGTAGTTTTTGGTGGTGGTGAAAGTTGTGGGGAAAGTGAGCAGAGATTCGTTTATCAATCCCAACTCGGATTCTCACTTTCCCCTGTCAAACCTCAAGATGGATCTGTTCGTCTGACGTTGTTGACCATGAGCTCGATTCTGCTGCTTAATTTCATCCACTTGATGCACCAGAGTAAACTAAGCTCAAGCAGTGGACGGACTGGTCAAGAAGAAGGAAAGGAAAGTTGAACTCACGAGATAGCCTGTGTCATCCGCGTAGTAAGTGGGTCCAGGGCCGGCTCGACCTACAAGAAGATCATTGCATTTGTACCACATTGCCCCTGATTGCTTTCTCCCCGTCTCTCTTAAATGCATAAAGATGTGTAACCGTACCTCCCAGATAAGCCCACCCCGAGGAGTAAGGGCTTCCGTCAGGTGAGTTGGCCAGGTTGAACGAGTAGCCGTGCTTCACCTCAAATCCTTTAGTTTTACTGCACAAAAAAATCAATCATTTTAAAAACCTGGTTCGGATTTATTCGATTTTTCTCTCTCTTTTCCCTCTCAATACGTAGAGAGAGAGAGAGAGAGAAAGCGAGAGAGAGATTGGGCAAAACTCTGGCGAGGAATCTCTATATGTACATAAAACATATCTCCACGGCTTCTATTCACCCTGATTGAATGTATCAAAATCAAGCGCTTGGATAACTTTGTGCTCCATTTCATGCACTTCAAACAGTTTCCAATTATTGAGTTTTGAGTTATTAATTGAATTAAAAAAGTCTTCTGAAAAGCCAGCACACGAGGTTGATCAGATTCTCCAAACTTATTTTTACTTTCTTTCCGACACATTCAAAAAGTCCAAGCGTCATTCGTCTCCTCATTCTCGGTGATTTCCTTTTACCCGGCCCAGTGACTCTTCTCATGAGTCGACATATACCTACAACAGCGTCTCCTCAACAATTCCAAAATCCGCAAGTAATTGAATCAATATATAACTTTCCTCCTTTCTGTTGCTCGCTCTGTGTGTGCGTGGAAGTAGGAAATTGGGAATTCCGGGCGTTTTTCTTTTATTCCCTCTTCCAGCCACACAACTGAACGAATGAACTATATCTAACTAACTAGCCATCTGAATAAGTTCTTGTGTTACGTAACCCACATTTCATCTGCCCAGCACCTAAATATTTATCTGCCTTTGTGCAGGCTATGTATTATTGGCCTAGTTTTGCAATCTGATTAAAATTTCGCAAGCAAGGGGAGAGCGAGGTGAAAGAGTGGAGAGATTTCTTCATACCCGAGGGAAACTCCGGAGGGAGGGTCAGCAGAGTCAGCTTTGGAGGGCGACGAGGAGGCGGATGGGCCAGAGTTTTGCGGTTTACACGAGACAAGCACTTGTCCGCAAATCAAACTTGTCCAAACTAATTGAACAAGAACGCTTTTTGAAGTGGCCATGGTTCGCAAATCAAAACTAGCACAGTTCCACTCTGCTCCCGTGTTGAGGGCCGAATGAGACGCGGGGTGGGATGTGCCCTTATTTATCAACTTTTACTTCAATCCTGGTCATGCAGGGTTATCCCACAGCTATTTATTTATAATTATAAGCCTTTTCTGTTAAATGGAAAATTCCAGCCAGGATTTTGACTCCTTGGGTCAATGATCCAATGAAGAAAAGCTATTAAAGGGATCCACACAAAAAGGGTCGTATTGTCACTTCTCACCTGTCTGTGATGAATATGAGGTACCATTTGGAGCCTTTTTTTACCGTCCAAAATTAGTGGTTAAGGTTTTGGTGTTGTTTTATCAACCATGCAGACACTTTTGTCTCCAAATTGGTACATTACCATCAGAACTTTTGCAGCAGGTCCTGTGTGTTAATCCAAAAACGGCCCACCAGAGACTTGGTTGAGTGACACGTCAAGTTTTTATTTTTTACCGTCGCCCCGCACCTTTTGCTCTGCCTGAAAGAGAGAGGAAGGAAGAGTGGAGAGAAGACAACGGTGGATTTTGTCCCGATTTATCTTCGCCCAGTTTACGACTATCTAAAAAGAGCATAAAAGGAGCAATAAAACATCAATGAAATAATAACTTATTTTTATATTCAACTCCACGCCTTGGTTCCTCTTCCTCCTTTTCGGCATTTCCTCAGGTGGCCTTAGGAGGACCCGCCTAATGATCAGACTCTTACTTACTTATATGCAGCTAGTACCCAGCCGGGGAGCCCACGAGTAGCATAGGACAGAGGAATGGCATGTGTTCACTTTTCATGAGAGGGCTAACCAAACTTAATCCCTTTGGGTTCAAGTGGCACCGTTTTATTCTGCCATAAAATTGACGAGGCTAAACTTTAATCCAATCCGGGTCAGAGACCAACAACAAAAAGAGAAGTGAAATTAAATGAGGCAATGTCACATCAAATTCCAACTCAGGAAGCCCATCCCAACTCTTCTACTGTCATACGTCATACGTCGCATATATGCCCAAATTAATATGTGAATATGTGAGTAGGCACCTAGTACGGGGAGAAGGAAGGAAGAAAGTGGACGAGTGTAACACGAGACAAGCCCACTTTTTTTATGAGACTTATGCTTGATTTTTCTGACCACCCGATTTTTCCAGTCTGAAGATTGATAGCGAAAAATTTTACAGACTGTGCAAAATTTAAAATCTAGAATAAATGCTTTCTCCTCCACCACCCAATCACGTGACTCTTTTTTCCTTATTGCTCATGGACTTGCTATGTTGGGATTATTTTTGTTGCGATTATTGATCTAAGAAAGGGGAGCGATTTTCATCTTAAACCATTAAGATTGCGTCACATAGAGTTGATCGGAGTATGGGGTCCACCAATTTCTGCCTGTCTCGTGCAATTCCTCTGCTCTCCTTGGCGTTGGTACTATAGGCGAGATAATTCCGACCCTTCCTCATCTGACGACGGGGAAGAGTGGAGAGAAATCGAATGAATCAAATAATACGCCCAGCCGTCTTTTAACTCAACTACTCAACATTCCATTTCTGATGTTGTACAGGAGACACGACGAGAATGATTCATGACACTTGTCCTCCTCGCAGTCGTCTTGTGTTTGGAGGAGGAGAAAATAGTGACATCGTGAGAATCGCCAACGTGGTCACCATGTCCTCGTGTGACTACGAACGAACGATAGGGTATGATCATCCTGGTGAAACTTTTGTGTCTATTTTGAGCTTGCTGCTGTGTCTCAGCGAAATTCTTTTATTGAGAAAGATGACTCTTTCTTTGAACCCCTTAATCAATACTCAATCCAGAAAAACCAAAATTCACAATTGGCAGTGGCACCTCGTTCTCCCACGAAGAGGGAGCAGGAAGACCTCTGTGGAGATCAATTTACCAGACACAAAAAGTACATCAAGCAGCACACACAACCATCACATTCTTCCCCGTCACTAAATCATCGCCTGCGAAGAAAGCAGCATTTTTATTATTATTGTTGTTGCATTCGTCTCCTGCTTCTTCCGATGAGCAGCTCAAATTACTTGCGAGACGTATTTGACCCTCCAGTGTCCAATCGCACTGATTAAACTGATGAGCAGTTCTAACCAACGAAGGATAAGAGAAAGCACTTATTTGATACAATGGCAGAGTGTGGTACAAGAAATTTGAGGCAACATGAGACGGTTGAAAGATTTGCAACAACATTATTAATTGTTCAGAACAATTTGTTCTTGTGACCTGCAGGTGGTGGTGAAGATACGTGGCAAGTTTATAAGTATAATACGTATACTCTAAATGGGAGAAGGATTTACCTTTAGAGGACTTTTTTCTTACGACGTATACCGACCGCCATGAATTTTATTAAACACAAACACATTGATAAATAAAATATAAAATACACTATTGGCTTGCGGAGCAGAGGAAAAATCCGATGTTGATGGGTTGGGAAACTTACTACTTGATTCGGACAGGCGTCATTCGCCAGGTCACTATTCGGCCCCTACAAGATTTCTGTAGATAAATTGACCTTAATGTAAAACATAAAAGAATTCCTCGTTGACTTCTCATGACTGACGCCGCAATCCGACGTTGAATGGTCAAGCTGATCCTTTGAATAAGAAATGATGTTGACATTGGTCCAGTGACACCCTTCATCGTCCTCCCACATTTAGGGAACCAAGAATGCTTAAGCATCATGAACGTCCGTCAGACACAATTACATCTCGGGAATGGAAAACAGAGATAAAACACGAGGCGAAGACCAAAAGAAAAAAGTCGACCTCACACAAACGGAAATTGAATTTGTGTCAGGACGATAAAGCTTTTAGTTCGAATAAGGCTGAAGCGGGTTGTCGTCGTGTCGCAGGCCATAGTGCTCGTCGTCATCGTTCATGGCCACATCCGTCCACCAATTGTGCCATATGCATGTCTATTGCCACTATACACCCATTGAGGTTGCGATAGTTTAGTTTTTTTACGTGGTATATATGTATTTAAACAACCATATTTAAAGTATAAATACACAGTAGGTTTTCATTAAACAGTTGCACATATGTATGTAGATATGTAGTGATCATAGAGTTAAATAATATAAGTAGTGATACAAGAATACATGGAAAATCATAAGTAAAAATTTCTCCGGGTTTCCATTCGATATCCAAAGGGCACAAAATCTTGGGGTGAAATGTAGAGGTCCCCTCTAAGCGCATTTAGGACCTTGATATATTTATATAATTATCATAATATATATTCTTTATACACCTTTACTAATCTGAGGATGCATGAATATGGCAAAGTGGTCACCCATGTAGCTCACCTTAAAAAAGCCAACCAGCCAGCAAATCGAAGGAAGACGATCGAACAGAGAGAGGTGCACACACACGTATGCCACAGATCCATCACTGAGTTTTTTGACCACTCCAACCCGACGTAATTGATGAGCTCGTTAGGAGATGGACAATTAGGCTCCGTCAGAACTACATGTAGAAAAAGTGCATGGGTACATACGACCAAAGCATGAAACCAATAACCCACCAAAACCAAAGTCCTCGTCGTGTGGTTATCCCAGTTTTTGTTAAAATAATCCCATCCTCGTCCCAACCCTAATAAGATGCCTCAACAGTGGTTGGGTCTCTCGGTGGGGTATTTATTGCCACCATTATTGGACTGGGAATTGAGTAAGAAAATTTTGTTTACTGATCTAATGTGATCTATGTTATTGAAACAAACAAACGGTTAAAAAATGGCAAACTTAGAGTATTTTGCAGACGATACATAAATTTAATATTTGGAATTCCTTAATTTTCATAGATTCATTTCTTTGGCCATTGAAGTTTTTACTACTGCGAGAAATAGGAGGAAAGCCAAAATTGCTGAGGAAAGCATGATCCGTCCCAAATTTATTGGTCCGATGGACTTTTACGGTAATTTTTATCGGTTGACGAGGAGGCTGAGCCCTGTCCTCAAAGTTCGTGACTTTGGGCAAAAAATCTTTTAGAACAACTTGGCCAACCTCAGATCGGGTGAAAGGCAGAGATGAGATAAATGGATCCTCGTCAGCAGGAGATTCACTTTCTCTCTCCGATAAAATTAACAAGAAGCAGGGAATGAAGCTCAATAATAATGGTTGACGGGAAGTCAGGTCGGACGGAAATCATTAGACGCATTATTATATGCTTTTTGATCTTTATGCATACATACGTACGCAGTTGAATATCCTTCACTGAAACGTGCATATGTACGAGTCTGTTTATATCCAGGTTATACGGATTATTATCTCAAATGGTTTTTTACATGCACATCTTTCAAGTCTTATTGCTCAATTAATTTTCAATTCAACGTAAGCCTGGACTTGAAGTGGCACATTCGCACATTGTTAAAATTTCGCAAAACATGGATGTGGCTTTTTACGAGTATTGACTATGTAAAAGTTGGAATGATGCGAGTCTAAAGGGAGCCTGGTTGGAGATGTTCGTGGGCGAATATGGGCGGGTGAGATTCTGCCGGTCTCTCCACTTTCTTGGTTTCATAAAACAGCAATTTGCATACACCTCCACAGAATAGATTCGCAATTCGCAAGTGCATATTTTGTGTGGTGTTTGGATTGCATTGCTTGCAGCAACAATCGCATTTGGCAACTACTCGTCCTCCCTCCTGTAATAATCCGTCCATTTAATCTCGAGTTGCCTTTTGCTGGATGACGATTTGTGCAGTTCTGCTTTCAACATTTTGTAAATCATTTTAGGTGATTCAAAATTTAAAGCAACGGTCGATTGACAATCTGGTTTGAAATAATATCATTACAACTTTTCAATCAAGTAGTGGTGAGTACGCTGGAATTGGTTAATTTATATATTTACTTTACTTTAATTATCTTTCTTGTATTGTTTAATATCTAGTTTCATATAAGCCTCATCTAATACGGAAATAAAATGAGTCAAAAAAGAAAATCCGTTGAGATGACTCGAACACGGTCCTCGTCTTCCACGTCCAGTGCAACTACGAGACTTCAGGAAATGTCGCTCGTCAATTGGGGGAAGAGGACTGCTCGGAAATCTGCAACTTCTGCACCGCAGCCATCACCCTCGTCCAAAAAGAACGCCAAGAAGGGTGAGAGGGCTGCCAAGCTTCAAGCTGCTGAGAAACTCACTCCAACGAAGTGGTCACCAGCAGTGTCTCCTTCGAAAGGAGGTGTCTCGCCCAGTTCTACGTTGGTACAACGCGTGAAAATTGAGTATGACAAAATTACCAAGAACATTGAAGCTTCAGGCAGAAAGGACAACATTAAGGCATGGGGACAAAATTTGCGAAAAATGGAAGGTAAGAAGAGTCAATTAAGTGCACTAGCAATCCAACTTAAGAAGACTACGTAATTTATTACTGCCCTTTGCATTTTTAGAACTTCACCGTACAGAGTCCGTGGGGAATGGTTTGGAAGTAGACGCATCTGGATGGGTTGCGATAGAGCCACACAGCCCCCAACAAAAAAAGGCATCTGCAGTGTATGGAGACGCAAAGTTGACCACACAACGTGTTCCAATTCGAATAATAAATCATGTCAAAGCCCTTCCTCGGATGCTAACCTGGAACTCGATTCGTTCAAACTTTGTAGTGAGAGATGAACTCGTCCTGCATAATATTCCGTACATGGGTAGAAAATTTTTGTTATAAATTATATACGTTAAATATCTTACCCATTGTGTATTTATTAGGTGAAGAGGTCTTGGACAAGGAGGAAGACTTTATCGAAGATTTGGTGCTCGACGTTTATGACAACAAGGTTCATGCTGAGAGGGATTCCCAGCTCACGGATGAAGTATTCTTCCGATTAGTGAATGCCTTGGACAACGAATTATCTCCATCACAGTCCCCCGCAAAGTTAAAGAAAGAACTTAGCTCTCCAAAACGTGAACGTGTGGATCATCAAGATATTAGTACAAGTAGTAGTGGAAAGAAACCAGTCCAGGGAATGATTATCGACACTGGTGGCAAAGTTCGAAGGGTGAAAATACCAAAAGAAGCAATCTTTAAATCAATTGCAGAGGCATTTCCGGAACAAGGAACAGCAGCTGAAATGCGCGATCGGTAAGTAAACTGGTTGCTCATCATATATTTTTGTAGGATCGTATGGTTCATTCATGTAATGCATAAGCTGAAATATTTATTTGAAATTAATCAAACACAGGTTTGTGGAGCTTGACAAGTTCAAGACCGGGCCGAGTCCTCTTCTGCCAGAGTGCATTCCCAATATTGATGGACCACATGCGGAATCAGTTAGCCGCAGTCAGGCCTTGCATTCATTCCATGAATTGTTTTGTCGTCGTTGTTATAAGTACGATTGTCTGCGTCACAGTAAGTTGATTGTAAACTGGCAAAAAAAAATACTAATTTATTCATATTTATTCTTTGCTCATATTTTTGTACTTTTGAATAGAGATGACACAGCAAAGTGATGAGCCAAAAATGGTTTGCCGGAAGACGCCTGAATACAAAACTGCCCTCCCCTGTGGGCCACAATGTTATTCCAATTTCTCGCACAATGTAAGATTTTTTAAATATCATGTATCATGCATGATAAATTGTTGATTCAAAATCTTGATGTAAAGGTGAATGATTCCGATACCGAAAATGAAGATACTGTTGATACGGATCGTAAACCAAAAAAGAAACTCCGCATGGAAGGCGCGTCTGGGTCAGCCAATAGCAAAGACCCCGATCATGCAAAAAATAAGAAAGAAACTGAAGCAAATAGTAAAATGGGGAAAGTTTCATCCGTTCGACGTCTCAGTTGCGACACTACAAAGTCAGATGACTCTAATTCTAATGACGGATTTTCTCGAAAATCAAAAGTGATGCTCCAACAAACAAAGTCAATCGTACACGAACTACAAGAAGCTCCGGCCTTTGTTAAAGATTTTCAAAAGGGTATCTCACAAGAATGGAATGGAGGTAGCCAGGCGTAAAACAACTATCTACTAGTTAACTCTTTGTATAGTTGAAGTATGTCATTTAAATCATCCCCTCCTTGTTTATCCAGCGGAACAAAGCCTGTTCCGAACAGTGCAAAAAGTATTTGGAACTAATTATTGCCTGATTGCAAGGACATTGATTAGTCGTACCTGTGCGGAGGTACATCTTTTCGTGCATACATGTTAAATTCGGGTGTCAGCTCTAAAAAATAACCTATTGTAATGCAACAGGTGTACGACTTTTCGAAAAAAGATGCGGCCGACGACGCCTTGGAGACCCATAAGGAATTGACTCCACCAAGGAAGAATAATAAACGCAACAAAAAGAAGAATCGTTCGTGGGCCATGCATCAAAAGAAAGATCGCGTTGTTGCAAATGTATTGAACAATTACGTTCCTTGCAATCACAAAGGAGAATGTAGCGCCTCGAACCCAGATTGTCCGTGCGCTCAATCATTGATACATTGCGAAAAATTTTGTTCGTGTAGTGCAGACTGTAAGACCCAATCTAATTATAAATTAAATAATCCAGTAACGGTTGTCTGACTGAATGCATTATAAAATTGTGACGTTATTGTAACCAATAAATTGTTCTGGGCTTCAGGCCCCCACAGATTTTCAGGGTGCCGATGCAAGGCCCAATGTAATACAAAAGCGTGCCCATGCTTCGCAGCAACTCGAGGTATGAACCCGATAGCATTTTTTTAAGCTTACCTTTATAAATTAGTTTACATGAATGTTGGCTTATCCTATGTAGTTTTTTTCTGCCTTAAAATTTAAAACAAAATATGGCTAACTCTTAATTTTAAACCACGTTTAACCATGTTAGAATGCGACCCCGACCTCTGCCAAGTATGTGGATCTTGTGAACACGATGTTTCGAAAATGTCTTGCAGAAATGTTAACTGTCAAAAAGGATTGAGTAGGTTTCTCATTATCTCAAAAATTCACAGAGACTGTATAGATATATATATTTAATTGTGTCAAGATTGAAATATTTTGTGTTGTTTAGATAAGCACCTTCTTCTTGCTGAGTCGTTGGTAGCTGGTTGGGGAATTTTTATTAAGGATGCAGCACAAAAGAACGAATTTATTTCAGAATATTGTGGGGAAGCTATTTCTCAAGAAGAAGCAGATCGTCGGGGACGAGTGTATGACAAATCGAAATGCAGTTTCCTCTTCAATTTAAACAACGGTAATACATATTTACATGATCCTGGTTTTCATTTTTGTACTCTTGATTCCATAATTCACTCATATGTACATTTTATTGCAGAATATGTCGTGGATGGTAATTTTTCTTGAACTAACAGAATACACGATAAGAAGGCAATGTTTATTTGTTGTATGATATTTGTTACATTAGCCACGCGCAAGGGGAACAAAATACGTTTCGCCAACCATTCCGTTAACCCCAACTGCTCGTCCAAGATTCTGAAAGTGAATGGAGATCATCGGATTGCAATTATTGCTAACAGAGCCATTCAACCTGGAGAAGAATTATTCTTTGATTACAGGTAACCCTTACTTTCCGTTTGAAAAGGAATTATAGAAAATCTTACAAATTCTATGCTCAATTCTTTGCATCTCCAAGTAGATCTGATTATAAGCTTTAACATGTGTTTAACATGCTTTCTTCTTCTTCCTTAATACTTGACAACGATTGCATGTCCCAGCCCAAAGCAAGATGCATAAGGATTTCAAAGATTAGGGTTTGCAATCCCTTTGTATAATTCCACTCCGCCAAGTAGTGGACCATATAGATCAAAGAAGGAGAAAAGCCTTCAGAGGAAAAAAAGCTTTGTTGGCCATAAGAAATAGATAATAATATTGAAGACGACTTAGTATTATTATTAAAATAAGCTTCTCAAAATTTTTTGAATATTACTCTTTTACATACACACTATTTTGTATTGTGTTTCTGCAGGTATGGTCCAACGGAGCAGCTGAAATTTGTGGGGATTGAACGAGAGACTGAAACCGTTTGAAGTTTTCGACAAGTACTTAACCACACCAGTGTCAAACTAAACCTTAATATGTGTATATTCCTGCTGTCATTATATTACCAATTGTAATTATACCAAACCTAAAACTAACTGTGATAGTTCATATTGGTGCCTAAGATTTAAGACTAGTTACAATCAAAACTGTTCACCAATCACCAATCTAATATGTCCATGATCTGTTTTCTGATAAGAGATTTCTGAGATGTACGACGCAAATATGCATGATTTCATATCTTTATTTACTTTGCATGCAATTAGTTGGTATAAATAAATCAATTTAGTTGTCATAATTCAAGGTGAAAAGTAACCTAAATTAATGACAAGGCAAGAGACAAGAACCGGCGATATATAGAATAATTTCAGCATAATGAAGATTCATCCTTAGCGTATAGGGTTTGTATATGTATTTTTTGTGCAGTACATTTTTGGTACAAAATACACACAAATTGTGCTTTCCCATAAAATTCGTTTTAGTAAAATGTAGTCCACGGGGGACGCATTGGATAAGCTTTTCTAATTAATGCTTGAGCCTCTTGCTTTGCAATGCGGCAAATGTCATCATATCGCTTTTCCAACTCGCCGTCAATTGGACGATTTGCAAAATCAGGTTTACCATGACTGTCCTATTTCAGAGGAAACAAAACACAGTGTACAGTTATCGTCTTAAGGAACACAGTAAGTCAATTTCTACATCTATTTACCATGCAAAAAGCGTCAAATGCTTTTCCACATTCATTTTTACTGGCGTCCAGAATTGACACGAGGGAGCGAATATTAGCTTGGTTGCTTTGCAATTTTGCAAATTCTCGTTGGGCGGCGGCGGCAGTCTGTTGCAATGATTATTTTAACTATTGTAGAAAGGGAATTTTTTTTCTAGCAACGATGAAGATTAGAACTGAAGCAAATCATTGTCCGTGAATACCTCTTTCCTCTGCTCCTTTGTCGTCAAGAGATTTAGCTCGTCAGCCTCATCGCTGAACCGACGATTTGGTTCCAGTTGATCGAGATTCAACTCGATAGCCACCAATCTTGACAATGCATTGACAACTTCCTTCAAAGTTTCGTTGTGCTCTGTCATGTACTGCTTAAGAAGATTTTGCTTCTCTCCAAGTTCAGTAACGAGAGGGTTTCCGGTTTCCGTCCTGGCAAATGCCTCCCAACATTTACACTTAAAATGCAGATTTGCAATGAGGCTGGTACCATCGATGGGGTCGGCTGTGCCAACGGGGATCACTGAGATGCTTCTGAAAATGCGTTTTAATTTGTTTCAATTGATGACGGACTTTTGGCAGTTCGAAACGATTTATAGGCAGTATATATTAATTAGTATATTTATAATTATTGACCAATTAAAAAAGTAATCATATTACAAATCTTGTATTGGTCCATCATCGGCCACTGTTGCTATTGTATCGTCGCCTTCATCTTCTTCCTCATCATCCTCATCCGCACTTTGCTGTTGAGAAGCGCTCTTCTTATTTACAAGGCGATCTCGCTTTTTGTTCATGTCTCCTGACTCATCGACATCTTTGGCATCTTGGCGTCCTTTTGTGCGGCCAGTTCGAGCATTCACAACGCTCTGCCTGGGTGCCCGTTTCTTATTTTTCTTCTCATCAGCCTTATCTGCTGACAGTTTTGACGCCTCTTCCTTGTCGGGTTTTAACTTTTTAGTACTCGAATTTAGTTTCAAGTTTTTCTTGGATTCTGTTTGGGATAAACTTCTATTTGACTGGGTCTCAGACATATCGGGTTGTTCTTCGTTGACCTTGCCGTCATCATTGTCCACAGTTTCAACTACGGCATAGTAAACTTTAGTAATCTTTTATAGCTATAACTAACTATATCACGGCACCTTTATCTCGTTCATTTTCTTGTGCAAGTTCTTTGTCCAGGATTTGGCCCCAAACTTCTTGGAAACCATCAAACATGGACTTTACTTGATCCTTGCAGGATCCATCCAAGCTGTCCAATTTTTCCTCGAAAACTGACGCAGCCGTCTTAAACACTTCTCTCATTTTATCTGGGTTGAACATCCCCCTTCTGTCCCCCGAAAGGTCATTTGTGTCAACTCCCGCCTCTTCACACGTCTTCTGTTCGAATGAGGAACAATCCTTGGGACCACTTTTTCTTGTTATTTCACATGGAACGCATCGTGCTCGTTCAGCAAATCGCATAATTTCCAGAGTTGAATTCAGGAAAGCACGTTCAGGTCGAATATGAAGAATTAGTCTCACCATAGCACTTCCGGAAACGGTATCTTTAAGACAATGAGCCAACTTGCTCTGACGGAAGTACTGGCTGGGGTTGACATTTGGAGGCCTCATTAACATGTACATTCCCAACTTTTGAAGCTGCCACAGTGAAATATTTAAAATTAAGGTAACATATATTTCCATACATATGTATGTAGGCGAAGTCCTTTAAAAAATTCTCACCTCGTTGTAATACTCGGTAATTTTACGCAAATCATAAGATTTTGTAAACATTTGCTCTAAAAAGTACATGTCCTTGCGAATGCTAATCATTTCCGCCAATGGTCCTTGGGGCCCACCGCAGCATTTCCTTGGAATGCCATCGGTAGCGTAACAATTGTCTTTTCGTAAACTGGAGGTATCTGCACAGCCAGTCCGACACAGCGAGAAACTGCTTTTTGAAGTTTTTACGGCAGATAACTTCTTCATCTTGTCCTTGGATGACATTGACGCGATTTTAGCAAAAGTGATCTAAGCACACGGATTTCAGATACGGATTGAATTACGGCATAAATAAAATACCGGTATAATTATCACTGCTACCTACCCTTGACCTCCAAGATTCTTGCTTATATCCGCAAACTTTAAGGTTTGCGAGAATATCAATGTAAATTAGTGTGTGATACTTGGCATGAGCATCGCCTGGCATTTGCCGTTGTCCTTCTAACCCTCGAAAAATTAAGCCAAGTGCATGATCCACAGATAAAACCTCTTCAAAAAACAACCCCTAAAATTGCCCAATATGTATCATTCATCCACGTCGTCCTTCTTTATTTTGTTAGATATGCGCTGTGCTATACCTTTGGTCCAAAGTTCCCAACTCTTGTCAGCTCGTTGGCGTTCAGTGTTATTAAATCTTTCATTTTATCCTTCCGAACTTGAAACATGCTGAGAATTATGTGAAAATCGCCCTTATTCTTTGAATCCATTCGTGAAAATATGTCTTCAATTGCTCTTGGCACAATTCCGCGAAACTGTGTCGAAAGATAAGTGATTAAGTAATACCACGTCTTGTTTGTCATTTCTTTCACTTTCTATTTACACTCGTATCACTATCTAGTTGTAGTATAGAAGTACATGAAAATAGCTGTCTGGTCCAAAAAGTGAGTGCGACTTTCCAGAGGCTTCCGGGCCGATGCATGAAACGACGCCCGACACTCCCTCCATAGCATTATCAACAATTTCAGATACTGCCACATCATACAACTCATCTTGACTCGCTCCATGCAAAATGCCTTCAGTTTCAAAAGAAAAACACACGGTCTTTCCAGACTTCTTTTGAAATAATCGGTCTTCTGGTTTGATCACGAGTTTCAGAGTCTATGAATAATGTCGCGTTTCTCACAAAATAAATATTTCTAAAGTTATGATAGATTCAGATTTATACCTTCCGATCTTCTCCAATTTCATACAAACCATTGTCAATCGCACCTTGTCTAATTCGTACCCAAATTTGTGGTTTATCCATTTTTGAACCTTGATCAGAAGTTGGAACTTCTCCGTCGTCCCCACCTGTTTTACGATCCTCTGGCAAGACGCGAATATATATTATGTAATTGGGATTTTGCATCACTTATTCTTATTGTCTCACTGTTGGCGAAATAAACCTCATTTATTATATTTGTTTCATACTAGCAACTACTTCACCATTTGAAATGTTGTCGTCATTATTGTCGTTTCCTTCGAGCAGCACCCCCACCGCTGGCTCCTCCACCCGGCTCTCCTCGTCATTCAGTTCCCCACCACTTGGCAGCAGTGTGTCCACCCCTTCGTCCTGCTCTTCCAAGGAACCCTCCCCCTCAAATATCTGAAGCGTCTCGTTGATGTGAACATTTTGGGAGCTCATCAGCACTGCGCTATTAGCATTCTTTTTGGACATTTTTATGCACGATATACGAAACAACAACCTACGTCATGCACTGCAACACATGATTACTTGACTTTTATCTAAATGGACTTCTTGCTCTATCTATTAATTTTAGGTGGCTGCATAATTTTGTAATTTTGAAATGCATGTTCCCATTAGAAACTTATTAGTAATGCACCGCCCACTCTCGTGAAAACATCAAAATTGTTTTTGTAATTCGATACGTCGGTCATTTCTCAACCGATTTAATACTCAATTGCTATTGACAAAAGACAAAATCAATCGTATCGTATGAAACAAATTTGGCTATTTCCATTCTACATGACGTTTATTACTTTTCATTAAATTAAAATCATCCAATTATATAGAAGCTATGATTTAAGATGTGAGCCATCAACACGGTTATAATAATGACACGATGATTGATTTAATTACAAGTTGGTTGAAGAATCCATGAACTTGAAGTACAACAAAATTTAGAGGAATCTATTTGACTGGCAGTATTTACTTTTTCCATCTGTTGTTCTCATAGTCCCAGTTTGACGTAAGACCATCCACAGGGTCGACACGGATATCAATCATGCGCTTCAATTGGGCAGATCGCTTCTCCTCATTGGTGATCGTGTCTGGCATTGGAGGGTACACTGCAGAGAAAAATAATTCAACAAAATAATAAAACACAGCATATTAGTCGATACAAAATAAATTATAATTGGTAAAATGTGCGAGTAAGGATAATAATGGGATATTTGTTCTGTAGTAATCAAATTTAAAGGTCATTTTGTCCTTTTGCCATTTTGGCCCTCACAAACAGTGAGTCTCGTCCCACTCCTTGCCACAAAATAAATGATATATGGCTTACCAAACACTTTCGCCCACATGTACATCCAATAGCTTGCTGCCACCAGACCTAATGTACAACCTAGAATACTTTTCCATTCTCCGTTAGGTGCTCGCATTTCACTGTAAGTTTGACAGAAGCTTGCTCGATAAAGCGCTTTCTTCTCTTCCACAGACATTTTCTTCCAGTCCCCTTTTTCCTTCTCGCGCAGGGCCTGAAAAATAAAGTCAATACCTGACGCCAAAAGTATAAATACGCGTATAAACGCTGGAATTGAAGTCGTACCATGACTTCAGGAGTGTTTTCCTTAAACCTGATGGCAGGCATGGGAAAAGCAATGTGATCTACGTAGGTGTATTCTCCATTCAAACCGTAGCCGACGACATCCCTGTTGCCGATCCTGGAACGGTTGTGGACAGCGGCGACTTGCTGGAAGAGTACCGAACTCGGTTTGAACTTGGTCAACTGCATTAATGGGCCTGCCATCCTCCTGATGTCCTGACCATTTAGGAAAATACAAAATATTAAATACGCTATTGTTAATTAACTTTTATATTTTTGTGGTTCCCATCACTGGAGAAGCCGTCATAAAAAGTAGTGTAGTTAATAGTGAAGAGGTAGTGAAATAAGGTTATCGAAATTATCTACGTGACATAAGTTGAGCCCTGCTCCATCGAATTGCTATTATTATTAATAATTTATTAACTAGGAAAGGGGCTGGATTTCGCGTTACGTCTACATCTGAACCTCAAAATGCGAAAGGGGTGCTTACCTGTGTGGACTTAAAATTGGAGAATAATATTGTTCCTGTTCTCTGTGGAGGGAGGCAGGTGAATGGCGACTGGATATTGGCGACTGTTTTTGCTTTTTCACATCAGAAATGTGTGTAAGGCAGCTGACTTGTTCTGCGCTCACTCTCCCAGAGCGATCTCACGGCCATCTCTCACAAAATTTGTGCACCACCACCGGCCGGCTATTATTACAATGCATCACGCATGAAATCCTGCATTCATGATTCGGATAAGAACTAAACTAATCATTTGATTCCACTTTTGAATAGATAAGCATATAATCAACTTAAGTAGAATGCATTTAAACTTAAAAGAGATGCGCCATGAAAAAGAATTCCATGTCAGACCTTAAATTCGGTGACTTAACGCAAGTTACTTTATTAAATCTAGACTTAAATAAAGTAGAACACATTAATCAGATGAATTCACATTATTAATAATGCATAGTTTATCATCTGGTACAAAAATTGTATGCTATACGACACGTATAATCGTCAGTGTTTATCGCAATCGTATGTGTTAACCAAAATCAAAACTTAAACAAACTCGAACCAAATGTGTGTAACTAAACGAATGCATAAATCACAATAATTACAAAGTCTTCTGTCCGCTACTACACATTAGTAGATACACATTAGTTGGCAATTAATTGGTATACATATAGAATTTTGAATTCAAAATATAAAATACGCAATTATGCTGTAGAGCTACATCTCTAGTATACTACTGCTACCGATTCAATATTTCTATTGCAAAAGTTAATTAATCGTTTAATTCAGAGTCAATAGTTTAGACAGCCTCTGTTCATTCCAATCAGATATAATAATATGAACTATAATATTCTCTAACAAAATCCATAACTGAGATTTATAAGTAATGATTGAAATTGCAACGAAATTTAACATAAATATGTATATGCAGAATATGCAGCTAGAAGTGGTTACTCTTAAATTCTTTTCAGTCAATTCAATGCGTAATTAAATCTTATAGTTTCTTCTCCGTATGTTAAACGACAAATACAAACAAGAACAATATATATCCGAGAATAATATCAAACTCCTATGATGTTAATACGTGCATATCAGTAGTCGAGTACGTCAAACTAATTATCACGAATAAAAAATACAGCTGCGAAGGTTTACTTGTTTCCTCGTACTATTAGCAATAATTTTAAAGTAGTCTTGATGTATAAACAGTACACTAAACACAAAAATGGTTTCTACTAGATTTTCGATTGATTTAATTGAAAAAGTTTTGATTTTGCGCATCACCGGCAAAGCAATTCAACTGAGCGTAGAGGTAGGTAATTCAAAAGATCATCGATTTATGTTGCGTAGCGTTTAGTCCACAATCGAGCGACACGATCATGCTCTTCACGATTTTGAAGATACTGTGTTGCAATTGATCCAACAAGAGGATCCGCTGTAATTATCATCATACACACACGCAATATAAATATTGAAGCATTATAAGTATTATTCATTTATAAGCAGGTTCCAACCTGGGTTACAGTCTGTGAGCAAACTGCATATTGAGAGTAACACTTTGGAAACTGTCAGAGCAGGGGACCAGTTATCCTTGAGAATGTCTAAGCAGATGACCCCTTGGCTGTTTATGTTGCAGTGGTATATCCGGGTCCGGAATGTGACCTGGATAACAAATTTTTTTTAAGCTACAAAATTATTACCAATGAATATAAAGTCACCCACCTTTGGAGGCTGGTGGAGTTTGAATAAGGTGTGCAACCAGATTTGAACCATTATCGTTGTTGGTTTAGTCATCACATAGGGGGAATTAAAAAAATAATGCATGTTTGTCATTAGTTATAGATTATTAATCGGGGTGGTTATCAACAATTGATATAAATAATTTTATTTCCTCAGAGTAAACCTAAACAGCCACAACTGGAAATTATAAATACAGGCCAACTCTGAAGGAAATATTAAGTGAATCTTGTTCGAGGTGAACGTAATGCAATAAAAGAAAGATCCGATAAAGACAATAAATAAGATCATAAACAAACCTTAAAGGGGTACTCTGGTGAAAAGTGTATATCCAAAAAGAACACACCACCCTCATAGACAGATCCAGGTGGGCCTGTTATGCATTATATGGCGTTAATTAGTACGGAATGCGTAATATGTTATGTATGTAAGTGTACCAAGGATTGTAGACACCCATTCGTAGAGATTATCCCCCTTTGGCCCTGCACTACAATTTGGTGGAGGATCAAGGGTAATTTCCGCTAGTTCTTTCTGAATCCTGCATAGTGAATAAAATATTTATTGAAATACATTATTTTTCCACAATTTATAGTATCACTTTATTAGTTCTAAAGCGCCTACCTCTTTGCAGAAGTTGATAACGCCTTCGACATCTTGGGGTTAGTTTTATATTCTTTCGGAGAATCAGTTCGTCCCGAGTTTTGTCGCCCAGTAGTGTTCCCACCGGTAGTGGACCCAGTAGCATTTCCACCCCCACTGCCGCCCGAGGATCCCGAACTGCTAGACGTGCCCGTTGCACTACTCGACATGGTTTTCTTTTGAGTCAATTTCTTCCAAGTTCCAGAATACAGAAGCAGAGAAAGCTAAAACAATTAATGATAATTGTAGTTTCTAATTTAGTTGCACAAAATCCAACAAAATAACGTTAATACCAAGAATTTCCAAATGATTTGATATGATATAAACAAAGAATATGTACACACACGGTGGAAAAATTTACAAATAAATAACGCAGCGTGATACTTTTTCTTGATAACACAAGACACGTACACGTCCCTGCTAAGCGAGAGTTTAATACATGGCAGAAATTCTACTGCAGAATAGCAGCTCGAGTCGAGAGAAAACCTTGAACCTTTCTTGCACTGGATATTCTTGTGTGTGCAAATTCATCACCATCACAAGTTTGAAGTTGGGTGAGCGAGGTTTATATGTTTATTTATCTATCCGTTACTGCTTGTTTAAACTATGCCTTAGAGTTACGTAGATAAATACAACATTTCAATAATTTCAAAGAATTATAGCCTATTAAAAAATTAAGACGCACCTTTTTCCAAAACTTGTAAAAGGAAGTTGGACTTTAGTTTTCTGTTCAATTTGACAATTTGTTGAGAATCAAACTAAGAATTGGATGATATGATGATGACGATAAGGGAAGAAGATAATGATAATATTGGCGTGAGAGAGATGAAGGAAACAGCAACAACTACACTGGTTGAAATGGAAAACGAACAGCGAGCCAGGATAAAACTGAATCCGCTGAAGCTTCCTCTCTCTCACCCAGCAGCAGACTCATTGTGTACTTGTATAACTCAATTCGTTGTATATACAATTTGTATATACTATGGTGCACATTATGGAAAAACTACTGAAACAAGTACACAAAGACTTTGCTGCTATAGGCAAGAAAAATTAACTCGGAGATTTTCATGAGATTGGTTTTCAGAAATGAATGTAATGAATACAAGGAAAGTTTAATCGAATAGGAGTCAGTCTGTTACTTTAATGTTATTGCTGCAATTATTGAGGGAATTTGAATCACAGTGAATTTGAACAAATTGTTTGCATGGAATTTTGGGTAGTAAGAGTCCTAATTTACTCGTGGATGAGTTTAGTGGTGGGGTAGTCTTGGAGGAGGATCTTGTCCCGGTCGTCGGGGCCGTAGTACCTTCGGGTGAACTTGTCGACCCTCTCGTTGAGGTTGGGTGGCGTGATAAAGTGCGTCCTTGTGCTCTCGACCTCCCTCTGACTCCCCTCCATCTGACTCACCTGGCGAGACAGCGTTTCAACCTCCAGCTCCAGCAAATGGTTCTCCATCCGAAGCCGACCTCGCTCCTGGACATTCAACACTAATTGTTGCATTATTTCGGCGTTAAGTTTTACATAATTTGCATACCTCCTGCATCCTTCTGTTCTCAAGGAAGAGGCGAAACCAGGCAGGATGCATCCATCCCAAAATGACGTCCAAGTCTTGGCGGATCACTTCCTCCATCACGGCCACCGTGTCCTCAGTCGCTACGGACATTTCCCATCCCAAAAGTTGGCGAAGCGTGTCACGTTCAGTGAAGATTGAATCACGAATCTTTTTGTTGTTAAACAGAATGGAAACATGATGATAACAATATAAGCTATGGTAAGGATTTGATTGGTCTTATTTTCCCCACTTTTTGAAGAAGTGCTATTGTTGCAGCAATTTCAGCTTCTGGTCCAGAGATTTTAGTATCTGCATGTTCCTGCCAGTCTTTCAAACTTTCAACAGACTCCTGAATCTTTTTTTCCATTGCTAACATTTGTCGTTCGACCTGATAAAAATAAAGTTGGTTACATGTTTTCCATCTGTCCAGGTTAATAACACGTAAATTTCCTTATTAAGTACCTCTTCAAACTCTCGCATTTTTTCCGCAACAGCCTTCGCGATTTCTTCCTCTTTATTTTTACGAAACTGTTTGAGCTCTGCACGAAGGACGTCCAGACTCTTTTTTAAGTCACGCCATTTATCAATCAATCCTCGAACTTCAAAATGATCATCCCACTCGGATTCGTCTAGTGCATCGAGAACGGGACCCATTTCCTCAAAAATTTGCTCAAAGTGATCTTCATATTTTTTGAACGAGTTTGTAATTCGTTCAGTCAACCACTGAAATAGTGCATTCCGATCCGACAATGTTATTATAGGGTTATCATCACGATATATTTATATTACCTCAATAATGTATTTGGCCTTATCGAACTCGGTGTATAACAATTTTCTGAGCTTCTTGTTAATTTTGGTGTAAGGATTGGACATTAGTCCACCTGTACTTTTGCACATTAAACATTTCATGTCCCCATACACTCCACCATGCGGCTGAGGACGTGGAGGCAGTGGGTAACGTTTCCCACACATGACATCGCTAATGGATCCTCCTGCAAATCTCATAATAATTCGATGATAGTACAGGCAATGTGTTTGAAATTCTACATCATGCTTTAAGTACATAAACAATGTAACACCTTCTTCGAACGGTTTCGGGGGTCTGGTCGTCTTCTCCTTATGACCAACGTCCGTGGTTGGAATGATCACATCCGGCTGGTCCTGGAACTTTACTAGGCGTCGCATCTTCTTGGCATCCTAAGCAGACGCAGTATATATTGAAACTGTTGATGAAAATAGAGCATTACGTGTCGACTAGAGTGTGGACGAACCTTGACGAGGTCTTCAGCGACAGGAGGAAACTGCTGAAGTTTTGGAGCGACCTCTTGAACTTTCTTGCCCTTGGCCCCTTTCTTCCCTTTGGCGGGGGGTGGTTTCTTCTTGGCCCCCTTTTTCCCATCCTCCTTCCCACCCCCCATGATGAAGCCTTCGAAGGGGACCCCATATATCCGGGTAAAGGTGAGAATCCCTACAAAAAGTGTATACATAATTTCCGTCATCCACCAACATGTCACGCTATTCATTATAATGAAATACCAAAGAGGTCAAGATTGAATTTCCGGACCTTCCCCTTTGGCTTCTTCTCTTTCTTTCCCTTTCCACCCTTCTTTGATGCCATTTTGACTCGTTTGGTACTTGTTTAATACTCGTAACAATGTGCGACGCTTTATTATGGAGTAAAAAACTGGTCCTGCAGCTTTATCACGATGGTGCGACAATCAGTAAGTGGAACCTGGAAAAGGATAGTGATTGTGATCTCATAATCATGCATTTTCTTGTATTGCATTTATTTCTTTCCTCTGCTGTTCATATAAAAAAATGCAAGTAGCAAATTTTTTAGCGAGACTGCGGAGTTGTATGCAATCCACGAGGGGCAACCGGGTTCAGGGATGTTGAGCCAGATTTGAACAACATCATTGAACTCGACTTACACATCATTCCGTCAACAACTCCATAAACTCGACAGTTCATTCATTGTATTACAATTATGCATTATTGACATTGTATTGAAACTATTATTCTAATTGTAATTGGTAGTTGATGGAGTCAACAGTTAAAGACGGTTGTTGTTGCAGCAATACAAGTGGTGGTGGTGATAGTTAGTTATTAGGTTTAAGTAAGCTGGTGGTGATTCATATTTTAATTTGTATAGTTGGAAAGTTAAGTTTGCAGTCATCCCTTTCCTCATCTTCTACATGAGCCTGAGTCTGAGTGGCCCACACAAACTTCAAGGTAACTATGTAATGATAATTATCAATGAGATGAGAGTAATACCAATGAAGTGAGTAAGGTAATCACAAACAAAAGTATATGAAGTATTAATGAAGCTGTTTGTCTAACTCTGATTACAGCTGGATAGAGATACAGAGAGTAAAAGGATCTTCCTGGATTACCTTTCGAATGGTTATGGATTAGCTGACCAACAGTGATTTCATCCTATCTGACCAATCTATACTCCTAAATTCTTACAATAAATCTCCACACACACACACTTGAAACCCGAAAATTTGTGAGTTAGTTTAATTTACGTCATATCACCAATATTCATTTCAGTGAGTTGTGTTCAATATATTATTGAATATTCATTTACAGCTCAAATTCAAAATTCTATCAACCTTTGAGGAGAGAATACAAGAAATTATTTGCTATTTACTGATGAAAGTGAAATATCCTGACATTATCACTACTGTTTAAGAATATCCAAGTATTATAATGTTAAATGAAGAAGCAATTGAAGTACCTACTAATTCCGAAGCTTTCTTTAGTAGAGATTGATAACCAGTACGATAAGCACACAGTAGTTCCGTTCCAGTGAATTATTCTCGTGTTAGTGGAATGCCTCACGCGACTGATGCGGAAGAGAAGCAACCATTCCTTGTGAATCTCCAGGATGAAGAGGATGAGCGCAGTCATAACCTGCAGAATCCTAGCCACCTAAACAGTAAATCTCAACAACATCACATCAACATTGGTAGTCACGGAAATGGAAATGGGGAGGTCAATGGGGGGTTGGTTTCATCGAACACGAACGGTGGAGGTAGCGGCGGTTCCCCTTCCAGTATCGAGCAAATGAGAACAGCTCGTTCTCTGTACGTGATGAAACTTTTGTCGGCCCTCTTCTATGCCGTCGCGTCGTTCCTCATCACCGTTGTCAATAAGGTTGTCCTCACGAGTTACAAGTAAGAGAGATAAAATTCAACGTCTACTTATATGACCCATTCCATTTAAGGTCGGAAATGTGTATGACAATATTTCTTGTTTGCTTAGATTTCCTTCTTTTCAATTCCTTGCATTGGGCCAAGTATTTGCGACGGTTTTTGTGCTATTTTTCGCCAAGCAGCTACGATTGGTCTCATTCCCTTCATTAGGAAAAGATTCATTTCGAAAGGTATACATTCACATCTCAATTATTTTATTATGTGCATTTAGCATTCTGCCGATAAATTATCAAAAGCAAAAAAGACGTATAAGAAGTTTATCTTGCATTTTAGATATTTCCACTTCCTCTCCTCTTCATAGGAAATGCAATGACTGGTATGGAGCTGCAATGTATACAAACATATCATTAACATACACAAGACTGTAGCAAGTGTTGTATTGAATTATTAGGTCTCGGAGGAACAAAGACATTAAGTCTGCCCATGTTTACCGCTCTGAGAAGGTTTTCTATATTGATGACCATGCTTTGTGAGCGGTATATTTTAGGGTATGTACTAAATTTCACAGTTTGTACTGTAATAATATTATGCATGATATCCTCATTTATTAATTAGCAATGTTAAATATTTAGAGTTCGTCCTTCTATGCCAGTCCAAGTTTCCGTCTATACTATGATAGGAGGCGCTATTATTGCTTCAAGGTAAAGATTGATTCAGAATATTTCTCAACGTTGACTGCATTGGAAAAATTTCAAAGTAATAAAGTGTTATTTTATGCTCAAATTCATTCCAGCAACGATCTTGCGTTCAGTGTTGAGGGCTACACTCTTGTTATGCTGAATAATATGTTTACTGCAGCCAACGGGGTTTACATTAAGAAAAAGTTGGACTCTAAAGAATTTGGAAAATATGGATTAATGTTTTACAATGCTTTCTTTATGGCCGTACCGGCGTTCTTATTTGCATACATTGGGGGTGAAATTCACAAGGTCCGTTATGTTAATTGTGATGTATAAAAATGTCGTCTAATCAATAACGCATTATTATTGATATTTTTTATTAATCACTATTTTTTAAATTGTTGATGTATAATTCCAGGGATTGGAGTACGACGGATGGGGTGACACAGCATTTGTTACAAATTTCCTCATATCTTGCTTCATGGGATTTATATTAAATGCCAGGTAATTTAAAGGTTACAATTGTGTCAATTATACATAAATCTTAGTAAAAATGTTGCCCATTCGGTCCGTTGAATCTATTAAAACGAGAAAACGATGTCTGTCCTTAATCCATACATATACGTCTGACAAATGAGTACGTGTATGTACGCTAATTATTCATGTTTACTGTTTGCAGTGTAGTGCTATGCACTCAATATAATTCTGCATTAACAACCACAATCATTGGGTGCTTAAAAAATATTTCCGTGACTTATCTTGGAATGTTTATCGGAGGAGACTACGTTTTCCACTGGGGTAATTTTATTGGGATAAACATAAGGTAAGCATTTGTCGAGTACTTTTTAAATTATTAAATACATTCATAATACTGAAATACACTCACTATTTTTTTGCAGTGTATTTGGAAGTTTGCTCTATACTTACGTCACCTTCAAGAGGCCAAGCAACGGGAACAACAAATGATAAATGTGCCAGTTTTGTTTTATAATGTGTGTTGAAGCTTTCTTGGGTTAAACTAGTCTCACCAGCCAAAAAATGCAAAAAGTACTACGGTGAACTGATGTCATTCATTTCAAAATAAATGTCTGAAAGATTAATTTTATTTCATCGCTGCACATCATCACATTGTATATTTGATACTGATTTGCAACAACATTACGGATAAAAAATATCAAATGTTTTGGGCTCAAATTCTCAAAAAGTGAACTGAAACTTTATTTATTTTGTGCTAAATAACAATATAATAAGTATGGAGTCTAATAATGTAATAACAATGCAATTTTTTACAGTATTGACTATTCCAAAATAGTTTTATAATAAAAATGTGACAATAACAGGAAGTTTTGTGTTTTTAGTGTGAGTTTTTCGTTTTCGAAAACAGGTCACAGTTCTAGGATTACATGTCGACTTGTTACATGGCATGGCATGGTTTCTCAGCTTTTAATATTTTCATAATATTTCTTGTATGCTCATTTGTAATATGTTGTGTAAAACTCCTAATGTGTCCATTCTCGCACGTAACAACACTTGTCAAACCATAATAATGTATACAGTCGTTTGATTGATGGCTGTTTATTTACTTAACTAATGGAAGCTGCCACACAAGTCATGCTACGAAAACTTTGTTATTCCTCTTCGCCCAGTGTCGACAACTGCATCCAATGATTCAATTTTAAGTTGGACCAGCAAATCTAATTATAATACATATAAATAAATAAGTATATGTCTAGATGTTTGAGATGGCAACTGATAATCTGAACGATAAGATGATATGGTCAATTCCTTTTCTAGTCGCTTTTCAAACTATCCACATCAATGGCAATGTTGCTACTATTACTATTGTCATCCTCATCTGAGGACTGTGGGGGAAGAGGTGATCGAGAGTCCTCACTTCCGCAGCCACCTCGTCTCACAATCTCAATTGACCCCGAACCTTTCATCCCTTGTGTCGTCGTTGGGGTGGTCGTAGGGATGGAAGCGAGAGTAGGGAGGCAGTCTCGGCATCCTGGAATCGTGCATCCTGTGGGTGAAGGCAAGTGGAACGGTCTCCCGTACAACGAGGACCCCAGGTCACTCAGATTCGCAGGCTGGCTGTGGGGCAGGGCAAAGTGATAAAAAATATTCGATGCCCACATGGGTGGAGGTGTGTGGTAGGGAAGCATGGCTGTGGACAGGCTGAAGGGGTCGGAAGGAGTGGGGTTGTTGGGATTTTGGAATAGTTGAGTCATGGAGGCTGTTGGACCAGGTCCGAGTGGCAGATCTGCTGAGGAGTGGCCTCGAGGGGTGAAAGAACCTGCACTAGAACCAGATGAGGGAACTGCGTTGTTATTGCTGGGGGTGGTCATGATGTGACGAGACGATCGCTGTGGTTTAACAAATGCAGAAATTCGTCTGGAATTGTTACCAGTATTACTTCCCTGATGAGAATAGTCCGTTGGCTGTCGGGCTGGACTCCAGTTTGCCAAATACGACTGAAGTGCGTTTCCACTGCATCTAAAATTATTAAGAACCATCACTATTTTGTTGGCGATTGTACATTAGGCCACAATTAATAAGGCCTAATCTAATGTGCATAATTTTGGTTATCTATTTACTTGTGACCAGATTTGGAAGAAGAATTATGGGAAGAGTGAGAATGGTGGTGGTGGTGGTGGTGATGGTTAGATCCACCCAGCTTATGAATTGTTTTGATGAGGTTGTGGTCATTTTGAGACAATATTCGATCTAACACGGCATCCTCATACGTTGGAAAATGCTTCCTTAAAACATCTTTCGGCGTAGTTGTAGATATTTCATTTTCACGTCGTTGTTGCTGCTGCTGAGACTTTTTGGACTGCTTTTCGTGTTCTTCAACTCGTTCCAACTTTGGGGACAAGTCTTCTTTGATGGTGTAGTCATCTCTCCCAGTTGGTTTGGCATTGGGGGTGACGGGGCTTTGTGAGAGAGCTTCGTCCGATTCAGCCACTTTCATCCCAAAAATGGGGCCGGGTGGCAGTGATCGCATTGACGAACCCGTTGCGATCGTTCGTAGTCCGAGTGCGACAGCATCTTCGGCGGCCTGTTGACGCTTCAGTGCAACCTGACAATCACCAATTTTTCATGATGTCCATGCATGATGATTGGATTGAAGGTATATTTATACATGAAATGATAACTACAGCTTATTTAATTTAGTACATAATTGAGCACAAAATTGCGCATGTCTCACCTGAGCAGCCATCACTCGCTGTCTTTCGGCAATCAAGTTGCACTTGGCACTAACAAAGTATACAAGAATTTTGAATTAATATGCATCACTTTCAAGTTAAAGACGAATACAATTTTCGGAAATCAGTAGTACTTATTCGTACTAACCAGGCACACAGTCGAAATCTGCAATGCTTTTTGTGGCCCTTCAACCAGGAAATCATCCCGTGATTTCGACATCTAGCACATTTTGGGCGTCGTTCTTTCTCCATTTGCGTATTATTTGACACTATTTTATAACTTGGCTTAGCGAGATTCGAGGTAGCAGCAGTCTAATTACGTGATATATTAAGTGTCTGTGAAACGTGGGGGAATTTGAGTCACTCGTAACTACTTTTCAGTAGAAATGGGCCAACTGTTCCAGGTCAGGAAGGTTGGCTGCGTATCAACAATGTGGATGATCTGTCGGAGATGTGTCCAAAATGAGACTTGGGGATGAACTGTAACGAAGCTTGAAAGAAAGTTACCCTCGAAAAATCTTTGGTGGATGATGTCGACGACGGCGACGAGAGTGTGACGGATGGATGGATGTGATGGAATCATCATTGGCTAGAGAAAACTGCTAAAAGCAAAAGATTTACTGTTGACTGTGGGAATTGGTTACCTCATCTCATGGAAGATTACATCCGTCGCAGTTCTGGCAGTACGGGAGGACGCTCTGTCACATCATCATCGGCAGTGAGCAAAGTAAAGCAAACCATGTCAATACCGAACCGAAAGACAATAAAGGAGCATTTTCCATTTAGTTCCTGCTACTCGGAGTGGTGTGCATTGGGAGCTTTTACCCTGAGAGAGTTAACTAACTTTAATGCATACATGAGGAGGATAAAGAAAGAAAGGGAACCGACGGCATGTCATGATCGCATTTCTTTTTCGGAGAGTTTCTATTTATTTTAACAATGCTGAATCTGTGTGTGTGTGGAAATGGGTTGGAGATGCTGTGGGGCATTGTGGTCGGAGTCAGGTTTCTTGTGGGCAAACATTTTTCCATCTGCCAATCTGATTAGTTCACTCGGATCCTTCCCATGTTTGCTCAATCCTTGTGTCATGAATACCCAAACGTCCTAACCAAACCAATCTTATTACCACTAACCGAACTCTGAATAAACACCACCAAAGTCTACGGCATAACCAAATTTGTGACTCCCTTTGTCTCATCCACTTGTACCAAGTCAACCCAAGCCAAGCCAAGTACCAAGTGGTGTATTAGGCCCTCGCAAACCAATTGACTTCAAGTGGGTGATCATCACAATACACACACCACTGCTTTCCGATACGGGAAAATGAACCAAAACAAAGGTATCATAAACAAATGGACAATTATTTTCCGCCCACTCAACTAAATGCTTACTCGTGGTGGTCCCTTGTTCTGGTCGTCGTGTGAGGGTTTGCTCAGCTTCGGGAATAAGTCCAAGTATCCCCTTCATCCTAGAACAACTTGTATAATTTGAATGGCCAATTATGTCAATCACTCACTTCCGATATTCTGCTAAACATGGTTTATTAACGGATTGAAGCATTTTGAGGATAGTTACGCAAACGGATGATTGAGTGGACACGAACTGCATTACACGTACGCATAATAAATACGTATGTAGGTTGCAGGTGTTGAGGATCCTGTAGGTCAACCTTGAAATTTCGAGGGCTAATAAATAATCAAAAAACGGTGAGCTCAATCGCTATTCAATAAGTGCCCTGCATTTGCATATGAGGTTGTTGTGCGGTCTTAACCCATTTTAAACTATGAAATATTAGCATTCACCACATGAAGCTGCATGAATAACATGAACGGATACAATTTTTTAATATTTTCAAGGATAGAATTAAACACAGATTAAGAACACAAAACTTGTTCAATTCAAGTAGATCTTGGGCAATCAAGACGTTTATGGCAGTCCGAGATAAATTGAAACAAGGAAAATCCAATCGAAACTGTTTATAACTTCCAAGCGTTCCTCATCATCAAATCAAAATATCCATCGTTGCTAGAAAACATATTGAATTGCAGGATAAGCACATAAACTATATGAGTAAGTGCGTATAAATAAGCTATTTACTCGATTGATGAGCTGACACCAGCATAATAATCCACAAATTCGTCAAAGGTTACCTGAAAGTGAGAATTCATTATATTTCAATATATTGCGTATACTGTGTAATCTGTACATTTATAATTTTTGCAACACAGCAGCAGTAAAGATATTATTTTTTGTCAATTTCTTCCTTTGCCCCTGAACGCCCTACTTGCATAAGTACTTGATACTGCATATATGCATATGCCGACCTAAAAGTATGAATACACCAAGTTTTCTTCTCCCTCTACTATTACGTGAATAATTTAGAAAGGTGTCCATTTCCCTGAATCGTTTCAATAAATGCATAAAGAAAGGCGACTCTCTGTTGATATTCCAATAGAACATTGGGAAAGTATTGACTAAATGTTATTTGTCCACTACTCGCTTTCACTCACAAGTGTCACAAAGTGTTCAATCCACAGAAGGAAAGTCGTGTTGGTTTAGTATTTAACACAGCTTTTCCCCGAACGGCCTAGCGCAGGAAATCGATAATGGGATACTAATGATAAAAAAGTAATGATACCTTTCCGTCCACCGTCCCACTCTCTTCGAAAACTCTCAAGAACCTGAGAGAACCAGACAACAAGAAGCACGTGAAATATGTACAAAATACATCACATCTAACTCTATGCAAATGATGTTATTTGTGGGGTAAGAAGTACCGTCCAAGTATTTGGGCTTCAGTCTCTTCACCACTTAAATATCGTGGATTGGTTCGAACGCTGTAGACATTTTTCAAGTCGTCAATCGTCACCACGCCGTCACCCGATTTGTCCAATTTTCTGAATGCCAATTCAATCATTTTCCTCCGATTGCTGTTGAGAGGAGGCTGCAGCAAAATTGTGTCGAAATTAGATGACCATATTAAAAATAATGTTATTTTTAGTACGAAAGGATTTCCATCTTTTCCTTACTCGCAGTGTGAGAAGGAACTCATTAATGCTGATTGACCCACTCTGATCCCTGTCAAAAATGTCAAACAATTTCTTCTTTTCCTGAGCGTTCATTTTCATTCCAGTGTCATTCATTCCTTCGCTAAATTCTTCAAAATTCAAAGATCGGTTCCCATCGTCGTCCAAACGTCTAAAAATCCTGTAAAAATGATTAGATTACGGGATAAAATATGTAAATATGACGTTCAATGTCGAAGATTGAAAACTTACTTTCCCATTGCAAGGATACCATTGGACCCTCGGATTAGACACAGCAGTCTTAACTTTTCAACGGGGTCCTTGGCATTAAGCAGATCCATTCGTGCTTTGGACATCATCTCGTCCTCGTTGCGAGTCATGGAAGTTCGTGGTCTTTGCATCTGGAAGCAGCAGAGGACAGAACGTTACTGACGCTGACGATGAACTGGTCGTTCGTAGAACAAATGACCCAGTGAAAATGTATGAAACAATAATTAACTCTATTTGCTTAGCCTTAATGGCATCGTAGCATGTTGCTCTGGGTTGTTGATAACTAACTATTTCGTATGTAAAGGTGAGGAGTGGCTACTCTGTGAGAGATAAAACGTGCTACATAATAATCCCTCGCTCTCTCTTGACCAAAAAATTGATTTGTAATATTGGTTTGGTGGTCACTGGGCAATGGTTTTCCTAATTTTGCAGATAACCACAACACATATTGCACGTTATTATTATTATTTCTACGCAAATCACATCTAGTCCGAAGTGATGCTGTTCATAGTCGATCTATTAAACGTGATGAGCGATTTTTTGTAAGTATTTTATTATCCACATACGTAGAAATCATGACCACCTCCTGTTAATTGAGTTTCTTCGTTTATCAAGAAATATATGCACGGAGCTAATTTAGCGGATTTCGAATACTTCCCCACAAATTCACATTAAACGTAATCACCCTCCGTTCAGAGGGCGAGACAATTAATTAGAATTTTATTATTGCGTGACATCGAATGAGACTCGTGCATGGACGACTCATTAGCTCTTCCATAAAGCAATGATCATCAAAATTTAATTTTCCAAATGTATATTGAACGACTTGAGCTCATGATTCTTTTAGGTGTATCATCAGTGCTATAGTATAATCATCAGATGAATAAAGCAAACAATAATAAACGGGAGCAGGGTTGTCCAAATTTTACACACTTACAAGTTTACATAACTTACTTTGAGGCAATAATCCTACAAACTGGTGTCAACGATTCCAATCAATAAGGCACAAACTTTAACCTTACTGAAACTCACAAGTCTACAAACCCCAATAATTTGCACCACTCAAGATTATAAAATTAGCATTGCCAGACAGAGCACAGCATCTGCAAAATTGTTTTTGAGTGTTAAAGTAACGATTTTTCATTACACCATTAACACTCAAATCTCAAATAACATGATCATTTGAGAAGACGATCTAGGAAATGCTCAAAAAGACACTTGTCATGTACCCAGCAGAGCAGGATCCAGAACCACAAAATTCAATCCTGCCTATTTATATTGTCAGGGATAGAATATCTGCGCTACTTCGGGACAAATGTAGATAAATTAACTTGTGTTTGCAGTGTTGAGCAAAATAATAATATTTAGCACACAACTATTTCTCTCCTCAATCCTAACTTTTTCTATGAACAGGTCCGATTAGGTCATCCATAATGATTAAATACATTGTATTTGGATTTCAGGGGCTAAATATGTAGGTTAGGAATCCAAAAAGTCACATCCCACTTCATCCCAGAACAAAAACTTGTTACTCGGTTGCCCTTGTTTTCGTCTACCTTTGTCTCCAATGAAGGAATATTATGCGACGGGATGTTGTTGGTGCTTTCTTCTCAAATGGACTTTCCGTTCCACTTCCTTTGAGTTTTTCTGCTCTCTCGTGTGAAATATGAACGTGGCGAGGACAAGGCTGAACACAAACTAACCAACTTGCAGTAATTTTTCAATATTTAAGACAAGGTGTGCATCGGCATAATAATAATAATGTACATACGTGCATAAGTAATACAAAAGAGTCACTTGAAAAGAAAATACTTATTCCGCTGGAGAGGTGGTTGAAGGATCGATAGTGCTATGTTTTAATCTACATTGTGCAACTTGGCCAAAACTTGGTAGTGCTGTTTAGGCACACGAACTGTGTATTTAGTTCTTTTTGCTTTCAGAAGAATTGATATATGGTTCGTAGTGAATGCCAGACTATTCAATTCAGTTTTAGTCGATTTCATGTAGGTGGATGAGTGGTTCTCAAATGCGTGTCGAATCCTACTTTTGCCAGTAATAAGTAGTCTTATGTAATTCCGGAAATTGACCAGCAGCACAACAATATATTCACATCCACAGGAGGAGCAACAAACCGACAGTTTGCACGACTTTTTATAAACAAACGTTTCTGTATTTTTATAAACACACCTGCAAACATATGCAAATTATTATACGTATGTATGCAGTTATTAAATTCTAAATATTCTGTTTGAAATTGAGATTGTTGTCTGAAGTGACATTAGCACCACTTTCGAATCAACATACAACGAGTGAACAATTTATGGCACAAACGTCTGAAGCACCCACGCCACGAACCAGCTCAGCATTAAAGCTGCTCCTAAATTCGATTGTTTCCAAACTTATTCAGCCTTCATTGATATCTTTCTAGTCGACGACACAACTCAATCATTTTGATGGGACGTGTGTCGGTGCCTATAAACTGTTCCAGTGAAAGATAGATTAAGAAATTCGTAATTTACGTCCCATTATGAGACGAGGATGGAAGGACGTAGCAGACAGCAAAATGAGACGAAGATATTTAAATATTCAGAGGTCTTTGCTCCCAATCGAGTAGAGTCTCGAGCAACGTCTTTATCGACATTGTAGGTACTATATATGGGTTAAAATAACCATTTAAAGATAATAGATTTCACCAATTGCACACTAATGCATTGACGTGCTAGTTGTTTTAATTGAAATTTAATACCTATGTTTAATATCAAACCAGCCAAACTTGTGCTGGCAGCAGTGTTGCGAGTCGTCTCAAAGTTTGTCGTATGCTAAAGTTGTGCACTTTTTGTTGGCGACATAACTTTTGCAAGTAAAGAAGCTGACTGAACAAGGGAGAATGTATGACAAGCCTTTCTAGGACCTATTTTCTACTCAGACCGTGTACACACAAAGTAATTTAATACACTCTGCTATTTCGCATGCAAAATGTTTTATCGATAATTTATATAAATCGGAACCTCACTAACACCAAGTGCATCGCGTTTGTCAAGGAACGTTCATGTCAGTTCATGACCAGAAACGAGACAAGGTTACAACTAGCAAGCCTCTCAGAATTTGTGTACTTGTTGAATCTCTACATCACCCTTTTGTCCACTTATGTGTATTTTTATCCCCGAAATAACTTACCTTGTGCAATGAAGATTCCACCAGAGTGGTCGAAATTGGATGAACTATGCATTCTGAGACGTTATCCGCACTACAAGAAGTCGACATACGAGATCTAAAGAGATGTGACAAGATTCTCAGACAATTGGACTTATCCGCAATTTCTACAAGTAAATAATCTTTGTAGTCAGTTTGCACCGTTCGTTTCAACTGAGGCTCTTGCTTCGAAGTTCGATTGCAATAAGGTGGACGTAACTGATTCCAGGTTGACACACGAAATTAATTGTTTCGTGTCAGAGGAGCGTCGCTTCTCAACGTGGAATCAGTCAGTCACATATGCATCGAGTCAGTCGTCTGTGTGTGCTTTCTGCCAGGTGTAAATACGATCCAGCACCACGAAGCAAACTGACCCAAAGCAGAAAGTGACAAGTAATTCTTACTTGAAATAGGAATTCGAAGAGTAAGCCCTCCTTCCGTAGAACATGGTGGCACTGTCACTGCTGCTAAATACCCTGGGACTCAGGGTGACCATATTATTATTTGTCTCTCTCCGATGGGTAGTCCAATCTTTATTTCATCAGTTAAATGGCAACCATAACCGAGTTGAATTCAGGCAAAAGTCAGAGTTGTGTTCCCCTCTTGTCCAGTCCAACGAGTACGTCACCACCAAACGGGTGGATCGCCGTAATCAAGTCCCTATACGTGACTGACGCAATGGCAGAGCAGCCTAAAATCCCTAGATTTTGATAATTTAAATGAAAATGTTCTTTTCCAGTCCAGTCTCGTCACATAACTTTATTCCTCCACTCCGTCACTGTTGAGGAATTGTGGGAAGAACCACTTTAGCTTGGCTCTCTCTCGCTCTTTATACCCTTTGCATTGATGGAAAACCAATTCTTCTGCACCTAAAGTGAAAGCATTTCCGCCCTGTGTTACCAGTCAATATTCGCAATCCATACGCGACCAGCATCGCTGTGTGAGCACATAATGCAGCCATGTAAAATAACCAAAGAAAGCATGTAAGCGGGTCAAATCGATTGTGGGTTTCGTGGTCGCATGCATGGAGCACATTTATAGCGGATTGCGTGGCAGGGAAAGAACAATTTGACTTTGAGTGAAAGCAGCTTGTTTCGTTGTGAACTTATTTAACTGTATTCAAATGAGGAATGAAGTGGGAGGGACTTTCCATTCCCATTCTCGAGTATATACGTTACTTTTTCGATTGATTGTATGACCATTGACTCAATAGCTTCGTACTCGCCTAAACAGATATGCGAATTGTATGGTATGATTCCTGTTGTAGTAAATCGGAAGCCACTTCGCTGAAGTGGTGGGTGGGTGTATTGTAGTGCCAAATCATGAGCAGCGTAACTATGCAAAAAATGTTGGGTCATCAGATATTATTGCTTACATGAAAAATAATTAGGCGTCGGAAATGAATAATGGTTTCGCCGAGAGTACAGTGGGCAAGGTTAATGTGGAACCATTTGAAATATGTATATTTACGTATGCAAATATAACCTTGCCACTGGAAGTGGAATGGAGTATGGTACCTTAAGAAATCGCGTGATTCTATTTTTCCATTCATGCCATGCACTTCAACCTTGTAGCTCGTTTCGTCCCAAGAAATCGGAAGACAAACACGGGTGAAAGTTAAGTTTATGGAGTTGGGCAAAACGGAAACGCAGCGCACTCTGCCCTCGCAGTTCCTACTTTCTTCCCACAGCCAGGCCACCCTGAACCGCTTTCTACGCTTCAGAGTGAGCTAGTTGTATTCAAATGTGGTATCGGAACTCGAAGCTCGTTTTGTGGACATCAACGGTGGCAATAGCAATGAATAAAACATGGTCTGATTAGAGTTGCAAAACTTATAGTAAAATGTATTGGGGTTACACAGACATGTGTACATACAAATTTTAGAGAGCTTGGAAACAATGCTCACAAAATCCAGTTGAGCAGCGAGTGAATTTATTTGCATGGAAAAGTGTAAAATACAAAGTCAGACAGATATGGTAAACATCAATGACACCTTTGCGGTTAACACCTCAGAGTCACTCTGCGATATTAGTCACAAAATTGTGAGCATGGTTGTTGTCATTTGTGAAAATGGTATAATAACGCTGCTGAGCTCGTTTGACTCATCTCAATTCTGGCACAAAAGTGGAGTAAACTTTCAAATTCAAACATTGATGTCAGTCAACCACTGACTGATGTGATGCGAGGAGTGATGTTCACGTGTAAAATTAGAGAGAATTGCTGGTAAATGCGTTTAAAGCTTTAGCGGGATAAACACACAGACCTTAAACGATGTTGACAATAGAACAGATTCCTCACATAGTCAGAGACATGCATGTTATTGATCTGTGCTCACACAAATAATGGAAATAAACGTTGTTACGAATAGATTTGTGGCAATAACTAGGCTTCCATACACGACTTTATGCATAACGCATGTAGGTGCTCAATTTAGAGCAGGCATTATGAGATTCAATCACTAAATTGTGTCCAAACGGGACAAAAAAGGAAATGCATCTGGGTGGGTACGTTTAGCATTTTAACGCACAAATGTGACACATTTCTATTAAATTCAAGTTGCTCATTTCAAATACATAGTTTGACATGTGATGATATTTAGTTTGGATCTTAAGGTGTAATCTGCCTGTTGGTCGTGATGTAATGACCTCTCAAAGAAATGTGCAATATTTGAAGCCATGAATCTGGGATCTACTCGCATAATACTTCATTTCTGTCTGCAATCTGGGCGACGATGATATGAGCAGCAGGACATTCCGAATTCCAACATATTACAGATAACTGACTGGGTAAGTAAAGGAGAAAAATGGGGTTTGATGGGACGGTTGGTCTGCTGGATTGGGTTGCTGATGGTGCTGTGGTCCCATCTGGTCGGGATGAAGTGGAAATTCTCAGGAGATTTTGTAGAAGGGATTTTGTGCGGTCGAAATTTATAACTCACGGATTTCTGACTATTTCCATTCCTCCATCGAGGCTAGTGTCCCTGGCAGCGTGGCGTTCAACTTTCTCTCTTCCCTTCTGACTCCACTATGCTGCTTCTCGAGTTATAAATTACTGCTTTATTGAGACTGCCTCCACAATCGCCTCTCAAATGCATTAAGCGCCGCACATTCCTTTATAATAGGACCCAGAAGAGGGTCTTAAGGTATTAGGCCTCCACCACCATCAAACTGCTCCCGTTCTCCAGCCTCGCTCCGTCCTATTAAATCTCAAACATGGAGTGGGACGACTAAAGTCATTTTCCAAAATGATAATACATTAGGTTTAGATATTACTTTATGACACATTTTGCATACATTCACATACATCCGCGACCTGACTTTGTTCCCTCCAAATGCCCTGTGAGATGTATGCATATATGAACAGAATAAGTGCGTATTACGTGTATTATGCATTCATACAAGCTACGTTTAAGCACAAGGATTCTCCGTTTTAGTGCCACACTCAGCTGAGGAAGGAGGGGAACCATTAGCATTAATCAAATTTGCTCTATTATAAACTGAGGAATTAAAAGCTTCTCTGCCACATTACAATTATAACTTGTTCAGTTGAGCAGTCATAAAATGGAAGGGAAAGCAAGTGGGAGGATAATATTGTTGTGGGTGCCCGTATCCATTTCTTATTGTGTTCCCCATGCAGCTTCTTATGCATATAAATTCAAGCCAAATATTCTCTGTGTCCATGTTTTGCTCCATTTGATTATACACAATATCGCCACAGTCTGGTCTTTCTGTTTAATTTTTATTGCTCATTTACATTTCTGGAGCATATGGCGTCATTTTCGTTGCCCTCTGCTCTGTTAAAAGTTTTGATGAACCTCATCTCTCTCCTCTCTCTGCTCTGGTGCATGGATACTTTTTTAATTTATCGACCACACTGCAGTAGTGGCAGCATTTATTTGCATAAGGCCAATTTTCTCATAGCCTTTTATGTAAATTATATCTAAGCGAAATAACTCTTCAACTTTATACTCTACCAGAAACTCATTTGTTTCGTATTCTGTCTGAGACTGAATCAGTTTTAATTAAGATTTTATAATAAATACAAATTCCATCAAAGAAGAAAACTTGGGAAGGTTTTCATGCTTTCTCTTTTCTCCTTCTTTTTTCCAATCACTCGGATTTGTGGAGAGACAAAGAGTCGTCGTCGTCGTCGTCGTCGTCGTTGGTTTGGTGGCAGTGGTGCATGGCGTGGCGAGATTAAGGAGGAAACTTCTTCACGTCTGCCCTTAAGCTAAAGTGGAGCAGCGACGAAAGTTTTGCCCATTTCGTAAAATGTCTTTCAATAATTTGTGGTTGGGATTTAGGGGAAAGTGGGAAGAGGACACAAAAGTTGTATTGTTTTCATCTTTTGGTGGAAGCGGAGCCATTACTTTTTTCCTTCTTTCTTCCCGTCGCCCTAATCCGCGTCTCCTCGACGTACGGATCCTTACGTAGTTGACTCGCTGGCTGGTTGCCTCTGCTGCTGCTTTCTCAGTAATCGTATTCATGAAAAATGCCCCACCACCCAGTTAAGACGCTGCAAGTCAATGCAGAGTGATTTTTGGGAAACAGTCTGAGGAAGGAAAGTTGATAGTGCAGGAATGAATTTGGAATGAAGTGGCTTAACTTGGACGCCGCTCTCTCTTCGGGAAAATTCCAAATTGGGAGACAGAGCCAGTTTCCTTTCCTCGTGACGCGCGTCTCTACATATTTTCCTCTGGGTTAAGACATAACTGACAAAAATTGAATATCATGCATTGCAAACGGCACGTAGAACAATTCTAATGTTAATTATTTGGGCAGTATCATGTTGAATTACTGCATTGGCTGTGGTATCTGTCCTAAATATTTTTATTTGTCGCGTGGTCTGGTGGACAAGGAGTTTCCGTAGGAAAACTTTAAAAATGGGAATAAGCACCTACACATGTACATATCACATCTAATGCCTAATGGGAAATGTAAATCCGTTGGAAATGGCTCAGGCTGCCGAAAATGATTGAAAGGCTAAGGATTGTGACAGATTTTCAATTGAGAGTGAGTTGCCTGATCTCACAATAACGGCCCGTTCAGCCTCGTCTCATGTGTGGCGAGGGATGTGTGTGTGCTGCCACACCCGTGAAATTACATGAGACGACGACGACGACTCTTCAAATTTCTTCAACTCCACAAATCCCAGTGCACAGCTTTTCTAACTTCAATTCCAATTCGCCACGCCGAAATGAAACATCGATCCAAGTCATGTCAACTACAAATTCCAACGCGCAGCTTAAACTTTTGCAGTTTGTACTTTTGTCACATTTCAGATTTCCACCAAATCCTTCCTTTGAGAAAAAAACAACGGAATAAAATGATGTTCTAATGCTATTTCGGAATTGATCTGTCAAATCAGATCAGAGGAAATCCTTCTTACTTGCTTACCACATCCTCGTCGTGTTCAATGCAATTATTTAATTTTATTAAACAAAATAAAAATAGCATTTCTCATTCCGTCCCAGAATCTCGCTTGATATGACATGGCTGACAATCTTGGGCACGTACATAAATTCTTCACTTGTGTACATAGATGTACGTACGTGTATGTTCCACTGCGGAATACTGATGTAACCTTTAACCAGCTCAATTGCCTTATTCGAAGCAGGAGGACATGTTAGGGTGCAAATTGCTGTGATACGCATGCACACAGCAATCAGCGTCGCATAACATGCATAAGTACGTACGTATCTAGAAGAGAGAACATCCTTTCGTTGAAGTGGAAGGCACTCAAAGTCACAGCGTGAGATAAGTTAGGAGCTTGATTTTTCAGGCATGGCCTTTCACTCGGGCTACTGTACCCCATTCCCCACTTTTAGCCAACAAATTACCGGTATTCCATTGATTGATTGATTGATTGATTGATAGTCATTTATTCACATGTTATTCCTTGATCAGTACAATTTAATGACTGGTTTACATCAAGTAACACTAAAAAATAGATTGAGTAAAGAAACTAAATTAACTACACAATTAACTACACAATTCATATGTACTTACTTCCACAGACACCAGTACTAAACATATGCGTGTGGAAAATATACTCAAAACATGTGCACATCTTTGGATTATTTGTGTGAGACAATAATAAATATGAGACATGTAAAAGTCGTACCAGTTAAATACAAGTTGTTTATACTTGACATTAGTTGAATAGATTGGAGTTGAAAAAGTTACAAATTCCTGAATCTGATTTGCAATCACGTAACTGGCGGTTGGTCTTTGTTTGCTTAAAAGACTAAATTAACATGATTTCCCAATGGAACCAACTTTGAGACTACAAAAACACATTGCATCAAGTTAAAACTGGAATATACTAATTTTTGTTTTTATTATCGCTTCTGATATCAATGTTTCTATCATTTGTCATAAGAAACGAGTGAATAATAATTCAGAAATATGTATATGTATTGTCCATGACAAAGCGTGCAATTTTACAGAGAAAGTGCATCACCTAATCACAAGCTACGCATGATATGATGATACTCTTGGAGAAATGAGAGTAGTTGGCCTGCCATCCAATTTTTCTTGCGCAACTTGAATTTTTTTCTGAGGAAGATGTGATTTGGAAGTGTGACTGTCGCCGTCGTCGCATCTCTCACATGGTTTGAGTGGAATTTCGCCCTGTGGTTGCTCCCATCAAGACATTTTCGTTGATTGTTCTCCATTCCGTCAAGTCACAGTCCTAAAGTGAAAGGGAGCGTTGTGGAAAATCCGGCAAAGCCATTCCGCCCAGCAAGAGCCACTTACTTGGAGAGAGGAAGAAGGCACATACCTCGAATGTGTAGGGGTTCGTGAGAATGTGATTGCCGAGAGTTCCTTCTGCGGTTTGCTTTTCCAGTCGGGAAAGAAAATTCAATCTTGCTAATGCATTAAGTGTGTATTCGGAGAGACACAAATGCCTCTGACACAAATGTCAACTGAAATAACTCGTTCACCAGTCACGTCATTCCTTCTTCCATTTCTCCTTTTTGAGATAATAGATTACTTTATTATTTCCACTCTCTCCGACCCCACCGCCTTGGAAAGTACGTGATTTCTTTACCAATCACACACACTTTCTCCTCCATCCACTAACTCGCTCGCACTCTCTCTAATGCGCACATGTGGACAATGGAGTCTCTCTCGCTTCCAATACATTTCCCAAGAAAGAAATTGTCTCCCTTTCAAATATTCTGGACTAAGAGCATAGTTTAATAAAGCTGTCTCCCCGTATCATAAAGTATGACTTCTTTACTCATCCTTAAATCTGTATCCGTATTCCTCCTTGTTATGCTTCCTGCAGCTAAGAACCTAAAAGCAGACTGATTTTCATTATTCTTCGCTACTGGACCATAAGCATGCATGTGCATAATAGGCCCTGATAATAGGCCTTCTTTGGTATTACTCATCACTTCCCGATGCCAGTGACAATGTGCATGTCATAATTACGTAAAGGTAAAAGCTTGTCGTATGAAATTGTCTGCATTGGTGGAAGGAAGATGATTCTACGTGCTGGAGATGACAGATGAGGTGAAACTGTTCAAATTTCCACACAATCAAAGCAACACGACACGACTGGATTGAGCAGTAATTGGAAGAAAGTCTGCAGGTGATCTGAGAATTATTGTCCATCTTGTGCTTCATCTCTCGAAATGAATTTATGTATTCGTGATGTTTCCTCTAGACTCGGCCCAGAGCTTCAGTTCAAGCGATGGTAACAACCCACCAAGCAGATTAATTTATATTAGCAAACAATTAAACACGTTGAACGAGTAGCGGATAATATTTAATATTGTACGAAGCCAAATTATTATTAGTCAAATGAACACGCCACGAACGTTACGTATTCCTGAGCTACATAAATATGTGAGATGCCAGTGAACATGGAAGAACAAATGACAAAACTGTTTACCTTCTCCCGTCAGAAACAGACGTTGATACGATATTACTTCCAGATGCTGGCTTTGGTGGTACTTTGTCAATTCGTAATAATTAATTAGTGTCCACAGGTAGCAGGGGGATAAATAAATGCAGTAAACGACGAAGCAAATAAATTCTAAAGTCATAAAATTAGGGCGAAAATTTGGCGAATTTAAATAATTACTTTTAACACGTGTCAATTAGCTAGCTCGATTCGAAAGAGAATAAATGCTAAATTAGATAAATGAAAAGAATATTTACATTTTGCACACGGAACGTTGACTTGACTAATAAACTGTTATTTTTAGCATCAATCATTGTGGGCTCTCCACTAAACATATAAAAACCGTTGATGTATGCATATTTATCTTTGCATCAAGTGTAGCTAATTTTAAGGTATATTAAAGATTTATATAACTCCAGCTGCAAATTTTCTTGGAAAAAAAATATTTTGTGTCACTCCATATTTATTTTCTGAGTCAGAAAATGAGCCATTGTTTGACTTGGACCTTGACTCTGAGGTGAAGGCAATAAACGAGTTAAACAAATTCATTTGTCGCAGAGAGACAAATAACGTATCACAAATGTATCATGTAACTGACACAAACATGCCTGTCGTCAGTTTTCACCCCAACTCAGCCCATAATTTTTTCAGTCTTGAATTCTAATTACAGTCCATTGTATTGTAATAAATGTGTTCCATCTGTTCCATCATCATTGAACAAAGAAAGATGAGCCAGTCGTGGCAGCGATGATGTGCCCTCCTCCGAAAAACATCGCCTTCTTCTCCTCCACCTTTCCGAGAGGGATGCAGCAGACGGACGCACGTTGGTCGCTTAATAAATTGAATGACAAATTCCGATCAGAATTGAATTGTTGTCCGCTACTAAATCCATACGATATTGACGCATATGCCTCCATGCCGTGGAGTATCAATTGAATATGCAAGATTAGCATACAGCAGTGCACACATGCAAGCGTACTTATGCAGTTTCCTCCTGTGAGAGATAAGTCCCCAATTGCTGAAGTCGACATGATTTCTGGTCATCATGGTGGTCACGTGCAGTCCACAAGTGCTGCAGCATAAATGGGCACTTGCCTTCACAGAGACAGACGTTCATAAAATATCCGAGCGTTCAACTCCATTGTGTCAACCCATTGTTGCCCGTCTGCAAAACAACTGGTTTGTCAACTAGCTGAGTAATTACTAATACTTCCGAAAAAAGTATCTCTGTATCTCTCCGTTTGTGTATTCTTCTTCCCTGTGACAATGTTTGCTTCGTATTTTACTCCTGCTGTGGTAGGTGGTGGTGATGCTAAATTATGGAATATTATATTGGCTGAGAAAAATCAAGGTTACGAGCTTCCCTCTGCCATTACTTAATTGGTCTTTGTTTTCAGATGAGCCAAAAATATCTGCATCATTAAATTATTAATTTCATATGCAATTTTATTCATTTTGTGTGTGTATCAAGATAAACTGTGTATGGAGAGGATGAGTTATGTATCAAATTGCCCCCATCTCATCTAAACTACGTATCACTTGATCTATTTTCTCATCCTGCGAACCCACACCTTGCGACGGAGGGTACATACGTGCGGTCGCAAGAGCAAGAAACAAACTGGGGCCGAGAGAGCGAGGTCTGGACTGTGATTGGTGGCGTTGGCTGGAGAAAGGGCTGGGATCAAGAAGGAAAAAGGCCTTCGAGAAAGCGTGTGCGCCGGCCTTTGGTGTGTAATCCTGCCTCTGTAATCCTTCCCAGAGAACATCATGACTTCCATCCACTTGGCCCAACTAAAAGTGCATCTCCGACAAACTCGGAACGGATCAGAGTAGAAATCGAATGTCCAACTCCGACCCCATCGATCATGCAGTATTCCTTCTACCAAGTGCTTCTCTGAGTCGGATGTGGGCTGCTGCGTGCGGGGGCAATCCCGTCCTTAAAACCACATCACGATCGTGGAGGAAGGAGGAAAATTCGTTGATGGGAAGTTGATGGCGTTTCATACGCTCATGTGGAGCATGGCGAATGTACATATAAAAAGATGATGTTGGTGAGACGTATAAAATACTATGCAACCACCAACGCTGAGCAAAGAGAAAGACCCCACCACCAATTTCCTACTTGTAAAAATGGATGCGAATGCGGCCTGAGCACACAGAGTCCTTCTCTGATCAGATACTGGTTCAAGTGTGCAGAAGTAAGAGCAAAAGACCATCCCGACCAAAAAACAACCTGCTGACTCCGTACACAGCAGAATCCGTACCACACCACCAGACAGACAACCAAGAGCATTAGACTACAAAAGTACATAAACGCTGCTACTCTGCATCAGTTGCAAATCATCCAACTCCTGAACCTTCCCCCATCAGGTTCCTCTCTCCTCGTCATCTCCAATCCAACCCGTCTCACCTTGCACCACTCTTCACACCCGAGTTGGAAATAAGTTACCATGAAAGTTTCTGGTGTGCCAATTGACAGTTTCTGAGACTTTTCACACTTTGTATTCATTTGAGACAAAGACGCTCTAGTCCGACGAGATATAAGAAAGAAATAATCAACTGAATTCGCCGTAATCTGGAGAAAGGCGTCAAAATAGCTCTTAAACGACAAAAGTTTCTCTGCAACTACTTAAGAATGGAGTTGACGACACGAAATTGTGGTAAGAAAAATTTCAATCTGTTAATTTATTCCGATAAAAATGTGTCATCACTATTTTACGAAATTGGCCTCGTCATATTTTGAAGTACGATTGCAAATGCAAAGTTGAAAGGACGCGTAATCAAATTGTTTACGGTTGACTGCCAACCAGTTTAAAATTAGTCGTATCGACGCTTTAAAACGGACGCATGCAGTGCACTCGTAGTTTCACACTCGCAGTTATTGAATTTCCATTATGGAAGTTTAAAGTTAAATCGGCCACAAAGTGGCTTGGAAAACGACATGTGTGTCAAATTAGCGTGATTAAAAATCGAGAAGTCAAATTGCATTTGCAGAATTTGCATTTGTATGAAGCACTGAATATAAAAATGGGACAACAACAGGCAGTCTCTCGCACAAAGGAGCTAATGTACATACTCGGGCGGGGAAAGCAGTCATTCATGGACGACATGGACATCATTCAATCACTGCACCACAAGGCACCTCGCACTCGCGTGAATGGGGCCAACCCAAACTGAAAAGATTCACTGGACTGTGCTAATTAATGTTCTTCCGTGTCCACACCGTCCTCCTCTTCATCAACGGTTAATTCCACATCAATTTGCGCATAAAAACTGACATTCAGTCGCCGAAAGTATTGTGCTTGTTCCTGCGTGCAGATTTTTCTAGATTTCATCCCAAAGTTCCGTTATTGTAGTGGAAAGGAGTGTGAAGGATCAGAGGTCCTTTGCCTCTGCCGTCGTCTGGTGTACGTAGTGGGGAAGGAAGAAGACGACAAATTGGAGGAGGGCATGGCATATTATTCCGAGCTGGCTGGTATTTATGGACGGAGGGAGCGAGAGAGGGGTGAGAACGGGATAATGCCCGTGTAATCTGCCAGATTGGTCGCTTGATGCGACGCTTTACAATGCAAAGTGATTTCCTATTCACATTTCCATTGTAAATACATAAACCTGACTTCTGGGACATTGGACCATTTTATATTCAATGTAATAAATGGGACACCATTTGGCATGCTGGTTACCCTTTGGCCTGTTCTTTAGTTCCACTTTCCCCATTTTATTCTATACCAGTTATTAAATATACACGCTAAATACATAGATATGTACACCTTCTTTTTATGAGATTCGATTCATTTATGGAAATACAGCCCCTTATTTGAGTGAGAGAAGTCACACTTGTCCCTCGGGTTTCAAATATCAGGTCAGAGAGTGACCATTATATTTTCCGAACGACAACAAACCATAATAATAAATGGCATTCAATGTCAACACCGAGCTGGTGGTCTGAGCTGCGAATTCCGAATTTTGAGGGTGTTTACACATTATGTTGACAAATGGGGAATAAATTGAAGAGGGATTTTTCTATCTGTCATGGATGGGACGGATGATACCCGATTCCTTTGTTTTGAACAGTGCCATACGGTGCTGGTAATTGAATCCAAAATATGGTCACATTTGATACCAGATTATTCAATTATGGTCAGATCATACACGCTTAAACCTATCCAACTACCTAATCGTTTATGATATGCGTTTCCTTATTTATTGTGATTTAAACGGCTACATTTCACCATTTTCTAGAAGATGTGGAGATGAGCGAATTGCATTTCGTTGCAGTTTTTCATTTAATTTAAATGTAAGGCAGGAATTGAGGGCAACGAAGGACGAGAACAACAAGTTAATCTGAAGGGCTTAAGCTGGGAATGAATATTAGTTGAATGCGAGGGAATAACCGTTTAGGGACAGGAAAGGAGTCGCTCGTGTGGTGCAGGAGACTCATCCATCCATTTCCCACTTGCCTTCCTGATCCCCAGATTGGAAAACTCCAAGTAAAGTCGTGTCCAAATTATTCCCAAATGTTTCTCCCATTACTTCTCAACTCATCCTGTCTGTGGATTTGTGTGGATCCAAATTCGACGTCTACCAGGAATTCTCCTCCCTTGATGATTTCCGCTGATTCAGAACTTCCGAGCAGTCTGACTTTCCATCCATCCATCGTCAAGCAGCTATAATCTCATGAACACATGGAATCCTCAGTCACATGCCAAGTGCAGCCAAACCGTCAAACTAAATCCTCCTCCTACAAAACGCCCCAACATTTCCCTAGTCAGAATATTAATTGAATGTGTATACGAAATCCCATTAATGCCAAATAGAAATTAAATGACAAGCACAGTTTGGAGTAATGTTTAATTATACGATGCGCCGTACATATAAAGCTGTGCGAAATACGCACCGTGAAAGTTATTTTCCTCTCATTCTCAGAATTTCTAAACTGACTCGGGAAGATTCCTTGTGCTTTATTTTACTTCATTCATGAACTTTTGTTGATTTAATTTCGAGAGAGAGAGAGAGAGTCGGGAAGGGAGCGAGGATATATATTCATCAAAGTTTGCTCGTGTTACTAAATAAGTAAGTTTTACCTTCCTGTCGATTTTGACTAAAGTTTGTCGACTTGAGTTGGCTCAAGCTCTGCACAAGTGTCATAAAGGAAAGAGAAAGTGGAATTTGGATAAGGAGACTTTAATGACTTGGCGTGAAGGTTCTTAACTCTCAAAATAAGACAAAGTTTGCCAAGAGACCTCGTAGCGTTGAAAACCCTCGAAATGGGGAACCTGATTTGATAATTTTGAGTTTAGACACATTTGGAAACTCAAACTTTCACTTTGGATGACGAAAGGTGTTAGCTAAGAGAGAGAGCTGAAGAGAAAAGGAGAGAGACCTCCGCGGGGAGCAATTAATTCTCGATTGCCTTTTCCCTCTCAAGGAGAAAGAAGAAAGCTTTTTACTTTGCCCATCATTGCTTGTTAGTGCTGGCTCGGGATGAGCATGGCAGAAATCCAAGTGGGAAGGCAATCCATACATAAGTGCGTTTAAAGTGAGGAAATCTGTGCAGTAATTTGATAAAAGTGGGGGCACCCCCAGCCGAGGAGTGAAAATGCTCCTGTCTGATGACACCCATCCCGCACCAGCAGCGACGCCTAAGTGTCTCCATAAAGAGGGGAGGGAGCGTCATTATGTGGCGATACATGTGAAATGTTTATTTTTATTTTATGATTACAGAGTCCAAACCAGGATCACCCTCTTCCTCCAACAACTCGCCCCCTCCCACTCATCCCTACTCCATCTCCAGAATTCACTCAAACTCCCATTCCACCAGAACCTCAACCCCCATGCCCATTTCACTCACCACCAACAATTCCTCCCCCAACGGCCACAACCTCTCCATGCACAACACACTCAACCATAATGACGGCTCACGGTCACCCACTAATTACATCCAACAAGGCTACGGCTCCCCAACAGGTTGGTTGACCGCCTCAATCTCACGCTTTCTTCTTCTCCTTCAACTAACTAATTTGGCATTAAGGTCTCAAAAAGCACTCTTCTTATCGCAGGACGAAGGAGCAGCACTGGACTCACGTGCGTCGTTTGTGGGGACACTTCAAGCGGAAAGCACTACGGGATTTTGGCGTGCAACGGGTGCAGTGGGTTCTTCAAACGAAGCGTTCGCCGAAAATTGATTTACAGGTTTGAAATTGAAGCTTGACTAAAATTTGAATTCAGCATGACCTCATTAACTAATTGACTGATTAATTACCTAAATTTGTGCAGATGTCAAGCTGGGACGGGGTACGTACTACCTTGGTAGAATGAAAATATATTTATTGTTGCGAATTATAATTATATAAAATTTTGAATTCCAGTACTTGCGTAGTGGACAAGGCTCATCGGAACCAGTGTCAGGCGTGTCGTCTCAAGAAATGTCTGAACATGGGAATGAACAGAGATGGTAAGTTTGTCTCTCAATCCGTATAATTTCTTAGCTTTTGTAACAAAAATACCCGTACGTAAAAATGGCGTGCAAGTAAAAAAGGGGGTTTAACATGGAGATACATACATGAGAATACTTATTGTGGTCTGGTACTTTGTTGGTTAAGGAATAAGATCGGAGGCTGCATCTCTAAATCAGAATCAGATTGAGAGGTTAAAGTCAGAGGTGAAGGTAATTAAGGGCTCCGCAAAGAAATCCATTTTAGAGAAACTAGACTCGAGATATTCATTTGATTGGATGCAAACGCAAATTGAGTCCGAAAGAGCTAAAGGCAAACAAACGAGTTCGAGAAAGAAGCAGGGATCCAAATTATCCGCAAATCACGATCACGTCTCGCGTCCTTGGATATGCCCGCGAGGTATGTGCGCCTCACTTTTCTTCTCAAAAAACAAATCCAACGTCAAAAATAATGTTTCCGAATTTATTGGAAACAATGCATTTTTTTCTCATCAGTACAACCCATCCCACACACATGCCCGAAATCATAGTAGCATCGCTGAGTCTTTTGTCCTCAGCATAAAAATAATTATACGGAAGCACTTTATAATAGTATCTACGTACGTGTAGGAAGCAGTTAGTACCCCTTGTTCTCCTCCTATTTTTTTTACAAATAATGAGGATGCGAGGATAACAAAGGGCGCGTCATTCATTTCATATGCAAATGAGGCATACATACAAAGAGAAGCAAGCTCACTTTCCGAGATGATTGCCTTAGTTTATTCTTGCGGTTTCCAAATCTCGAACGGTAACCACAATCAAGTCAAATTCATGGATTGCATGCATAGTTCACAACTTCATTTCGTCGCTCTCTGAATTAACAATGATCAGAATCGTATTGCACAGATCGTGATGAACTTGTCATTTCACACCCGCGATTATCGTCGTCAAAGTGGATTTATTTTTGGAGAAACGCGACAGATACGAGATTCTACTTTCAATCATGCATACTAAATACATCGTAGTTCTCAAACTAATCTGCCATCCAGACAGTACGTGGAAGAAGCCAGTAATCAAATGACGATCCCCTCACACAGCCTCTCGTTCCATAGCCTGGTCCTCATTGTGCTCATCACTTTGCACTTTCACCACCACGAAGGATATCTCTCTGACGTTGATTAGGGCACGGTTGGTTCCTTCCTTTGAAGTTTTTACAACATGACCCACCGACACGGCTCCTGTTTTATTCCACCTCCGTCGGATTGATGCATCTCAGATGGGGAAACCAAATTCAGTGGTTATCACCATATGGTGCTTATCCATACTTATATGTTGGCACGGCTGCTGGTGGGACAGCCAAATTCACCTCATTATTTTCTACACAGTTTTCCAAGTTGATTCGTACTTCGTAGATGATGGCCTTTCTCTCTCTCTCACTGCGCCCTTAGCCATTTTGACTTGTTAACGTTAACTACTCCCCGCATGCATAAATTTCCTGTTCATAAAATGAGGAGGAAGTATCATCAAATCAGAGACAAATTTACAAAGCCAATTCAATGATACTTGGAGTGCGATGTGAGATGGAAACCGGAGTAAGTACGATTAGTATGCATGTATCTCCAGCCAAGTAATTTAATAGGAACCCAGCTCCTACGACTGGCACGATGTATATACTGCAGGCCTTTGAAAAAGTGAGTGAAAACAGAGAAACGTGCAGAAAAACAAAGGGGGCTGAACATCCTTTGATTTAATGAAACTAACTCGGTTAGCGTAAAATTCCAAGAAACCAGCAAGGGATTTATTGCCTTTGTTCTTTGAAGAAATTTGAAACTTTGAAGTATTATTTCGCCATGAATCCTTCCTCGAGTGATGCGAAGGAGGAGGAGGAGTGGAGCATAGTTTGAGAGGAGCCATGAATATCTATCGTTCAGATTAATTCACAGCAGCGGCGTCAGTTAAAGTGGATGAAGGGATCGCAAGGAGAAAGCTGAGCACAGAGAAAATGTAGTTTCGTTGGATTTTATCGATTGAATCGAATGAATTTGACAGGATTAGTTAGGGTTGAGCCCCGGAAACTTTTTGATTAATAGGCTGATGACTTGTGAATGAGGGTGCGGAGCCAGATCTTTTCCGAGCTTCGCACAAAAAGGAACAGAGAGAACATTCAAACTCGCTTATACTTCCATTTAATTTGATTGAGTTGGTCAACCCATCCGCCAACCACCGACGACCAAGTCTCTATCACTCATCTTCACTCTCTCGACGCCGAGTAATGAATATATCCACAACTCCACGTTCTCATCCTCCATGGTCCATGCCAGCTATTTCAGTGAAAGTGAAAGCGCGGAGAGGAAAGTTTGGCTATTTCCTCCTCTTGCTGCTGTCGAAATCGGTTGTCTTTGGTGGCGTATGTATGTATGTTCAATGAGCTAGACGGAAGGAGACTTCTCTCGATAAACCAGTCCACGCAATGGTGGAGGAGCTCAGAGATGCGGGTTTGATTTCCTGGATTATTGGTCTTGCTCTGGCTCGATTTGGACAAAATGCTCAGAGTATCAATCATGCAATGAATTCGAGAATGAACATTCATGCAGCTAAACAGATTTGGATAGGGTCGGTCGGCTCTCTCCTCGTCAATAAGCTCCTTCTTTCACCAACAACAAATCCTCAATCGAGTGAGTCTCGAGTCAGTCGGATCAAATCATAGTAAATCAAATCACATCCGATACGAATCGTGCCAAACCAAGTTGAATTTAAGTGGATAAGATGATGCTGATGAGTTTGCAGCAGGTTGGGTCAGGAGGACCAGCGAGTGAGTATGTACGTGTATGCTAGAGGGGAATAACATGAAATAAATATACAACATCCACAGCAAAGCAGATATAAAGTGCCAATAGCTAAAGTTCAATTTGAAGTTGCTCAGTCGGAAGCAAGTTTTCAAGTGGATCATGAAAAGGCAAAACCAAATTGAATTTTGAGTCATGTAGTAAAACATTGATCTGCAGAGCACATATTCAGCCATTTTCCATATTTATTTCAAGTAGGGTTTCATGGAATTGCATAGTTTTAACTCAATTGGATGTATTTAAAAACGATTAATCGTGTTTTTTTCTTTCAGCGGTTCAAAACGAGCGTCAGCCCAGAAACACTGCAACTCTGAGGCCAGAATCTTTATGCGAGATGGATCAAGAACGAGCACTTCGAGAGGTAAGTAAAAATGCTACAATTCTTCAAATAAACTACGATTACTATTCTAAATTAGCATCCATAAATATTATATTTGGATGTTTGCCACGTATGACATCAAATCAGTTTAAGAATTTACATTTTTACATGATTTGCGCTATCTTATACGTAGTCCCATAAGATTTGAGATTACACACTGTTGGAAATTACCATGCTTTAGTATCATGAAAAAGTCCAAAAGTCATGCAACTTAACGTTTAATACACACTATTAGATACCGTACATATGAATAATATTCTATTTTTCAATATTTTCTATACTTAGGCAGCTGTCGCAGTTGGAGTTTTTGGGTAATTTGAATAGAAATTGGTGGTGCATAAGTACGAAGGTTGATGAGTCAATGATGATTGATTTGTTGACCCACAGCCCATTGCTGGCACCAAGAGGTCCAGGAACCCTTCACAATTCAATCACCGGAGGGGGCCATGCTACATATGTGCAGAATCATCACCAACACCAACCTCCCCACACTTCTCCCCCCAACGTTCCCCAATCCTCCGACAGCAATGGGCTCAGAGACAATGACGACGGTATGCATCCCCATAAGCTTTCCATTTATTCTCTAATTTTCAATCTAATCAGCGACCAAACTGTTGTCTTGTGCAGACGATAGCATTGATGTTACGAGTGACGATAACACCCCGAGTCGCAAAACACCTCCAATCTTGGTCAACACGAATGGGAATGGAACACACCTCTCATCCAATTCCACAACTTCCGGATTTTCTGGCAGCATTGTGACCAGCACGAATAACTCTCTTCCCAACGGGGTGGAAATTCCTACGATTTACAATCCTGCTCATGAGACAATCTACGAAACCTCCGCACGACTTTTATTCATGGCCGTGAAGTGGGCAAAGAACCTCCCGTCTTTTGGAACGCTTCCCTTCCGTGACCAGGTATTTCGTGTAAATAGCAACCGAATGAATTTCGCGGTCCCATAATTTACTAAAATTGTACAATCACTAATTGTTCTAGGTCATTTTATTGGAGGAAGCCTGGGCTGATTTGTTTCTCTTGAATGCAATCCAATGGTGTATGCCAGGGGATTCTGTTCCATTATTCTCAGCTTCCGATCATTTGTCTCATCTTCCTGGAGGAAAAGCCGTGCAGGTATGTACGTACTAAAAATAACGCATGATTTGATCTTCCGTACTTACTTTTACGAGTTTTACTCTTGCATTTTCCAGATTGCCGGAGATTTGCGTACTTTGAACGAAGCTTTGTCTAGATTTAGAGCAATTGGAGTTGACCCAGGTAACTACAAGGACTTTCGTAATAATGATTTATGCATACATACGTACTTGAGATTAGCTGGTGACATTGGCTGTTTTTCTCGTTGCAGCAGAGTTTGCTTGTCTCAAAGCCATCGCCCTGTTCCGAAGTGGTGAACTATGTAAGTATTGCATCGTTTGTAGTATGTACTATACGCATGTGTGCATATTATGTGCATATTTCTACGAGAGAGGGAAGGGGGAGGAGGAGAAAGGAAGGAAGGACGGAGCATGAGATCTGATCTGTGATTCCTTCTCGTTTAGACACCCGAGGGCTCAAGGATCCACTCCAAGTGGAAAATTTACAAGATCAAGCACAAGTTATGCTTTGCCAACATTCACGAGGCCAATACCCGGGCCAGCCAGCTAGGTTCGGACGACTTCTCCTGATGTTGCCCCTCCTTCGACAAGTTCCTGCCCAGAGGATGTGAGTTTTTTCAGTTTTACTGCATGCTAATCCCTACACAAGGATATGTAAAAGAGACGCAGATGACGATTATGCATATGCGGACATTGCCGGATATGTGGGAATTAATTAATTTTTAATTCTAGCGAGCTCCTCTTCTTCCAGAGGACCATCGGTTCCACGCCCATGGAAAAAGTCCTCACCGATATGTACAGAAACTGAGATGAGACGATGACGAGTCGCGGATTCCTTCGCTCTCTTTCCCTTTCCCAATCAATTTCTTGATGCTTTTTCGTAATTTATAACTTATAGTCACCTTTTCTAGTCTTCAATTTCCAGGAGGGACAAGACACTGTAAGGACTATGCAAATGTGCAGTTGTATAACTTCAGTCTAGTCAAGTATTCTGGTCTACAGAGTTGTAATGGCACTTTACCGACAACAACCACTTAATCATGAAAAGCATAGCAATTACCATTGCTAGTACTTACATAAACGTAACTATTAGTGCATTTCAACGTCTCCTCTCGCTCTATATATGCAATTATGTATCTAAACCACCCATTCGGGTTCCTATGTATTCATGCAATTGTAAATGTGAAAATGTAATAAATATGTATGTACACAAGTCAGACGCTGAATAAATATTGCTCTCATGAAAATAAATGTGTTGCTTAATTCATTAAAAAATAATACATGTAAACTAAGCGATAATACTGACATCCGAGAATTTGGTGAAAATGAATCACGCTAGACTATTGGCATACATAGTAGTCCGATAAAGGAAACTACGTAAAAGATGATTGATAATTTTACAGCTTCGTGGTGGATTTTGGGATTATATAGCATGAATAGGAATTGAATTTTCTTCGTATACATACATATTTATTTACATGTAGATATTTTCGGGGATTTGATACTTGATTAAACTGGAGCAAAAGTTTTCAAATAATTATTTATATCAGTAGTTAGTTGACTTTGAGTAATTTATGGCGGCCCATGTCCAATTTAATAACTACCGAGAGGGAATCTTGATCAAGTTTTATCATAATCTCACCTCCAGCCAGTGAAACATTTTTACTCACATCTATCTGTACCAATAATGATTGCATGCATTTGCTGTTGTGTACGCACAGATACTATGCATTATAAATGTATAAATCACATTTTTTTACCTGCAATCCAATATAATCATATTGGACAAGTAAAAAATATCAGTTTGAGTTAACCCGTTACCCAGTACTTATTACATGCAAATTGTGATTATGGATTTCCGAAGGGATAGGTAAGAATAAACCCAGGGTAATTTTGACAAAGTTTCACGGGAATATATTTATTTGCGTAGCGCTGCAGTTGGGACGCTCCATGAACTCGCACCGTCGAAGGATCTCAAGAAGGCGTTAGAGTGTCCGATATGCAAAGAGGTTCCCCTCGCGCCCATCTACACGTGCTCTTCGGGTCACACCATCTGCGGAAAGTGTCGAAGTGATCAGCGATGTGGGATTTGCAAGGAGGACTTGTCCAAAACGGCTCGAAACGTCACCGTAGAGCTAATAGTTTCGAATTCTTCCTTCTGGTGTAAATATTTGTCGGATGGGTGCCCAAAAATAATAAAGGGTTCAGAATATCGGGATCACCTCAACAATTGCAACTACAGGTAAAATAATTCTTGCACACCTAAGCCATTTTGAATTTTAAAAGGTGTTTGTAATTTAAATGAATCAATATATGTTTTCCAGGCGAATTCACTGCTTCGAACTGGAGAACAAGAAGTGCATGGGAGAACAAGTGCGATTCAAAGACTACTTTAAGCATTTAAAAGATGTTCACGACATTCAAGGTTTCCACATGCCATTGGCCACCCTGACCATGTCGGAGTACTCAAATTGCCTCGCTTCGGGTACCCCTCAAATGCTCATTTAAATATACCTAAGGATCATTTATCCTAAGTATCATTTATTAATAGTAAAATTTATTTATGGAATCAATTTAATTATACACTTTTTGACATTTGTAGACGGACCATGGCCCTTGTATTACTTGCAATATGACGATGAAGTGTTTTTACGACACATGACGTGCGTGAATTCTATCGTTTATTGGTGGTTTACAATGATCGGATCAGCAGAACAAGCCGCAAATTATAAAGTCAAGGTTTCAATTTACATGAAGCATAGTGAGGTAAACACACAAACGCCACTCACTCATTCATCATTTTCTACTCCTTTCTATTCACTAACTCACCACTACCACATACAATTTTGTATTTCGCCACACCCGTCACAATTTGGGAGCTCATCATAAGTATTCCCCTCGTTTATGATTCAAACGTTCATGTTCATGACAGACTTATGAGCTAATGGTTGTAAAGGGATTAATACCCAAATCGCATGCAAATGATTAGTGATTATCAGTACTTATTATACCGCATGCTTATCTTATGTTTTTCTATTCCTGGTCACCAGAATTCAAGGGTGGATTGGACAGTACCCGTTTATTCTGTTCGATCACCTCCAGATGAGCTTGCCAAATGCTTTAGAGTTGCAATTCCAGCCAAACAGTTGGAGACTTATTGTACAAGCCGTCAACATCCGCATGGCGAAACTTACAAGTTTGTGATGAACTTAAAGTATGAAATATTTATGTAATTTGTACGGACGTCAAACTTTTTTCCGTGAAATAAATACAACCACCAAATTGAAACGTTTAATACGCACAATTATTTAATTACCGATTTAAGTTTCACCTCAGTCTATGAACGGTTCATTCATTCAGACATCCGCCCATCATTTCCCCTTTGTACCGGAAGGTCATACAACTATACAAGTCATCATTATCACTCTATCAGTTTTGGAATTTTAATCAGTTTAATAATACGCTAACATAAAATTATGTAGGAAGTATAATTAATATAAATACAAAAATGTCAGAATGGCATAAACGAATAAATAAAATTAAGGTACATCAAACGAGCTTTCTCTTCTTTCCTGTATTACGCCATTATTTTTAAGTGAAAAATTATATGTTTACAAGCCCTGTATACATATGATAAGAACTGCACAAATTAAATAAGAATAGCAGTTATATTATTTAATATTAATCTACACATATAAAGAAAGCCAATACATTAATTGAGAACAAGATCTGCGTCGGTGAGAGGTGTAATTTTTCATTTCCTACGATAAAATAGAAAAATATTATTATGCATTTCCAGATTTGTGAACCATACATGGCAATAAGCGCTACATGGCATTTTTGTCTAACTAACCTGTGTTTCTTGTTAGACTTGGGTGAGTCACGTGAAGATTCTCTTGGGCGTTTCTTGTCACTGTGACTGCTCTTACTGTGGCTGTGTCGATCACGCCTATCCCTGTCCCTATCTCGGCTGCTGCTACTGTGGCTGTGGCGAGACTTGGAAGGTGAAGAACTGGACAAATTTCAAGAATAACGAATTGAGCCAATGTATACTAGTTAAACGCAGTATAACATGTAATTTAGAATGTTCTAAATACCTTTTGTGCTTCTTTGAAGGAGAATCGCGGTGCCTTGACGAGGAGGCAGAAGATGATGAGGGTACTGGCCGTTTCGAACCTCCAGAGCTACCTTTAGTACGGGTATACTCGTCTTGAAAATTGTTCTGATTTTTATCCGCTTCCGCAGCTTCAGCTTCAAGATCTGACCAATCCTTTCCACTCTCTTCGCTACTTCCACCTTCTGAAAGTGAAATTACATATTTGATAGGATAGTTTGGAAAATCGAAGTTTAGATATGTATTAAGCTGTCAATATTGTAACGTGTACGTACCTGACGCAGAATCATCATCATCATCTTCATCTTCGTCTACCTCAGAATATTCTTCAGAATCTGAGTCTTCCTCTGATCCCTCATCTTCAGATATTTCAAAAGTTTCATCCTCGTCTTCTTCGTCATCGTCATCATGATCTTCGGTGTCGGAATCTGGCTCTAAGAAGTTCCAACCACCGTTTTCAAAGAATCCTTCTGGATCGTCATTGATGGTTTTCAAAATTTTCACCCAATTCAAAGACTGGATTCCTTCAGTGTAATGTATTTGACATGATCTAACAATTAAAGTCACAGTGAATGGCCACGGAATATCATATAATAATTATTCCAGTAGATTATTAATACTTACGTCAACCAGTTTTTCACATGGTCCAACATATTCATCGGAATTGCATTAATCATAACAGTTCGTTTTGTGTAAGTTTTGAAAACGAAAACCATGTCAAAATTTTTCAATTGGAATTGGACACGTTCAAAATGCACCAGTTCCACATCTTCCAATGAAATGACAAATGGAGGCTGTTTGATGGAAAGCATATACAAATTGTAGATTAGTATAATAATCCCGATGATTGGAAAAAATAAATGAGAGAAATCACAATTATAACATACCCATTCAGTTAAATTGACCAAACAGCCTGAAGTAGGTTGTAATAGAACAGTTGATCTGAATGGAGCTCCTGGAAATCCCAAATCCCTGAATGGAGTGTCAAACTCCACATCACCCTTTGTAGTCGATTCGACCTTTTCACAAAAGGATTTAAAAGCAGAGGTTAATTTATGACGAAGTTCACGTTCAGCTTGCTCAGCAGCCAGGTCGTCACGGTCATGCATATGCTGATGCTTTCCAAGATCAGTGTGGAGTTCACCGACTTCCGTGTAAAACTGAATATCAAAATTTTTCTTCTTTCCAATTAGAATAGCGTTCTGTAACATTTAATTATTATGAAATAAATATATGTTCATGAACTATGCGTCCCAAATTGAAATGCATTTTAATAATTGTTTACCTTGAGGTGAAAATGCAAAAGAATAATCTGTTCGCCTTCACAAGGTTGGAATACTGCGTGACGAATGTTGTTGTAAAGAATGTCAACCTTGTCACCTCTAATGGCTGTATATCGAAAGCCGTTACTATGTGCCTAGGATAAATTGAGTAAGTGTAACACTTGACTTTATGATTGGACAGAAACTATATATTAAATACTTAGACAAAACATACCTCCAAAGTTCCACTGATTCTCTTTTGTGAGAGACCTGGTCGAATGTACAAGTCTTTGAGTTTAGGATTTCCCTTGTTCATTGACAAAACCAAGGAGTCTTGCTTCACTAAATCCTCTTTCTCACGCTCTTCCGCTTCTCTGGTTTTAAACTTTTTCTGGACTTCTTTAATGAGACGGAATGCAGTATTGAGATTTGCACTTGGAGCAGAGATTTCTCCTGGCTCCTTTGTGTTAATGCTGCGGTAAGTGACCTAAGTAAATAATAGAAGAAATAAATCAGTTAAATCATAAATAAACATTGATTCAAATTTCCTTTGTAGAATTAGACTCAATAATTGGTTATTGGTGGACCCATTACTTCTTTTAAGAAGGTGGCTTCTGGGTTGGCAAATGATCCTTCAGCTTTGGTGATCGTAGCGCCAGGATGAAAAAAATTTACTCTCAAGTACGTATAATCTCCTTCAACTGACTGGGATATATTCTTAATCGTCGAAATATGGAATGGTACTGGCATTCCGAAAACTGGTAGGATGATCGTTTCATACTTCATGTCTGCAAATAATGTATAACAGACAAAAATATTAAAGGATGGCTCATCATCAGCGACTACTCGACTAGTCATCAACACAATTTCAAATAAAATACTTGTAGATAAACTCACTGACCAACATAAATCTTGAGTTCTTCAATTTCTTTTTCTTTTGGCATTTGCGAAGTACTTTTGTAGGACACGTTGGATTTCCGAACTTTTTCAACTTCTTTGCCTCCCTTTTGCTTCGCCAGCCGTTCTCTTGCAGCGTCGTTCAACGAGGCTGCGAGTTCCTTTTGTTGCTGTTTTCGCTTTTCCTCGCTAGTGTGCTCTTGCTATAGTTTAATTTATGGGTTGATCAATAAAATTCCTGGATTGAAGTATTATATTTAGTAGTGATAAAAATCATTTACGCGTAGTTTGGATTCCAGAATTGCAGTTCGTCTATTACGACCGACAACGTCAGTTGGCTCAGGTTCATTTTCTTTCTCATCCTCTTCCTCCTCATCTTCGTCTTTGAGATAAATTCCTATCGACTTTAACTTTTTTTTTGTTGGGGCCAGTGGTGTAGCGGGTCCACTCTGAATAATGAGCAACGTTACCATTGTTGATATTACTTGATGTACATTTAAAAATAAAACGTGAATTATATCGTGATTTAATTTAATTCGTACCTCATTGATAAGCACAGTATCTCCCAAAAATAAAGCATACTTCTTGCCGCCATCGTCCGATGAAGCGTCGTTCTTTATATCTGAGAATCCAATGTGAATGTTAAATGTCATTCCTTTCTGCACTGTTGCAGTGCACTTAGGTCCAATAAGTAGTGAAGCTTCCCTAAATTCAATCCCCATTCCAAACCCAAACGACTTTGTCAATTTGTCCACCAATTCTGGTTTTCCCTTTTTGACAAAAGCAACAACTTTATCGTAAACTTCATTAAGTTTGGCTCCGGGAATTAAATATTTGTGCAGTTCCTCTTCCACCTCGCACAGAAAGTTATAATATTCCTGAAATATATATCATGATTATAAATCACGTAACATGGAGTGGAATATTTCAATTGTATTATTCAATTGTATTAGTCTGTATTTAGCACCTCTTGCTTTGGGGCAGGATTCACAAAAAATGTGCGAACAACGTTGGAGCAGTATGACTTGTACCGGGCACCCAAGCAGCAAATGATTGTGCCGAAATGCAAGTAATTTTTGTCAGTTATCGCACTAAACTTTAGATTGTAGTTCCCACCACTTTGGATAATTGGTGGGTAGCACATTTCCACCTGCGTCGTATCTACGCCAGAAACATATTTCTTGTCCGAAGCAGCAGACTCGACTCCTTCAGCCAACTTTTGATGACGTGCTTTCCGGTCACCATCCACAATATCCATAATTTGATCTTTCAAATATTTGTTGAGGACGTCCATTGTCACTTGAAAAGCTCGCTTCATTGTATGGATTTCAGACTCTTCTTTCACTGCCATAACGGATGCAAGGGTGGGACCCATATCCAACTAAATAATGAAAGCAATAAAAAAACATAAATCTCGAATCAGGACAATAAATGATTATTAATCCCTATGAATTATCATCGATCCCGATTATTACACTAAAAAATTTATATTTTTACCGTTTCAAATTTTGCACCAGAAAATACACTCCTCCACGAGTCCATAAATTCGCCAGGAAATTTGTCCTTCGTGAATGTCCCAATCTTCTTACCACCCTTGCTGCCCGTGATAGCTTCCATGAGCTTGTCGAAATTTGCTTTATCTTTATCTCCCTGTAAGATAAATTGAAAAACAACGAGATTTTGAGATGATATACTGCCACTAGTGTCACCAAATTAAATTAACCTTGTCTCGAATTAGAAGTTTAATAGGAGGCAGTCCATTTTCATCCTTGGTTTCGATCGCCTTTAAAAACTCAATCTTCTTTTTAGACGACAAAAAGTAAACCACAGATTCACAGAAGACCATAATAGTGTCGGGTAGTTCATATCCGAACAACCAAGTCTAGAAGGTAAAACAATAAGTCAATTATCATACCTTGGGTGGTAAAATGACGAGTATAACTAAATGATAGTTGTTAAGTGAGTCAAGGTTTACCTGTATTGCGGTTGACTTGCTATATACAACTTCTTCGTCCACACCCACGGGCACAACCATCGCATCAATTTTTCCCCAATCATCTTTCCCTTCCTATGAAGATAAGAGCATCCCATTATATTCCTCAACTATTATGAAACTCAACTAGCTAACTTCTAAAAACTTTCAACCGATATCTAAAAAAAGTTTATTTTGATAAATTACCTTCCATGCGTTGTAAAGACGTAATAGTCGACGATTAAAAACTTCCTTATCCACACCAGCCGGAGCCATTATTAAGGCTCAGCACAAAGTATTTACTATTTGATCAAATTTTTAAAATTGCTGAAACTGGATTTGTTACCTGTGGATTTAGAAAATTAGCTACTTTTAAAATTCTCCCTTCACCCTGCTCTCAGAATATACGACAATTTGTCGTCGACAAACAGCAAAAATTGGCATATTTTGTACTTTGTCTTACGTGCGCTTATCAGAGGGGATCGGAGCTCCCTTTACTCACACTTATCCGATTTAGTTGTTTAAAAAGAGTTGCCCTCGAGTGGTTTTCGAGCTGACGCGACGACGACGTGAGAGAGAGAAAGAAAGTTGTGAATGGCGGCGGTGTTTTTCTCCAACTTTTTTGTTCCTGCCTTCCCCATACTCCCGCCGACACTAAACCCGGCCACAACCTCCCGCGACGCTCAAAATTAAATCTCCGGCAGCTGAAATATATCTCTCTCGCTATTTCTGTAGATAGGATTCTACCTCACAACTGCAGTGTGAGGTAGGCCAACTTGTACGCCATTACTAAAATTTCGCCGCCACCAACTTCAACGGAGCCGTAAAACGACGTGTCCTGAGTGGGGATATGTATTTACGAAAAATCCCTGAAATACGTACATGTATCTAATATACGAAATAAACGTTAAAATACCAAGATTATTTGACACTTTATCAATCTATAAGGTTACGACAAATGGCCGAGTTACAAAATAAATTTTCATTTTTAGAAAACTAAAATTTTTTGAAAATATGTCATTGGTTACAATGGGAAATTTGGAAATGTGATTTTTAGTCAAAGTGCTTATGAAACCGTCATGTCCGTCTGTCTGTCCGTCCGATCATTTTACGATAACTTTCCTTAAACTCGTCCTAGCGACTTTAAATTTGGTATACATGTAGTATGTGACAAATGAGGAGTTAAGTTTGAAGATGGGCGAAATCGATTAAGTGGTTGACCGGTGGTGGTCATCTGGGTGGGTGGAGTATTTCAAAATCCTCGTTGAAAGTTGTAATTTGGCATCGAGATTGCTAATGGTGTCTAATTGAAGAATATGAATTTAAATTGGGAAAATTTTCGACTGGAGGGACCCGATACCATACCGATTTTTGGAAATTATCCAATCGAGCTGAAATTAGTGCAGAGATTGCTAATGGCCCCTGATGAAAGAATATGCGAATTGAAATTGGTAACATTTTTATGTGGAGACACCTTTAAGGGGGTGACTCACATCGATTTTTAAAAATTGTATTAAAAAGATGAAATTCGCTCCTGACACTCGTAGAAGACTGAAATTTGGCATGACCCCGTGGGGGTAGACTAGATTGAAAAATATGAAGTAAATATTAAGATTTTTCCACAGAGATTTAACAAGGTGACACACTGCTTTTTATATTGGTAGAATAAAAATGATGCACATCGGACTAAAGAACATGAATAATATTCATATTCATTGAATATGAATATTTTTGTGGGCCCAGCCCAGAAGACTGAGACCCGTACTGGTTTTAAAATTGGTCAAGGAGCTGAAATTTTGCATGCTGGATTATGGGAACATTTTTGCCGATTACGAATAGTAGTTGGTGCAGGTCGTCTGACTAAAAGTTAGAAGCTGACACTGACCCTGACTCGGGCTAAGTAAAGGCTGCACACTGGATATTTCAAGTTTACTTCTCGAAATAGTACCCTCGAGATTTTGATCTTAAAAAATCAAGCTAAAAATTACGATGATTTCATCTTTAAGAATGAAGTCTCTATGTCTGCCCATTCAAAAGTTATTAAAGGTCAAAGTCGTTGGTACACAGGCCCAGGGGACGTGTACCAACGATTTAAAAAATAATTATTTTATTTGTAACTCCACCATTTGTCGCAACCGTTAAAAGAGCCAAGAGTTACCTAGATACTTGATGTCAAGCAATCGTGTTAAAATACTTATGAAATATCAACGAAAAAACCATAGAAACTTAAAATTTCGCGAAATCTGTATTTCTGAATATAATGCTGTATTTTTTGTGACCCAATTTCTTTGAACAAAAGAATTTAGTCTCACATCGTTGAAATATCTGAACAAGAATATGAAAGAAATTTTGAAAACAATTCAAAACTTATCAATTTTCGAAATTTTGTGGACAAATAATTCTTGGACGTATTAGAAAACTTTGTCTCACTTTCCTCCACAGTAGGAATTTTTGGGGTAAAATCAAATTTTCGGGGTAACACGAGACTTCAAGTTCCCAGCTATCCTAGCAAGTTCTATTATAGCTAGCTCTCCTAGGCAGCACTACTAGCTAGCATTACTAACTAGCACTACTAGGTAGCACTACTAACTAGCACGACTAGGTAGCATTACTAGCTAGCACTACTAACTAGCACGACTAGGTAGCATTACTAGCTAGCACTACTAACTAGCACGACTAGGTATTACTAGCTAGCACTATTAGCTAGCTCTCGTAGGTAGCATTACTAGCTAGCATTACCAGCTAGCATTACTAGCTAGCACTACTAGCTAGCTCTCCTAGGTAGCATTACTAGCTAGCATTACCAGCTAGCTAGCCATTTTACGCTTTCCGCGTACCTAGTATGTATAACCTAACCTGCTCGCTTCGCCCGTTTAAATACGAACATTACCACAATATGGGGATAATTGTAACTTTCTTGTTTTTGGATTTTTATCAAAAATGCTTTCAATTTCTTGTTTAGAATTCTTTAATTAGTCTAGAAACTCATTTTCATTTAAATCTGGGACAAAAATAATAATTTTTGTACACAATTTCAAAAATTTCTAACTTTTTTGTTTTTGATTTTTTCAAAAATCCTTTCATATTCTTGTTCAGTATAGTTTAATTAGTCTAGGAAATCATTGGTATAAAACAAGCAAAAGGACTCCTCTCCGATGGGGGAATGTGATACACCAAATTGAAGGGTTTTTCATGCTGATCAAGAATATATAAATTTTTTGACCGGCAAACGTATATTAAGGTCACAATTAAAGGTCAAAGGTCAAAATTTTTTATTGCATTTTTGGACGTTTCAGGGCATTCTAAGACTTTGTCTCACTTTCCCCCATGGCGGGAAATTTTTTGGGGTGACATGAGATTACTAGTTTTTGTTGTCGAATGTCGAATGCCGATTATTTTTCTACAAAGTGTAAAATTTTTGGGGCACTATGAGATTTGGGGTAAAGTGGACCATCGATTATCGAAATTGTGCCCAATATTGGGGTATTGTTCGTTTTTAAGCAAGCGAAGCGAGCAGGTTAGGTTAGTTTTACTAGGTACGCGGAAAGCGTTGCTATTCCAGCTAGCAATCCTAGCTAGCAGTCCTAGCTAGCAATCCTAGCTAACAGTCCTAGCTAGCAATCCTAGCTAGACACTAGAAATCTCATGTCACCCCAAAAAATTTCCCGCAATGGGGGAAAGTGAGACAAAGTCTTAGAATGCCCTGAAACGTCCAAAAATGCAATAAAAAATTTTGACCTTTGACCTTTAATTGTGACCTTAATATACGTTTGCCGGTCAAAAAATTTATATATTCTTGATCAGCATGAAAAACCCTTCAATTTGGTGTATCACATTCCCCCATCGGAGAGGAGTCCTTTTGCTTGTATTGTTCCAAATCATTTTCATTAAAATCTGGGGCGAAAAATTATTTTTATACAAGTTTTGAAGAATTTATAGATCTTTTATTTTTCCAGACCGCCCCGAAAAAAAGGTATTTTCTTGCTCAGGGGACCGTAGGGTATTCACAAAAAAAAATTCACCCTAATCCGAGCTAGTCCCCTGAACTGCAATTTTATATCTGTCATGTGGGCTAGTTGCTATTATTATATATTTAAGGTGCGTTTATGCTTCACGTAATCGTCATGTCCTCCTCCAAATCCGATTTTTTGATTGGTTAAAATTGTTAATTGTCGTAGTGATCATTTCGTTCAGCCAATCAAAAAATCGGATTTGAAGGAGTACGTGACGATGACGTGAAGCATAAACACCACTTTACATGTGATTTTATTTATCCACGAATTGCATTTTAGATATATTTGAAGTCAGAATTGAAAAATATGGACTGGTTCGAAAGTTATAGCACAAATACGGGCGGACAGACACGACGATTCATATAAAGAGGATCTAGCTTTGTGAAAGAGCTTTCTCGATTACGGCTCTGGAATGGCTAAATCTTGTCGGTATGTTATTCTTATGCATGGATGACTGAAGAAGCTACGCTTATATAGATGGCTACTTACATAAGCAAGTTTCTCGTCGGTCGTACGACCGGCAACTTAAAAAGCATGAGGATTCTCTCCCCATAGAGTTTTGTTTCCCCTTCCAGTTAGAGAGATTGGTATTTCATGATTCTTATGGACCGACAAGATTTAGCCATTCTCAATGTTAAAAGGAACCAATGGCGGACAAGTTTCCCCGGCTACTATTTCTGTCAGACCTTCAAAAACTTGCTAAAACGTTTCAAAATCGACTCAAAAGTTTATAAAAATCACCAAAACGTCACCAGTCCTTGAACCTGAAATTTAACTACTCAGGAACTATTATTAGGCAAAAGATTAAGATTTTTCATGGACGAGCGAAACGAAAAATAATTTGAATATTTTTTTTTTTTTTTTTTGTTAACAAATTTTAATTTAGTTTGAATATAAAATACACTTATTTCTGTACAGAGTAACAATGTCTGTAAAATACATGGTAGTTTTAGATATTTGAATAATAATAAGTGGTTTTAAGTTTTTGGATAAATGGCAAACTTGGGCCAGCTGTCATGGGGTACTCTTCAGTTCATAGCAAAGGTTGGTACCCGACACAAGTGGTATCGTCGTGGTGTAGCGCCAGAAAAGGGTAAAACGTTGGCGCAGAAGATGACTGGTAATTGAAATTAAATTACTATGCTCCACTTTCGACTTATACATTGCATATTGTACTATTGATTAAACTACAGTTTTTTTGTTTTGATTGTTGACAGCATGGAATTCTAAGGATCAGGATCCCGAGCTTAACTTCCGAGTTAATATAGGATTTGCAAATCCTGTCATTCGCAGGAAAGATGTTTTAGAAGAACGATTAAAAATTCGGAAGCAAACCAAAGAAAATTTAGAGATGGAAAAGGCTGCTAAGAACAAAACTTGTAAGGAAATTATTTTCATTTATTTCTAAACGTTGTTACTAAACTTTGTAATTAAGTGTTGTATTATCTTATCTTATCTTCTAGTGAGTGTGCCTGTGGAGGAGGTGCACCAAGAGAGCATCATCAGCAACAGATCCATCCACGTACATCAGGCTGCAGAGTATTTTAGTATTTACCAAGATCTATTTGAAGACGCTTATTTTACTCCAGTCGTGCCGTTGAATGTTTCTTATACGTGGGGTAAAATTGGTGAAGAAATTGAGAGCAGGGTGTTTTGCGGAAATCAAATTACACCTTTGGAGGTAAAAAAATGGAATGCATTGTAGAGTTGATTTCTCAATAAATGGTATAAGAAGTTAAATATAAAATTCAAATGAATAGGCTGTCAATACACCAAAGGTATCTTATCCAGCAAAATCTAGCGATTTGTATACGCTTGCATTTACAACCCCGGATTGTCATTTCTCTGGCGAGCCTGCAGAATATCTTCACTGGCTTGTGTAAGCTACTACTTTATTTGACTCTCGAACGTATAATGTGATTTTAACTGCTAGTTATTTATTCCTGTTATAGGACAAATATTCCTGGCAATTCAGTTGAAAAGGGTCAAGTCTTATGTGACTATATGAGACCTTTTCCGTTTCGAGGAGTAGGATTTTGTCGCTACATTTATGTGCTCTATAAGCAAGATAAACAATTGGATTTCTCTCAGTACCAAAAATCTCCATCATGTAAGAATTTGTCTGAGCGGACATTTTCTACCTACGACTTTTATCGAGAGTTTCAAGATTTTATGACACCTGCTGGGTTATCATTCTTTCAATCTAATTGGGATCAATCGTTAACATCCTTCTTCCACAACGTTTTGGGTGGGTTTAATGATCAATAATTATATTAAATTAACTTCCTATGTAAGCTACTATATACTAAATACGTGTGTAAATTGTGTTTAAACAGATATGAAAGAACCATGTTTCGAGTACGATTTCAAACCAGCAAAACTTAAACCTCAAGAATGGTTTCCAGTCAGAAAACCTTTCAACTTATATCTGGATAAGTACAAAGATCCCAAAGTTTTGCAAAAGGAATTGCTCCTGGAGAAGTTGAAAGAGAGACATCCATTCAAACCTCCTCCAAGGCCACCAAAGTATCCCTTGGCCCACCCGCTTCCTCACTCAAACCCTTCATGGCTTAATGATGATATTCGACGCAGAAGAGTTCGAGAAGGAAAATGGAAATTTATGTAAACTTTACAGTTTATAGAATTGTTAAAAGCAGTCAATTAGTTTTTTTTATACAATAAAGTGGACAAATAGGAAACGTAAATTTGTTTGGGTATCATTCTTCATTTATGGACTAATAAGTTTTATATAAATAGTATAGTGCATGTTGGGTTATAAATTACTCAGAATTGTGCTTCATCATTTGTGTGACAATCAGCATGATGAAGACATTACGGCTGACATTGCATTATCCTATACATCAAGTTTGTCCTCAGTCAGTACACTTGTTTATACGAATGAACGAACCATTGCAACGAGATTACATCCCCTCTGCGAGAGAATGCTGAGCTTGTTACACTTATCAATTAATTTACTGCAACTTGGATTGTCGCACAACTTCAAACACAACGAATTTGTCACTTTTACTCTGACTCGTGTGATTGACATTACATATTTATATTGATATTTCATTGCATGTCTCCGTTCACATTTATCTCTGTCGAATACACGAACTGAATTGTACAGAATCATTTCTGAAAAGAAAGAAGATGGAGAAATGGCAAAAGATCTCACTGATTTTGTGCACATTTGGTAGGTGATTACAGAGATATAAATTGATCTTATACTCCTTTAGCATTATTATTGAGATTATTATCCCAAAGGCTTTTTCAAAGAACTCCGTCCGTCGGAACCATTCATAACTGAATACATTGTTAATTTCAAAAATGTGACATCTCAAGAGGTGAATTATTTGTTCTTTCTCCTAATTATTATTTAAACTTTAAATTATTCCTGTTCAATTCAACAGTTGATCCATGTCGCATTTCCAGTATCCACATATTCCTCCCTGGCAGCCCTGGCCATCGTGTTCTTGGTGACTGACTTCCTCCGATACCGTCTCGTGATCATTTTCGAAGGCCTGATGTACATCTTGACATGGGCGATACTCATTCTAGGGAGTGATTTGGAAGCCATCATTGTATGAAACTATACACACTTTTTATGTACATATCTCAATTTCCCCATGCAGCCAGATTCAGGTTGATTAATAATAAATATTATGCATGGACGCATTTTTTTTACTTCTGTCACACTATAGTGGGTAGAAGTGTTTTATGGGATCGCATGTTCCACCGAGGTCGCCTACTACACTTACACCTACGGTCAGTTTAAAGCAAAATTTGCTTTAAATAAATGCACAAAGACGTACTATTTAGAGTAATTTATATCCATTTCAGCGAAAGTGGAGAAAGATCGCTACAAAAAGGTCACTTCTCACACCTCCAGTGCTCTCTACGCTGGGAAATTTGTGGGTGGACTTTTAGCACAACTTTTGGTCACATTTCAACTAATGAACTATCACCAACTCACTTGTCTCACTCTTGCTTTCTCGATTCTGGGATTTATTGCAACACTATTTCTACCCAAAGTTAAGAGCTCAATTTACTTTCACCGATACGAACGGGCCGTAGAACAACCCGGTGTGCCCGTGGAAATACCAGTTGCAGAAAGACATGACATCTCGACAGCATCCAGATTATGGAATGATTTTATGGAGGCGTACTCCAACACCTACATTCTCAAATGGTCTCTCTGGTGGGCACTTGCGTCGGCAGGTAATTCAGGCATTTCAGGAATTATTTCAATTTAGTGTTTCATTTTCTCCGCATCTGCAGGACAATACCAAGTTGTCAACTACATTCAAGTTTTGTGGGAACAAATCAACCAAGAAACTCAATTGGAGCCGTACAATGGCGTAGTCAAAGCACTTCATACCCTGCTAAGTTGGTCACCAAACTGCATATACTGCTAAAAATAATAACAGAAATTCTTGAAATGCATATGGGGTTTGTAGTTATATTTTGACCAAATTTATTTCCAGGTGCTGTATTATGCTTAGCAGTAGGCTATGTAAAACTTCGTTGGAGTCAATGGGGTGAGCGTCTCCTGGGAATTCTCTCTTTGTTACAGGTAAAGTTGCGTTCGTTGTAAAGTTGAGGACAATGAGGAATACATATGGAAGGATAGACAACGATTTAGTACTATAAATATAAATAGCAAACCTATAATTTATGCTGTCTCATCTCAATTGTTAGTTTTTTAGGGTATTTTTTTGCACCTTTGGGTATAATCGCAGTATATTTCCGGTTGTGTCGATCAGTAGAAGCCACCGTCTTCTTCTAAATTCTTTTCGTCTCTCCGTTTGTCTAAATAAGTGAGTGATTTCCTTGTTGCAGGGCGGCCTCTTAGTCTGGATGGCGAGGTCCTCCTACTTGTATACTGCCTACATATGCTACACCGTCTTCCGAACCATTCATCCCGTAATGCTGACAATTGCAAGGTGTGCCACGTGCCTCCAGTGGATGCCCTCCACTAACAAGGACTTAACTTATATAATCCAAAACTTCAAGCTTCTTTTTATTTTTATTTAGCGCGGAGGTAGCTCAAGGAATATCGAAAGACAGTCACGGTCTGGTATTTGGAATCAACACATTTCTCGCACTCTTATTGCAAACTCTGTTGACCATCGTGGTGTCGGATGAAAAAGGATTGGCGTTGGATGTAAAGCAGCAATTTATAATTTACGGAGGATATTTTTCAGTGTTGGGCGCTGCCTTCGTTTTGGCTTCTGCGTGGTCATCCGCATACTTAATTTATAGGAAAAAATCGCACAGGAATCGATTCAACGACCAATTGCCAGATAATGCTGGAGTAAAATTCTGCAATGCAAATGAGCCTTGTTCGTTGCTGGACAGCAGTTGTCCATGCACTCATGTAGGCAAAGAAGCTTTAATGCAAAGCAAAGTACCATGATTAATTAGTTTCCTTTCAATAAAATGCATGCATTTGCCTAGTTTTGGATTGTGTAGGAATTATAAATATATATACGAGTTTGAAGGTTTCATCAAATACTTAATTTCTTCAACGAATTAGGGTAGTGTTTTTAGTATGAATCAGTTGAATGCACTAAGATAATAAAAAAAAGTTGCGTAATCTTTTCATGAAAAAACAGGAAACGAATGGAGCGAATTGTTTTTTCGTTGATATCTGTAGCTCGTTTCCTTCTCCACATGAATTTTACTTCCCTTGAAAATAATGAAATTACAATTATTTGCAAAGAATTTCCATTCAGTTAACTTGCATGTTTGTGGGGAATGTAATTAGCAAAGACAAATGCAAACAAGGCACAAACAGAAGGACAAAACTCATTGTCGTCGTTGAAATCATATTGAAAATTTGTCAATCGAAACCCTCAACTCCTGTCGTTCTGTCTCTTTTTAAATAAATGTTGCATATAGTGGACAAGCAGTTAATTACAAAACTGTAGGGAAACTTTAGGCCACAAACCACTAGCAGAACTTTTATTGTGAACCACTTTAGCAGTGAGCCTGCTATCCTGCTAAACATTTAATTACGCAAATAATACTGAAACAGCGTGATGGGCGAAAGAACGATTACATTGCATAATAACGCATTCTATATCTGTTTGTGGCCTGGATCAAACATCATCCATATTACCGGTCCAATTGTATCGCTCATGTAAAGCGTTCTGCTTCTTAAGATGACGATAGGTGACTCATCGTCTCAAAAAATCTCACGGCACAAGACATGGAGTAAATTAGCCGAATGAGCCGAATTATTTTATTATTTGGTACCACTTATTTATATTTTGGCGTAAAAAGCATACGAAATTGACTAATGTAAACGCCAAAATAAGAATAAGTGGGAACAAATAATAAAATAATTCGGCTCATTCGGGTAATGTACTCCATGTAACGTGAAACGGAGTTTAGGTTACTTTCCACACCATGATTTCAAAATTGTTTTCTAGAGGAATGGAATGGAAAATAGAAAATCTATCTGATCCAGTTGTAGTCAGTAAGCTGATTAATAGGATGGCGATGATTTTTTAAGAAAAACATAAGCCAATTTTTTGGACACCCAATTTTTCTGAAGGCCTTTTAACTAGAGGTCTTATCTTGGGTCTCCTCCTTCAAAACCTGATAAACTCTGGAGTGCATATTTTTAATAAATTGGTACTGACCTGGTCTACAAATGGATCTGATAGAATTTAAAAATAAATTCCCAAAACGGAGAAATGCGTAAAAGTGTTCAGATTTTTAGACCTGTGACGATGAGTCACCTAATCCTACGTTAAAAAACAACACCCACAACAGCTACCACCCGTACATGAGCCACTATTGCATAGCGAGTTAGCTAGTTGCAGAAAAAATTATTATGTCAGTATGCAAAAATAAATTGCACATTTTAAGCACCAAGTACAATGTACATATACATACATATGTAGAAGAGAACGACAGCCTCCACATTTCATTTTCATTGCCACAACCATGATGCATAAACACATATACACGTTCGCTATCCTTCGAGTTCCCTTCATAAATATTTTTATAGAATCAGTCTTGCACCTTGTGTAAGTAAGTAACCTATAGACCACATGCAGTCCAGAGAAATGCGTGTGTAAAATATTCTTGGAATAACCACGAATCTAAAACTAACAAATATTCAAGAAGAACTCAATGTGTGTGTGCAAGCATTCCGGTTACGTCGAGTTTTATTAAGGAGCAGTATTAATATACCACGTAACATGCATTTTACCATCTCAACACTCGATTCTTCTGTGTAATCATAAGAATGGTGTTGCTGGATAAAAGAGATCTTTTATACAGCAGTTGCCAGTTGTTGAGGTTTTGCCACCGAGGAAGCTCATTTATGTGAATTTCTGCAGTTCTTCTTCTTCCCTTTCCCCACTTCCTTCCTGTCCAGTCAAGCTCTTATTTTGTGTAACATCAACATTTGCCAAAAAACACAACCAATAGCGGATGTACCACGGTGAACGTTAGTGTTATCTTTCCATCTCATTTTCAACCGTCATACACACAAATTCGGTCTGTCTCTGGATATATTAAATTTTATACATGTTTATTCTGGGTGTTACTGAACAACTATGAGCTCGGATTACTTTACTCGCCGGAAGTGAAAGAAGTAGAAAACATGGGGAAAAGTGAATTGAATAATTGTTGTAGGAAGTGAGGAAAATGATTTTCCTTAATTATTAGTTTAGTGCTCTGCCATAATACCATAATACCACCGACTAGCAAATGCAATGCTACATATTTGTATTAAAACAACAAAAATGACGATGGAAGTTATTTCATTTCAATCTCTACGGACAAATATAAATTCCTAGTTTTTGAATAGACACATGAATTATATTTCGACTAATCTAGAGTGAGGAACACTTGAAGTGTAAGAATGCAAAAACCACATAAAGATTTTATGATAAAATCTTTAAACCAAATAAAACCGATCTAGTCAACCTGGCGTATTGCTTTTCAATTTCACACTAAAATTTAGTGACTAAATATAATTAGGAACCGTGTTTTATTAATATAAATATATATATCATAATATGATGGGAATACAAAATCTCGTTCTAGTGTCAATTTATATTAATTAAGTACATATGATACACACCGACCGAGTGCCATAACTAATAATACTTGTACAAAACTGAAAATGTCGGAAAGGAAATTTGCCCGAGTGAAAGGAAAGGTCGGCAGTGCGGCTCAAGTTCGAGAAGAAGTTTCGAAACACGTCCGATCTAAAACAATTTATCAGGTAAGCGAATTGAAAAGTGTCCATGTTGAAATCAAAGTTAATTTTTTGGATGTTATTTGCAAATAGCTGTTTCTTAACGTAAAAATAACTTTGTCTGCGGTGGCATCATATTAATTTCAATTAGCATAAATTACATCACTGCTCGTTTCGTCAAAGCAGAACAACGACTTGAAGTGATGGTTGTGGAATTGTTATATTAGCAAAGCGTTCATCAAGTGATTAATTCAAGTGTGGAGTTGAGAATTGCTGATTGGTTGGCACCGCATCTTCTTAATAAAAGTAAAGTGGGTGATCAAGGTCATTGCATGTTGTAAGGAGTTGTATAAATTAAAAGTGGTTGCAGGATTTAGATTCATCAGCCCATATTGATGTAGCCTACAAAGAAGTATGTATTTGTATGATCTATCTCAGACCATATATGCATACTAAATGCTGAAGCTTAATCTTCTCCAAGTATCGAAAATGTAATGTCAACGAAATGTCAATGTTTTGTTTGGAAAGGAAAGGTCGTGTTAAATCGATTGACCAAATGCCATGAGAGTTTGGGTGTGATTAATACTCTAACTGCATTTCCGTCTCACCTACAAGACACATATGCCTATCTTATCTGCATTGCGTACGATTTTCTTATCATTAACGATTTAAGTGCATGAATTTTTCACAAATTTTATTTATGTGAGTGAGGTGAGTGAGATATGTGGAAGAGCTTTCTTGCGGTTTTACAGATATGATATTTATATATTTTTATATATATTTTATATATATTTTATGGACATAGCCGCTGAATTTAGTTTTTTCAGTAAATTTTCTCATAAATTGAATTTGACATTTATTATTTAGAGTTAGTTCATCATCATTCCTGAAATACTAATGAAGAGTATCAATGGTTCACCCATTGAGTACGCCCAATTAAATAACTTACCCATCAAATATCACCGACTGATAATGGCAAGTTCAACAACTTATTGTAATCAACTTGTGGAGATTTTCAAGTCAACAACATTGGTTAACTTTTAATTGTCACTAAATGTCACTCACTAGAATGATCTTTTGATCAAGAATGACTTCTGCCCCTGCAATTAACCTCAAGTTACATACATGGCAAGATTTCTCTGCATGCTTCATTGCAATAACCATGATAAGTGGATCAATTATCTACATCTGCATACGTAGGTCAGTGGCTGATAAAGTTTCCCATGATCCTATCAGGGCCCGTGAGAGGGGCGGGCAAGCCGGGCAGTTGCCCGGGGCGCTGAGGCGCCGAGGGGCGCCAGAGGGCGCCAACGATTATATCATATGTTAAGTAATTTATTGGCATAATCGTGGTAAAAAAATTATAGTGAAACTGATTAAAGTAAAGTTCTTTTGAATATTCCACAGCAATGAGTGGTATTTTTCAGTTGTTTTTGAGTAGAGCCTGCCATTTCTGGTTTTTATAGGCTTAAGTTTTTGTGGTTGTTGTTGTAAACGAACCCCTGAAAACCCCACTGCTATCATGTGTTCGTGGGATTTTTGTAAAACTTTGAAGCAAGTTGAAATAAACTTCTCTAAACCATACATACACAACTTCACTATTAATCAATGCTAATTAAGTTATCGGATTCAGCATGGAATTTTGAAATTTTGAGGATTTTCACGTGAATTGAATTTCTAATGTCACTACCATGTACATAAATCCTATCTTGAATAAATTGGATTCTTGAATTAATTACATTTATTCAAGAGCCCCCAAAAATTCCCGAAAAATTCCTTACACATGAGTTTTCTAGAAAATTCCCGTTTTTCGAACGCCGCCTTTGACTTTAACATAGAAATATTTGTGACACAAAAATGAACCCTTTTATAGAAAATCACGGGTACCAAAATTCAAGTTACTTTTCCCATTCACAGTGTGACGATTTACAGGGTTGGCCAAGATAATTTAATAAGATACAAGATATCAGATAAAAGATACAAGATACATCTTGTATCTTGTATCTTGTGTAACGGAGTTTATCTTATCTTTTATCTTGTATCTGAACGTTTCGCAAAAGTATTTGGTATCTTGTATCTTGTATCTGGAGAATTTATTGCAATCATATTTTATTTGAAATACTAGTCAAGATACACGATACTTTTTTTAGTGAAAAACCGGGAAACTTGCATATTTGGTAGTATTAAAACTTGGAATTATGAAGATTTAAAAAAACTCAGTGTACAGCTTTGCCGAGCCGGACGCAAGGTTCTGTTGTATAACGTCGTAATATTTATTTATCCACAGTAAATAAACCCTCGCACGTTGGCAAATTTTGTAATTTGCATTATATTCCTAATTTGTACCACAATTAGAGCAATTATTCCAAATTTCAACTGAATATACTGGTAATAATAATTTCAGCTCCATAGAATAATTTAAAAAAAATCAGTATGGGTCACCACAGATGAAATCCTCATATTTGTTTATAAATTGTAAACAGGGACTTGCATTATAAATTACAATGCCAGTTATAAGTCGTATACTATCATTATTAACAAGTTACTCGGCTACAATACAAAAAATCAAGTGGTGCTTCATTATTTCATGTTTTTTTTGCAAGCTCCGGATAATTTATCTTATATCTTGAAAAAATTATTTCAAATAAATATCTTGTATCTTGTATCTGGGATCACAGCAGATAAAATTTATCTTGTATCTTGTGTAACTCTAATTATTTGTATTTAGTATCTTGTATCTTGGGTTTCGTTCAAAATATTTTGTATCTTGTATCTTGTATCTTTGAAACAAAATATCTTGGCCAACCCTGACGATTTAACATGTAAAATTCAGATTTACGCTAGGCTAATTGTATTTTGTCGAGGTGCGAATTCTAAACCTTTCTCCAGTCAAACAATTTGGTTTTCACAAATTTTGAACTTTTCGAAGTTGACAGCGACTTAAAAAATTCAAAAACATTTTTGTTCAGAAGAAATATCTGATTTATTAAAATTCAATTTTCGCGTCATTTTACGTTTAACATTTTTTTTACTTTCTGAAATTACTTAAAGCCAATTCTGGCCAACTTTAAATTTCATTTAATACTGCCGATGAATTTTTATAAGCCACGTAAGTACGTTTTATTGCTAATCAATATGTTTCCAAAATTTTTCGAATTTTAAAAGTTCCAGAATTTATAAAATCAGAGGTTTTGGCTGTACAAAAAATTTAAAAAAATTCCATTCAGGGAGCCTGCCGAAAAGTTTCCGAACCTGCGGAAAATGCAAGTACCAGGCTCGAATCGAATTAGAGCATTCTGGAAAAAATTATTAGTGTCCTTATTTTTTCGCGAAAAAATAAAATTGGTCCCAAGTGTATCAGAATTTGTAATGCGAAAGACCTACATTTTGAGCAAATTGATTCCTTTCTAGATTTTCTCATTAAATTATCGAATGACTAATTTTTAGACAAATTGAAAATATTATTATGGCCTTTTTTTACCCCTCGAAAAAATCATGTAGATTTAGAAATAAGAAGGGAAAAATTAGGGGCGCACAAATATGTTTTGCCCGGGTTAATTTTTGGGGTCGCACGGGCACTGGATCCTATAGATAAAACAAGAAGGATTTTTTTGTGCATATACTGATGTTGAGTGGGATTCTGGCCCGGACAAAAAGTCCTGTTTTGATGTGAATCGAGCGTGCACGCGCTCTTCCCTACTTTTGCACTGATTCATGTGAAAGTTTAAACTTTGTCCTAGAGATGCGAAATTTGACATGCACATGCACCAACATATGCTGCATCATAATATAACATCAATTCCCGTTCCGTTCGCTATAAATTTTTCAGGAAAAATCAAAAACCAAATGTCATCCCTATCATTTCTTGGGTTTTGATTTTTCCTGAAAAATTTATAGCGAACGGAACGGGAATTGATGTTATATTATGATACAGCATATGTTGGTGCATGTGCATGTCAAATTTCGCATCTCTAGGACAAAGTTTAAACTTTCACATGAATCAGTGCAAAAGTAGGGAAGAGCGCGTGCACGCTCGATTCACATCAAAACAGGACTTTTTGTCCGGGCCAGAATCCCACTCAACATCAGTAAATTGAAAGTGCTACTAGTAGTCAAGCTGTTATCGTAGTCAGTATTTGCAGTCTTCCACAATGCACCTGATGCACCAGCATTCAATTACACACACCTTCAAAAAATGTCACGCTATCCATACATCTATAAATGCTGTAATTAGATCATTTAACTTTTCAGAAAACTGCATAAAAATACTTAATATCAGTGTTCTTCTCGTGCTAGAGAAATTTTCAAAGCGTTTTAAAATCATTTTATGCGGTGAGGTGAAGCATAATTAGAGTCAATAATTAAAAAGACATAGGTGCACATATTTATTTAGGAGACTGTAATTTACTGTTAGGTTTAAATCTGTCACGTCACGCGTACATAGATGTACAATCGTCATTCATTTCCGTTCTCAAAGCTCCTTTAAATTTTACTAGATTTGAATTATGTGCAAAACATTACCTGCACTTTTGCGAATTTCTTGGCAAGTAGCTAACTCTATAATACCTTGGTGTTTTTGCACACGACATAAATGTGCTGTATCATTTGCATGAAAGCGAACTTGTCTAACAATTCGAGTGAGTGTTTGCCTGAGATTAATGTGAATACTTATTAGTTCATTAAGTAGTTTACTTTCTCCAATGTCCCGTCTTTCTTGTGTCGGTAAATTAGTCAACATTTCCCTTTCCTGAGTTGTGCTTAGGGCAAATGTTGTTGCACCTTTATTAACATGCCATCCCATTCATCACTTTTACACCTCCGTGCTTGATTAGTTTGATATGTGCTCAAATTTCTTATCGTATAGTTTTATTTGCATGATCAGATTATCACTCCTTATAATCTCATTATTTGCTACTGCTTGATTTAATCTGCCAGCGTATAAAAAACCATGTCTCTGCTCTTATAATATGCATGTATGTACCATGACACGTATTTAGATATGACATGAGAGACAATTTAATAACCAG